ATCTTTCTTCTTTTCTGTAAAATCCTGGCCGTTCCATTCGTATGCGCTCTCAGAGCTGAATTTCTGCAGATCATCGATACCCAACTTCTCGTACTTCTTGTTGAGTTCAGCAGTCCGCTCCTCACCCTTGCGCAAGATAGCATCGATATCATCGTCAGACAACTGCTTGTCATTAGGTAATGTGCCAGTTGCACCTTTTGTGTTGAAAACGTTTGCGGCTCCGTGCTGGATCATGCCAAGCAGCTCATCCTTGGAGGCTGCGTTCTTGACTTGTTGCTGAGCACGGCCTTGTTGAATGACAAGTTGATCCAAGCGCAGTTTCTGCGCGGCTCGCTCCAGGACCTTCTCCTCAATAGCATTTTCTGTAACGAATCTAAACACCACGACTTGCTTGGTCTGACCGATACGATGGGCACGGTCCATCGCTTGCAGATCAGCCTGAGGATTCCAATCACTATCGTAAAGAACGACAATATCCGCAGTCGTCAGGTTGATACCCAGCCCTCCTGCTCTTGTTGTAAGCAGGAAGATGAATTTATCTGAACCCGGCTTATTGTACTCGTCGATGGCGGCGATTCGATCTTCATGCGCCGTTGTACCGTCTATCCGGCAGTATTTGTAGTCTCTAAAAACACAGTAGTCTTCCAGAATATCGAGCACACGACTCATCTGCGAGAAGATGAGAACTCGACTTCCTTGCTGCTGCATGCGTGCAAGGAGCTTGTCCAGAATGACCATTTTGCCGGAATTATACACGAGATGCTCGTCAGTCGTATAAGGAGGACCGGGTTCGGCGCCCTCAAAAAGATACGGATGGTTGCAACATTTGCGCAGTTGCATGACGATATTCAACAAGCGCGTTTTTGATTCGCGTTTCCCAGCAGCGCCATTGACCGCATCAATATCTTTCTCGAGGATCTTCTGATACCACTTGACCTGCATTTCCGACATAGGCACATAGAGGTTGACTTCTTTCTTTGGCAGCAAGCTTTTTTCAACGTCACTCTTCACACGACGGAGAAGGAAGGGCCGCAGAACGCGGTGTAACTGCTGTACAACGGTATCTTGATCGGCATCTTGACTGGAGAACCATTGATCGAATGCTTCCGAGTCGCCGAACACATCGGGTAATAGGAAGTTCAGAAGAGCCCAAAGCTCATGGAGATTGTTCTGAAGGGGTGTACCGGTGATCAACAACCGATTGCGCGAATTGAATACACGAATGATCTGGGCTAGTGAGGATTCCTCGTTCTTGATCCGATGCGCCTCGTCGATGATGATATACTCCCAAGCGAATTTCTTAAGGTGCGCCTTCTCTCTGAGAACCATCTCGTAGCTGGTGATGCAAACGTCGAAATCTTCGTCAAGAAGTCGCTCATTGATGAGTTTATGACGTTCCTCCTTGTCACCCTGGAGCACCAGGACATTAACTTCTGGTGTCCATTTGTGAAATTCACGCTTCCAGTTATCGAGGGTGGACTTGGGGACCGCGACAAGATGAGGTCCAGTGATACCGCAGACATGTCGCAAGTACCCAAGGAAGGAGATGGTCTGTAATGTCTTACCCAGACCCATTTCATCAGCCAGTATACCAGAAATGCCGTTCTCGTGTAAGGAGACCAGCCAATTCAATCCCGCAACCTGGTAATCGCGCATTTCGCCGTGAATAAAGGGAGGGGATTCCCGGAAGACCGTAGCAGTTCCGGCACCGGTTTTCTCGTCTTTTAGCAGCTCGGCATCTTCCTCTTGTTCGGTTCGGCGACGTCTATCATTTCCTGCGCCCCCTGTTCGTGAAGACCCCTTCTTCTTAGCCTTGGCGTCTTCTTCAGCGTTCTGTCGGTCAATCTCCGCCATGATCTCCTTGATTCGGGGGTTGGGGTTGGTTTCGATGAAGTGGCGGAACAAATCGGTGAGGCCAAGGAGATAACGAAATCTTCGGATAGAGTCGTCTTCCTATGATGCGCAAAGCCAAATGTAAGTTCCTGTACCAACGCAATGAGGCTGGACAAACAAAACCGACCTTTGACTCGTCCAATCGCCCATGCTTCTTGCCAAATATGCTCTTCCTCATTTGGAAAGCCTCGGATCTCCTTCTCCGGCCATCAATGGGAGCGGCATCGCCAGCAACGCTGCTTGCCGTTGTGTTAGGGTTCGTGTCGGAGTCCTGATTTCCTGTCGTTAGAGAGTCCGAATTGCCGATATCAATGGGTTTAGGCGCAGTTACCGTGTAGTCTGGAGTATCTTGATAGCCCTGTAGAGGGAGAATGATTAGCATCAAGTGCCAAAGGCGAAGGAAGCTCGAAATCAGACTTACCGTCATTTGCGAGTCTACATTATCAACGGGTACTGACGTGACAGCGTCTTCGTTTGCATCCGTCATTGGAGTGTCCGCCTGCGAGGGTGTATCGGAGTTGAGGACTTGCGAAGGAGCCATTTTGGTTCTCTGCGCACTGAGCGCAACTGTCTCTTACGACGCGAAACACGACTCGAGAATGCTTCGAGAGAACGGCAAAAGACCGAAGAAGAACTTGAAAAGATAGAGCCGATGATAGTTGATCTGTCCTGCAACTTTGTATGATGGTTATGGCGGCCGAATCGTTAAGCCTCAGAGTACAAGGACAGGAGAGGAAGTTGGATACTGAAGAACGATAGAATGTCGCCCGTCGCGCTGGGATGGCAAATGGACTTGCATTTCATCGGAGCAGCGCGGCGACGAGACGCGCTGATTGGATGAAGCGTGCAGCGGTTGATGACTCAGCGCCGAGCCGTTTTGACGCGGAATAGAGGTTTCCCCGCGGTGGATCACGTTACCGGGACAAAGCAAAGAAATGAAAGATCACCTACACAAGAGAATCGTTACAGTCCATCAATCACCTGCTGGCATCCGCGCTTCTACGTCGCCTTTCTTTCTCCTTTCCCTTTTCTTTTTCGTATCTACCTCCTTGTCAGTCATTGGTTTCAGTGCCTGAAAAGTCCTTTCTACTCTTTTTTTCTGGCTACATCATCGTGACTCTTTGTTCACGGAGCACGGTTCACCTCACCCCTTCTTCTGGCACCGAAGCGACTACCGTCTTCAATCTTCTATCAGGGCGGCTTCTGTCGCTGTTATAACAATCATGGACTCCATGAGATCTTTGAACACATCTTTACCGAGCTCGACGCCTCGCCCGCAGCCTCCCGAACAACTCCTACAATCGTTCAAAGCTGCTGCACTGTCCGTCACCAACCTTTACAAGAATGCTGTACTGGAACAAGCTCAGGCGAGACAAGCAGGTTATCAAGAAGCGATTGAAGATCTTCTTCAGTTCCTAGACAAAGAAAACCTTGGCCTCGGCGATGGGGAAGGGTGGAGAGTACGACGGTGGGCGACTGAGCGAAGTGACGGACTTGGTACACCTAGCGATGATGACGAGCGTGGAGATCTTGAGAAGAGCAGAAATACTCCACAGGCCACAGTTCGTAAGGAGCAGCCTGAGTCAGAAGCTGTCCGGCAGTCAACGAAGTTGGAATCGCCTCAGAAACCCGGATTGTCTCAGCGGGACGAGCCCGCCGCCCGGGAGCAGCAGCCGCCAGCGCTTTCTACCCCCTCAGCCAACGATACCAACGGCTTTGATAGGCATGCTATCTTCACCTTTACGGCAGGACCATCTTTCCCTCAATACCAGGAACACGACGTCGACATGCAAGCCTCAGATAGCTCTACAGCATCTTCTCAGGATGGTTCCCCTGTCAGCGTCTCCGTCTTGCCCCGAAACTCCCGACAGCAAAACCGCCAAACAAACCTATCGCGACCGAATCCTCGAAGCTCTCCCCGCGACTCATCTGTTGGAATAGGATCGAAGCGGAAGCTCACTTTTCCCGACTTTTTTGACCTCTCCGGTATGGGAAACAACAAAGACATGTTTGGAGGTGGCAAACGCGGCCGCTTCGCCTAGAGAATATAATTGTCGACGATGGGACGAATTTTATTCTTATAGTCACGCAGCGGTTGATTGATACTTCGGATTTTCGGTGCATTTGTGGGAGTATTACTTGTGCTTTCTGGAGCTCTTTTCTTCTGTGCATTTCATTCCCATCTTTCTATTCTTACCTTCTTTCACATTATCACACTTTCCAAAAACCTTTTCGTGCTTTTGTTTGTTTCATGCATTTCAACCTATAGAGGATATCAGATATGGCGATACCCAGCGAAGGCAGTTGTTGTGAACCTTCAATCGTATATATTTTGAATTTTGGTCTGCATGCGCACCAAGGAATCCTTTGTTCTCCTTCTTTCCCAGGACATATAGTATACCATCGATATTCAATAATGTACATTATGAGCTCGCACAATACCCAAAGCTTTGCTGCCGGTGATTAATTTAAAGCCCTCCATATCCCCATGCCTACTAATGTTGCAGATATAGTTGCAATGCCCAATTTCCGAGATCCCATCTTATATTTTGTCGCACTCCGCATGATTGTTTGTTCTTGCTTTCGTAGATTATTCATTCCCGTGTAGTAACTGTATACTCCAAGGCCAATGAACGCGGCCGAACCTATGTGTTTTCAAGTGAGCAAGCCGCCCTCTATGCACGGGAGCAAAGAAAGGACGAGAGGGACGTACCTGTTATTCGGCAAGAGAGGCAATCATCATACTTGTCTTCTGCTAGAATACGCTTTGCGTCTTTTGATTGAGCATCCCAAGCGCTCTGACTTTCTGACGGCGCCATTTGTAACTGGGTCCTTATCAGTGTGCGAAGGTAGGTGAAACAGTCTCAGAACAGGATCGAATTCTGATACGGATTTCTTCAAAATGCACCCCTGAAGTTAATCAGCAACCTGGGAGGACATAAACTTTGCATGCCTCGAGGAGCTTCCTCCCAACGCATCGTAAAATTACCAGGAGGCGGGATTCGGCGGCAGAAACACAGTGACTTATCGGATGTCGTCAACCAGCGGACGTATCTGATCTCCGCTAATGCTTCCCCACCGATTGAGACACACGACAGACCGGCATGATGAGCGAGGTCGATGCGCTCTACATCTATGATGAGTATAAGTATGCGCTGCCTTTAATGTTTTCCCCGAGGTTCAATTCCATGAGTGCTGACTGCCTGAGCTCTCAAGCAACCCGCTCGTGGAGCATGTATATCGCTCCCGTCCGCCCTCCGCGGCAGCTATCCTCCCCCTCTATCTCGCCCACTCACCCCCGCGTCCGTCACTCCTCTACATTCCAAATATCTCGCCCCCGGTGACGGTCTTTTCTATCGTACAGTCAAATCTGCTGTTTTTGGCCCTTTCCGAAGTTGATACCGAGCCGCTTCTTGCGCTGGAGTTCTTGCACCGAGTAGTTGATGTGCTTGAGGACTTTGTCGGGGCTCCATTACTCTCTTCCAAGCTTCAGGCGAACTACGATGTGGTCGCACAATTGCTCCACGAAATGTGCGATGCGGGAATAGTATGCAATACGGAACCAAATGCGCTGCAGGAAGTTGTGGAGATGCCAGGATGGATGGGGAAGTTGTTAGGAGGCGTTGGACTACCGGGGTGAGTATGGGGTTGTTGCTCTTGCAAGCCGGTCTTTTGATGCGGCTCTCTAAAAATGCGAAGTCTCTTACTGACCGGGTTACACTGCGTACAGGTCGTCTACACCTATACTAGGGCCTCCCAACCCTCTGAAAAACCCATTATCATCCGCAAATGTCGCACAGGGCCCTGCGATCCCGTGGAGAAAGGCCGGTGTGCGGCACACGTCGAATGAGTTATACGTCGACATTATTGAATCACTCTCAGTCACGATTGCTCCGTCTGGACGACTTCTGTCGGCGCTGGTATCAGGGACCATTGCGTTCACGGCTAAATTATCGGGGGTACCCGACTTGCTCCTCACATTAACCACTCCCAGCGGTCCCCAGGCTGTGGGGAAGAAGATAGACCTGCCGGTATTCCATCCCTGTGTTCGACTAGCTCGATGGAGGGAGCGACCTGGCGAACTCAGCTTCGTGCCTCCCGATGGCCGATTTATTCTTGCGGGTTATGAGGTGGATCTGCTTCCTATTGATCCTAGCATCGACCAACCTCCCACGCATATGGAGAAGGTGTTCTTACCTGCCATTGTCGAAGTACGCAAATCACTCGGACCGACGGGATCGGAATTTGAGGTCCGATTGATTTTAAATACAAGCTTTCCAGGATACTCATCTTTCAACCGCCCCGGAGCAGGGCGGGGCGGATCGGGTACTTCCACTCCCTCGTTCCTTGGAGGAGGCGGGAACTCCTCAGCACCCGTCCTTGAAGAGGTCGTGGTCACAGTACCAATACCGAAGACGGTTCGAAACATCACCGATATGCAGGCGAGTCGCGGAGAAGCGATATTCGCGCCCGGCAACGACACCCTGGAGTGGCGCATACCTACCAAAGACTCCGGAACTGTTTCGGGCACAGCGACTCTTCGCTGCACGGTCGTCGGACACCAGAATGTGGAAGACGAGTTTGAAGAAGACAACGAGGGGGCAGACGCAGACGCAAATCTGTTGCAAGGGTACTACGACGCCTCAACAGCAGCGTCTTACCAGGTCGCGGAGGAAGCCGCAACAGGTACAACGAAACGGAAAACGAAGAAAAAGAAGAAGACAACAAAGACAACAAAGACCAAGAAGTCATCCAAATCCGCCGCCGCCAGCGCGCTCGTCGCCTCCGATCAAGACAGTGTACCGCAAACCTCTCCCAATCCCTCAAAACCTCAAAGCCCTGCACCTGAATCGTCGAAATCGCCAGCCGCACCCGCCCCTGCACAATCCTCCTCCCAATCATCGTCCTTATTCTATACACCACCTCGTAAAACCAAGGCACAGCTGAACGCCAGCCTTATGCCGAACTCCGCCTCTGTCTCATTTTCTGTTAAAGGTTGGCTACCGTCGGGGCTCCGAGTCGACAGTCTGAACATCGACCCACGGCGCAGTCGAGGCCTCGGAGAAGGCGTGAAGCCATACAAGGGGGTGAAGTATCTGTGCGTCAGCAGGAGGGGCGTGGAAGCTAGATGCTAAGCACAGTTTCATCGTGCTACCTAGACAGAAGCTATCGCCATCTAGACATGCATGAGATGAGCCATGATATATCATTACTTTGCAATATACAGTGTTCGCAGGATCTAGCTACGATGATAAAATTGGGGTTTGGAAACCCGCGATGACAACGGTACTGACATTATGACATGCGCAAATTCAAGATGCCGGTCAGATTCAGGCTATATCATGGACCAAATTTGTATAACAGTACAAGTAACAGAACGTGACAAAAATGCCGTATCAAGTAGCGATTTGCAACCGAGAGAAGTAAAAGAGAAGACAGGTCCGTCACACTATCTTAGAGTTTCGATGATCGACGTTCGAGAATTTGCAGCACAATGTAGGCCACTAGATGTTCATAAATGTAAGTAGATGTATTAAATCAAGGTTATAGGTATTAGACGATTAGATCATTATCGGTAGATGTCGAATGTAAGGGTATCTCCAAGCCGCCGGGTATCCAGAAATCATTCAAGGGGCCAAGAACTGAACAAAAAGCAGAAATGAAATATAAAGCGAGGAAATGTAGTAGAGCGAGGAGGAAGACTCCTCGAGAGCGTTTTGAAGGTGTGAAAGGCGGGGCGGGGGAGAGTTCACTCTCGGTCTGCCGAGTAACGCGGAGAAGTGAGAAGTCGGGAACAACGATATACTTCACAGGCGGCGGAGAGGGTTGTGGGGAGACAAGATAAAGAGAGATTACTCACCAGCTGCAACAACTGCTGCCCTACCGGCACCAGCCTTCGCGGTTCCCCCGCCGAGAGTGAGGATGGTGCGCAGCCAGCCAAACCGAAGCTTATTGCCGTCGCGATCGAAATCGGGCACCATGGTACTGGCGACCTTGAACTTGTTGAGTTTGCCGGCATACGGAGGGTACCGGATCGAGAGGATCGCCTCGAGCCAGCCGGGGCTGGTGGTGATGGGGCGGCGGTGCACGAAGACGTCGAAACTGGCCTTTCCTCTGTAGGCGCCGTTGCCGCTCTCACCGACACCACCGAAGGGAAGCGTAGGGATGTGCAGGGCGGCATCGTTGACGGCAGCTCCGCCCGAGCGAGTCATGGAAAGGACTGTAGATCACGTCAGTTGGGTTGGTCCTGTGGCAAGTATGGTTGTCGGGTTGCCTAGGGGAAAGTGTGGTGGACTTACTCTTGTCGGTATCAGCCTTGTTACCGAAGGGGTATACACCCAGGGGAGTGCTCTGGATGCTGTTGGCGATATTGACGGCCTCCTCGAGGTTGTCGACGGGAAGGATGGGCATCAATGGGCCAAAGCTCTCCTGGATGATGAGAGAGTCGTCGGGCGAATCGACCTGGACAAGGGTCGGTTCGATGAACCTTTCGTTCTCGTCCATGGTTCCTCCCATGAGGATCTTTCCCTTGGAGTTATCGATCATGGACTTGAGCTTACGGAAGGCACCCTCGTTGATGATGCGAGAGTAATCCGGCGATGCTTTAGCGCCCTGGGGGTAGAATTCCTTGTAGGCCTTCTTGAACTCCTCAACCACGGCGGGCAAGATGGCTCTGTCGACCAAGAGGTAGTTCTGCGATGTGCAAATCTGGCCCGCATTCAGCGTTTTACCCCATAGCATACGGCGCGCGACCAGTCGAGGGTTGGCATTCTTGGTGATGATGGCGGGGTTGATGCCTCCCAGTTCCAGCACAACGGGAGTCAGATGAGGAGCGGCTGCTTTGGCGATGATACGGCCGACGTTGGCGCCTCCGGTAAAGAAGATCTTGTCCCATCGTTCAGCAAGCAAGGCCTGGACCTCCGTGGGTCCACCTTGAACCAATGTGTAGCATGACGGGTCGAGAGAAGCCTCCACAATCTGCTGCATGACGGCGGCGCACTTGGGGGAATTCTCGCTAGGCTTGATTACCACAGTATTACCAGCAGCAATAGCGCCAATGACCGGTCCAAGAGTCAACTGAAAGGGGAAGTTGAATGCACTATACTCGAATCACCGAACGTTAGTATATTTCCTGGCAAGTCGAAAATGGCTGGCTCATACCCAATAACCAGAACACAACCCAGCGGGTCTTTACGGATCTTAGGGTTCATAAATTTGTAGTTGAAGTCGATATCCTCGGCCTTCTCATCCTTAACCCACTTGTGAAGATTCCGGCTCACAAACACGATGTCATTCTCCATCCATAAGGTCTCGGAGACTTCGGACTCGAAACGTGGCCTGCCCAGATCCTGGGCCAAGGCCTCGACGATCTGCTCCTCATGGTCCTTGATACTGAAAAGAATGGCATAATTCATTAGAAAGAAGTCCGAAAATGCACAAGTGAAAGAATGGATGGTTCACTCACGCCCAGTAGAGCTTGCGAAGCTGCTTCAAACGAAATTCGACATCGCGCGTCTTGTGCTCTAGAAACGACTTGCGCAGTCTCGAGGCGCGCTCCTGGATATCTTCAATAGGAGTAAATTGAAGTGGCGGAATGTCCGACGCAACCATGATGGAAAAGGGGTAAAACGTTGAAGAGTTACAAGTTACAGCTGAGAAGAGGAATTTTGGCGGGGATGGGCGGGACGGGAGCTGAGCTATATAGATGGAGCTTACTACAAGCGGAAGATTGTTTTAAGGAGAAGAGGGTCAAAACGCTTAAGATTATATAGTTACTACCTAGGTTAATTTATCTATCTGTTCAAAACTAAGCCCGGAAATATGTTCGTTCATTCATTTGTTCTTCAGGAGGGCTAGAATAATCATGTCCGTCAGAATCGTCACCACATGCGTCAAACCGCTAGAAGCTTAATGCTCTTCCCCTCGCTTTGAGCATCTTTGAACCGCGGCAACTCCTTTCTCTCTCCCCTTCGTCCATGGTTGTACTGTCCCACCATCACAAATGACATTAATCCATCCACTAAAAAGGCAAACACATTCATACAGAGTACAGTTGATCACTTGATTCAATAACCTCAGTTCCTAGAAGATATTCCATAGAAGAGGTGCTGGCTTCATTCTGCAGCACCATCCCTAACTATGGGATCTTCAAGTTATGCTTCCTTTGCATTCGGAGTAACTCCACATGATCGGCAACGCCCTCGCAACGCTCTCTCAATCTGTCAACTTGACGGGAGCAATAGTTCAGCCGAGATGCTATGGTTTTTGTCCAAGTGTCACCGTTTATCATCAGGCACATGGATCCTATCACCTTGTGTGGCCAATAACTAACCAGCAGCAATCCTGCTAAGACCACAGTACTCCTTTTGGGTACAAAGTAGAGTCTTCCGTGCAAATTCTAAATCTCAGGAGTGCCATAATCCTGAAGATCTTTGCTCTCGCTGAAAGCTCGTCTAGAATGAAGCAGAAATCTCGAGAAAATATGTTATGGAATACTTGAGAACGGAACTTCAAGAATGAAACGATTTTGATGCGACTATCCAGGTATTGGCTTTCTCTGTATGAGAAGACATTTCAAAACAAAAACTCCCAAGATCCCAATGCGTACAGTCTACTGTACACTGACAAGACTTGACAGCGTCAAGAACAAAGTGTCAGATAAACAAAAAAAATTAAACGTCAGTGTCATGAGAAATTTTCAGGCGGTTCTTGACTATCCACCATCTCAGTGCTTGAACTGATCCTCTGTCACACCCTTACCCATGGCGGCGGTGCTGCTGACACCGCCAGTGAGCATCTTCAACATGTTATCCACATAGTTGGCACCACTCCATTTCTGGTGAGTCACCACGTCCACGCCCTGCTCCATCTCGGGTTCCTGCACCAGTTCGCCGTACGCGCGCATTCCCTGTTTCGCGTAGGCCCTGGCGAACTGGTCGGAGATGAGTGCGGTAGTGTGCAGACCAGCCAGGGTGATGAACTGCCAGGCATAGCCCAGAGCGCCGAGTCTCTTGATGTAAGTCTCCTGCTCCTCACGCGGCATAGCCTTCTTCCAGTTGAAGGATGGCGACAAGTTATACGCCAACTTCTGTTCGGGCCAGACGGCGTGGACACCGTCGGCAAACTCCTTCGCCTGAGCGTAATCAGGGAGCTTACTCTCCATCCAGATCAGGTCCGCGAATGGAGCATAGGCAACAGCACGGTTGATAGCGCACTGCGTTCCTCCCTGGTACCGGTAGTAGCCCTCCCGAGTACGGGGAGCATCCCAGTCCCAGTAGATGTCAACGCCAGTGATGCCCTTGGCGATCGCACGAGCCTCACTGTTGCTCTTGCCCTTGACGGCAGTCAGGTACTCCTTGATGAGGGCATCCTTGTTGACATGCACGCCCGCCTTGATGGTGTCGACAACAGCATCGTTGAACAATTTCAGACCAGCTTGGGCGATCCATTGATCCTCGATGGCCTGGAGCTCTTCGCCAGACTTGCCGGCCTGCTCACCCGCCAGCATGAGGTCGTTCAGTGGCTGCAGGTTGGGATTGGTAGAGCCAACGATGAAGGCGTGATCGCGGTGGTCGATGGTAGAGGTGATGAGTGTTGCGGCTTCAGAGTCGGTACGGGCAATGGCAAGCAGGTCGGTTCCTGGGGTCTTGTCAGCTGATATTCTGGTGGAATGGCATTCTGCATGTGTACTCACCCATGATATCTGCCTGCGCGCGGATGGCAACCAGACGGTTGATGTGCTCGCTGATAGGGACAAGAACCTTTCCGGCCATGTGACCACACTTCTTCGTACCAGGGGCTTGATCTTCAATGTGAATACCGGCAGCGCCTCTCTCGATGAACAGCTTGGTCAATTTCATGACAGCGGTGAGACCACCATGGCCGGTATCAGCATCGGCGATGATGGGGCGCAGGTAGTCGATGTTGGGCAGCTTGCTCCGCTGGTCCTTGGGGGTTGTGATGCGTTCCTCGCGTTGTTTCCGGTCATGGAACAGCTGTGCCATGAACAGCTGGTTTACCTTGTTGGGGACGGTGTTCTGCGCAATACGGAATTAGCACGAGCGCAACGGAGCATAGGACAGAGGCTGAATAAGAGCTTACCATGGGGTAATCTGCGAGATCGGGGGAGGGTTCATCGGTGGACGAGGCGGTGGAAGAGCTCTGCCAGCCGGAAACGTAGACGGTGTCGAGGTACTTGGCCATCTGGGTGAGCATGGTTGGTTCCAGACAGCCATAGGTGAAACTGGCAACTTTTTTCTGGAGGGGATTAAGGTCAGTGCTTTTTCTCTGCACTCCGGTCGAACCTGCGTACCTCAAAGTTGCTTTCCAGGATCTTCCAGAGCTTCTTGCTCTGGTCATTGGAAGGGTACTGGATCTTCAGGTTTCCACGCTTCGCCACGATCTGCTCTGCAGTGTACGGGCGTTTTGTGTACCTCCATCTCGAGTCTTTCCACCAGGCCTTGACGGCTTGGACGTCGTCCAAGTATTTCTGGTCTTCGTCTTCAAGGAAACCCATTGTGACAGGTATGAAGAGGATTCAAAGAGTGGGAGTTGGAACGAATTGGCCACAGAAAGGTTGATTGACAGCAGTAATGTAACAGTAGCTAACCCTACACTAGGAGGAACATGCAAGACAAGATATAAAAGAAGAACAGAACCCAGAGAGGAGAGAAGAAAGTAGGTGAAGCTGAAGGAGAACAGGTAGGGAAGAGAATTGCAATCTCAAATCCAGAATCACAAGCCAGAAACCAGGGTACTTATTACATTTGAAGCATGCGCCATCGCGAATGCGTCAGAAGGTCTATGGTCGGTAATCGCTCGGCTCAGCGGGACAACGAGGAATCCAATGCGGGCCGGCCATATGAGCATTGCACTATTATTGAATAGAAGTACCAGAAAGTTTCGCAAACCGCGGAGAATCATTCGTCGACTTGCTCATCAGGAATTTGAGTTAACATGTTCCAAATTCACAAGCTAGCCCCGAGAATCGGCCAAGCTCACTGGTGGTGGCTCGGGAGAGAGGATCGAGACTTGCTGATGATCCTCGGTCTAATGGACGCAGTAATACAGGAGTGCCTGTTTTCAACACCCATTGCCACACAACCATTTTGCATGCGACTGACTGATATAAAGTCGATTGGTATTCATATTTGAACGCTTTTATCAGTCGAGCACCTCTCGAGTAATATCAAATAAATTCGAATTTCTATGAAATGCCATGAAGCTGGAAAGCGAGAATCTCAAATGCGACAGGATGACGTAAAAACATGTGCTAGATGTATGACAGTACATGACAGTATCAAATAATGTACCTCAGGGAGATCGGTTCTCCAACATCTGACAGTTCAGAAGCACACTCCTTGACACCGATTCTCGGAGCTTTAACGACCCTGTCAGACATTATCAAATTCTACTATGCTTAAAAGGAATATCCCCCGAATGTTCCTGTCCTTCTGCTCCGTACAATCCGGTGAACTCGGTGCCGATATCAGAACTGAGTCATCTCAAGTATCGATGTCAGACCCCGGTAATTGTACCCCACATACGTACGGTTACCATCGCAGAGCTTAAATCATGCACAACCTCAGGTGTATATGCCTCAGGCAGTGGTACAACATCACAGCTTTAATCAGAACAAGTAGATATAAAAACACTACAATTGTACAGAAAGTCTCAAATACTTCGATATGTTCTCCGTATCTACAGTGAAACAAAACAGCAAGATATCGAAAAGTACCTAAGGTACCTAGGTAGGCATCAACCTCGGCCCAGCGAGCACCAATCACAGGCCCGGAACGCTTCGTCCAGGGGTGACTCGCATCTGTCCAAAGTATCACGAAAATCAGCCTCGGGAAAATAAGGAGGTGGAATGCGTCCTGTTCCCGTTTTATTGTCGACGAAAATGCCATCATCGTCTTTCTGATTGACAACTGAATAAATATAGTGGCTATTTTGGGCATATTTCCGCTCGGAGGCGGAGATGCTCTAAGTACACTGCTGCGTGGAATGTTCACATGCAAATCGTATATCAGATTGCAATTACATCTACATCTAACCTAACAAACAGTCACGAGGCATATTGCTGGAACAGGCACTGGACTAGACTAGGATTTGAACCTCTCGCCTACTAATTCCTCACTCAGCTTCCATAATCGCTCTGCTTCGAGCGGACTCGTAGCCCATGGCTTGGCTGTGTCGACCCACGGGTCTGCAACATGGCAGTCGGTCAGGTACTTGACGTTGTGTTCTGGGTTGTATCAGCGGAGCACTCAATCTTAACGGACAAGACTCTTACCTGCAAGATCAGGATCAAAAGCTGCATAGATATGGGTCGAGCTGTCCCCAATGGTTTCGGGTCCAGTCTCTTCCAGCCTTCTGGGTTACCCTGCGCGCGGTCGAGAGCAGCTGTCCTGTCAGTCAGACTCAAAGAACGAGAGACCAGAAGGTGAAAGGCACATACCGAGCTCCTCGAAGCTCCCGTCCAGATCTTCGAGAAGGTGGTTCGCAAGATTCGTGAAGATCACTCCCGGGTGCAGACCGAACGCGAGAAGATTCCGGGTCGCAAGCTTCTCAGCCAGAGAAACGGCCATGAGCATATTCGCCGTCTTGGTCTGCCCATATGAGAGGTATCTATTGTATACCTTGCCATTCTGACAACACTGTCAGCCCAGCTCACAACAGTACAAAGAACCAAGCGCCACTCACATCGAAGTTATAATCCTTAATCCTAACCCCACTCAGCCGATGCCCATCACTAGCAACCATAACAACCCTCGGACTCCTCGCCGCCAGCACCTTCCCCATAATCAAGTTCGTCAGAAGGAACGGCACGAGATGGTTCGTCGCAAACTGCGACTCCATGCCCTACGCCGAAAGCGCATACTCCGTCGCCATAACCGCGGCGTTGTTGACCACTACATCGATCGCAGGGATATCATCCCACGAGTTGATCTGCGACGCTGCCTGCCGGACGCTATCCAAGGAGGCTAGATCGATCTCGAGGAGGCGGGTCTCGACGCTTGGATGCCAGGCCTTGATCTCGTCAGCTGTCTGCTGGATTTTGCTCCTGTTGCAACCGGCGAGGATGAGGCGTCTTGGTCCGGCGGCTGCGATGGACTGCACGAAGTGGCTGCCTAGGCTGCCCGCGGAGACGCCGGTGGTGAGAATGACTATGCCTTTGATCTGGCTGGCATAGTTCGGACTAGTACGTGGGCGGGCGTGTTCTTGTCGATGAAAGACATGGTTGTAGGTGCGAAGCATCTCTGAATTAAGCTTATGGCTGTACATCTTGAGACGATGTGTCTTATTTATATACGTAGGACCATGCTGGGTGGCAATTTGGCAGATGCAGGATGCTACTCTTGGGGTATGAGATGCATTCTGCTGACTGCGGAGATAGCTTGTTTATCTCCAAGGTAGATTCTGGCAACGGATGATGTCTTTATGCAAGACTAGATTCATCAGAATCCAAAGTTTATGAATGGGATGACGATGCTATTGACCGAATCGAGTATACCTATAAAAGTACTCTATGTGAATGTTCCCGCCAGAGACAAGTTATCTTGTCTCCGGAAACAGATGGCAATTTGAATAAATGACTGGACTTGGAAAGAAAGAAAGATGTTCAAATGGTAACACAGGGCTAGTCGTGGAAATCAATTTTCCGTTCCTTTCTGGTTATGCTGACATGGCTGAGAGAAACATGCCGACTGGGACGACAAGAGGATAGCATCTGCAAAATCCAGGAACACATCAAACTCCATGGTGCCTGAAAGGGTTTTCTGCATCCGATTCACTCGAACTGAATATTGAGAAACGAGCCGCAATATGACGATTAAAATGATAATACCCACGAAACGAGAAATCAACCTGCCGCAAATCACGATGAATGCTTCTCTAACCAGTAGTAGAAGATGCTCCGAAGAAAGGAGAAGCCTGAAAACTGGAAGTAGTAAGCGTCGAATCACCGATTCTAATAAGCGTCCTGCACGGCTATAGCTTTGCTGTACGTCTCCCAAGGGGTGATGGCTCCCAGCGCGCGCCGTTGATGGGCGTTTAGGAACTCCAGGCCGTACACATAACTGGCATTGACCCAGCCAAACCTGTATTCAATCGTCAGCTATCTGGTGCGGGTGGCAGAAGACGTGTAAACTTACCCTTCTCGAGGCGCACCCTTGAAATCTACACCCTGGTTGCCATATTCGGCATCGACCCGGTGTGGATCGATCGGCCGAGTGACGTCGTATTTCTCGACGACAACACCGTTAAAGTCGACAAAGGCCTTGGTGATCATGAACAACCACTTGTAGGCCAGACGCTCAGCTTCCTCCTGGTAGCCGTATCTCAGCAGGCCCGTCCAGGCCAACATCTGCTGCGGAGCCCAGCCGTACGGGTAGTCCCATTGCCGGTTGGGTCTGTCCAGGCCTACAGCGCCGCGGGACTCCTCGGTTCCGGATACCAGGCCACCATAGACCTCAAATCTGGGCAAAGCCTTCCTCACCATTTCTGCCGCCTGGTGCGGTGTCGCAAGTCCAGCCCACATGGCCCAGAATGTTGTGGCGCTCTCATAAGTCGTCCGCTTCTGCAGAACCGTGTCATAGTCGAAGTACATGCCCTTCTCATCATCCCAGAGGTAGGTATCCATCCGCACCTTGCGTCGTCTTGCACGACGATCCCACACAGAGGATGACTCACTTTCGATATCCTTGGTCGACTCAGTGCGGAATTCAGGAGGGATTTCTAGCCTGTCTTTGAAATAGGTCCGGATAATCCTGGCGATATCGACCTCGTACTTGTACAAAAGAGAGTTCAAGTCCACCGTGGCCAAATTGGCACAGACTCTCTCGAGACGGTAGCTGGTATCGTGGCCCGATTCACGGACGGCCCTATCGTGCAAGAAGTACTCGTCGAGCTCAGGTTCCTGCACTTTGCCTTCGTTGTAAGCCTGGACAAACTCCTTAAACGTCATACCATGCTTTTCAGCATACGGAGTGAGGATATGCGTGAAATGCGTCGGTTCAGTTTCGGGAGGAACACCTCTTCCTTCTGGACGGTACCTGGACAGACCCGACAGCTCGTCATACCGCGGTGCAGCCGTCCAGACGCTGTAGTATTCCTTGATCGCAGCGAGTGTTGCGTTGCGAAGGAAATCCATTGCGTCCGGCTCGTTCTTGATACGCTCATAGACACGCAGCGCCATGTCGGTCAAGAACGGTGGCTGTGAACGGGTGAGGTAGTATGAGCGGTTGGCATTCAATATTTTGCCGTAGTGCTTGATGCAGAAGCAAAAGTTGATGACCATGGCCTTGGCCAAGTCCACTCTGTTGCTGACCAACAAGCCTAGAGACTCCATGTAACTGTCCCACCCGTACAGCTCGTTGAATCTTCCTCCTGGGACAACAAACGGCACACCAACGTATTCGGTCTTTTGGGTGAATTCATTGTACTTCTTCTGCATTGCCAACGCGAGCAATCCGGGCTTAGAGTTCAGATCCCTCACATAGTCCGGTGTAATGTTCGCATCGAGCATCTGCACATCGAGTCGCAACTCGGGGCGCTCCTTGGCAATCCCTTTGTAGTACTCGAACTGCTCGGGGGCACCGTGGGGGACATAGATCCGAGGCCGCGGGTCATCAGTCCAGTCTTTGGGATCCCTACCGGCGACTTCAATATTGGAACCATCAATGCGACGAGTGAGAGCGTCCCAAAATGAATTCTTGATAAGGCGAGATAGACGCGCAACAGGGTTCTCGCTCAAACGAGCTTCGTCGAGAATGATGTGCTTCCTCCCATAGTCTTTGGCGATGGTGAGCTCCTGGAGAAGATTGGAGAGCATGTACGTTCCTCGCACATCGAATCGGTTGTACCCGGATGACGCAGCGGTTCCTACTGATAACACCTGGATAGCACCAATCAGCCGTCGCTCGAAATATGACTTGCACCGTTCCGGGCCAATGGCAAGACCAAATCACATACCTTCGGACCAGCATCCTCAATCGTTATCTGCATGTTCCTGTCCGTATCCTCCCTTTCCAACAAGCTCTGCAGGGTTGTGTCGACGTCGATAAGGAACTTCCGTGGTTGTGCGGAGAGTTCATCTGTTGAGCACGTGCAGGTCAGTCACCGCAACTTTCTCAGTTTGTTCTTCGCAGGGGCTTCAGATACGTACCATGGCTGCCTCTCCTGGCAGGGATTCTGCCCAGAAGATCCTGAATATCCTCGCGGTTGAATGCTTTCAAAGTCTAGATGTATATTACCGAAATTGATCAGCAAAATGCCCTGGTCTCCAAGCTGTCGTAAGCATATTGTAACTCACCGAAGAAAACGCACGCCTGCGGTCTCGAATCCGCGCAACTGAGTCCTCGTCTCCATAATAAACGTCAGGATCAGAAAACGGATCGAGGGAATTCGTTCGTCGATGCTGTGTATTGGACGAGCTCATCGTCTGTTGGTCGTGGAAGAATAAATGGAAGCGATCTCGGAGTCAAAAAGGCTAAAATAACGATCAGAGCAAGGATTGTTGGGCTGAACGAGGTAAAGCGAGATCAATGACCGCGCCGAAAGTCGTCCGTGGCGTTCTTGCTGTGTCCCTTAAAAATTGCTATGATGCTTGGTGTCTGAATTCCAGCTTGCAGCACAGAGTGAAAAGTTCTTAGTGATAAATGACGAAGGGAGAAAGATAGACAAAGGGGAGTTCCACACGAATTGGCCACACCGATCAATTATTAGTTACCACAGACGACGGACGGAGGAATGACAACGTGTGCCGTGGGGGGATGCACTGTTATTTTTGTTTTTCTATTTTCCTTCGGATTCCGCTTGATTTGGCTTTTCTTCTTTTTCCTGTCCAGATGATTTCCGAAGCTGGACTTTCTTGAGTATTACCTGAACAATTGAACTCCGACAATGATAAAGAGGTTCATTGTGCTGGTATGACGGCATAAGTGAACAGATGATGTCGCCGCTCCACAGGGCTCCATCACTACATCATTGCCGCTCATCACTACTGTGTTTCGTAGCCTGTAGGGTATCCGCAGCGTCAAAGAAAGTTATCGATAGTAGTCTTGACAAGGATATGCTCGAATCGAGAACGTGCAAATGGAGGGGGAGGGGCTGAATGAAATAAATCTTATCGAATCAACAAATCATAAAGTGACAGATCGGAGCGAAGAATAAGAGGGAAATGCGTCGAAATCGGTTGGTTACGATCAAAAACGGTTGTATAAAACTTTACCAGTGTCGACCACCGGTGCATATGATAGATCGAAGGCCTATACCACAGATATCACCAACATCAATCCAATATTAATTCAGACTACTCGCTTGGGGATGTCATTCCTCGATTATACTTCCATATCCCTCACTATTTTGTATGGTAGCGTCTAAAACTGTTCAGTGTTTGAGATCGACGTCCAGCAAGAGACTCATCAACGAGTCTGCCATCTCCCGCAATGCGTTCACCAGGAAGCAGTATCGCGCGGTCGAGTTGAACAGGCAGTCCACGGTGGCGTCCTCGTATCATCATGGCACAGATGACGATTTTGCTAAAGACGCTAAACTGTCCACAAAATGAGGTGGTCACATTGGGGTATCCCAGACTGAGACCAACGTTTCCACTGCAATGCGTCAGACATCTTCGGAAGGAAAGGAATAGATACTGTACTCACTATGCAGAGACAACCTCAAAGAATACGGCAAACACGCTGAAGCCCTGCAAGAAGTCAGTGGTGCGAGCCCTAAAAGCGAAACAAGACTGGAAACCGACAGGTTCCGAAGGGTCCATGATCCTCCGTGCCTCGGTGGCACAGATACAGAAAATCCCAAGAAATATATACCAAAGATCAAAGCTGAGTTGATTGCGCATATGCGTCGTCACGTAGTTAATCCCGTTGTTCTCATCCAGCTCATCCTGATTAGAGGGATATAGCCCAAGAGCACGTTCCTCATATGTATTCGAAGCACGGATGCTGATGGCAATCGGAAAAATCGAAATGTACATCATGACTAGTAAGCTGAATTGAACTGCAGGGTTCACTTCTGCGAGGTTGAAGGACGAAGTTCCCGTATGGCGTGCCGAAGCAGCCTGAAAAATGGCCGCGAGGATGCGATGCCCACCGGATAGAGTGTTGACAGCCGGATTATGGAGATCAAGCAGCACAATGAGCAAGACGTCCACAAAGTTCAACACAAAAAGGATTCCAAAGAGCACCCATGTCGGTCGGCTACGGAAGAGCAGCGTATAGCAACGGCGTGGATAATTCAATAAGAAGCTCAGCGGCTCCCTGACGGACGAGTGTTTCGGGGCGGATTTGAACATGATCCAGATGATGAAGCGTAGAAAGCAGGGGTACATAGTATGCCCTGCGTAGGCGAGAAAGCTCATGATGAACATCGGGAATGCTGCATCTCGAAACGATATCATCGAGTCCGGAGTGAGTGTGAATCCTAGGTTGTCAACCATCGTCTGGGACGTGTACAAGGCCCTGCCGGCGGCGAGCATAGTAAGCCTTGCTGATATTGGACTGTCAAATGCTCATGCAGCAGCAAACCTACCACCAGACGTTTCCTTGTCCGCATTCCTTCAGATAGTCCCTGTATTTGGGATCCGCATGTTGAATCCAAGGCACGAGGCAAATGACACCAAAGACATGGAGGCCAACAAAATAGCCTATGCACATATGTCAGGTTCTCCGTATGAAATTATCTCAAGTCTACTCTCACCCAGCGTTATCTTGAGAAGTAGCCTAAGGCTGCGATACTCTATTCCTCCCAGAGCTTCTCTGTCTTCAGGGGTCAGGTTATAGAACTTTGAGTTTCTGCCGAGACTGGCTTGTGAGGACAGTTGCGGCAGCTCCGGGTCTTTGGCAAGCGAGATGGTTCTTCTAGTCTGTTGCTCTTGAGATCTAGAGGGATAAGATCCAAGCACAAACATCGACGAAGCAACACGCTCCAGCGGGATGCCACTGACCAAAGTTCGGTGACGAGCTATATCGGTCTGATGATCATCATCGGCGTGTTCAAAATGGTCTGGTGTTGACGGAGTATTAGTGTTTACGTCTCTATGAAGATATAGAGATCATACCGTGGTCGTCTATCTCCGTGATAGCATGACCTTGACCCTGTTAGCGCAGAACTGAGTTACTCAGCTCAGAACCAGGAATTACCTCTGTCGCGTTCGCGCGGCGAGGGTATGTGCAGAGCTTTTGAGTTGTCTGCAAAGGAAATTTGTCTGTGTTTGGTCGGGTTCTCGCCGCCATTGTTGTCATTGCCCGAGATGATGCAATCATGTTCCCTGAAAATCCCCCCTTGATGCTTAGACAACCCAGCCGGAATTAAAACAATTTAGTGGAGGTACCCACTTATTCAGCTTCAACTGATTATCATATAGAGCACTCGAGTGCATCTGCGCTGTATTGGCTTCTGAAGGCCGATCGGCATTGGCCTTGGCTGGTTGCGCTTCTGCATCTTTCGAGCGCGATGATTCTGATTGCAGAAGAGTAGGCGCTTCACGAAGTTAGCAACAAGCAAACCTAGATCGGATTGTAACTGATAGATGAGCTGTAACACATACCCAGTTTTTTCAGACGCTTCTCGAACCAGTGCAGTCGCACAACGACCACTATAAGATTGATGAACCCAGCGTTGGCCACAATCGGGACAAAGTACAGAAATAGCTGTTGATAGGTCTTTAGCTCCTTCACATCAACACTGTTTTTGATCAATTTTTTATCAGCAAGTGTCTCCATGAACTTCGGAGTGAGGCCAACAAACGGGTTCAGTCCTGATTCTGTCGAGGAGCTTACTCCGAAAAGGTAGGCATCGACTGCAGTGAGGTTCCCATATGGGTAGAGGATAACAATCCCTAAGATGCCCAAAGTAACGATGTATGCATCTTATTTCTAATGAGCTTGCATAGAATGATGTAGATCAGATAAGGTTAACGCACAATGCAAGGTTATGAAATTAAGTGGTGGCTTCCACATTCCTAGCTCTCAATTAAGATAGATCTCGACCGCAACTTGGGATATTACCCTCGCAACCAGAACGCCGATAACTTTTAGGGTCAAGTCTAGGAACAAATGATAAGCTGAATACTCTTAGAGACCTTTGTTTCGTTCAATAAGTGTCACTGAAGTAGAAGGTTAATATATTGGACTCACGCCGAATTTGCCCATCTACAGCTTTATAGTATAGGGCGCGTTAGCTGAGGGATTTGCCAGACCAATCCGAAGCTCACCGAACAGCAACCCCACGCAACTATGAAGCTCCCCTGCGTCTATAAAGCTTCAGATGTAAGAGGCAATTATCTTATCCACTGGTTAAAAGATGTGGAATACGAGCTCTCAAGATATTTTTACTGAGCCACCGCCATCGGGCTGAAAATGATGAGATCTGAGAGTCGCAACGGACGATCTGTCAGCCCGAAAACCTCAATTTGATCAAGGCGAGAGCTGCATTTACCTACCATAACTTTTACGGCACGGTGGCATCAGAAGACGTGCTCAGTTGACTCCTTGATACTGGGGAGTCGGGTTGGTCTATTCACGCCAAGGCAATATTACGCTCTCTGAGAACGGGGTTACGATGACGACCTTATCTCGCGGAAGTGCCATGCAAACTCCCAGGGATCGGCTGAAGTGCATAAGTTGGATTAGACACGTGGATATTGGTGACCCTGTTCAGCTGTTCTTATTCCCAGAGGATCAAGATTTACTGTATGCAACCCCTGCTCAACTGCTCATAACAGTGGAAGGCAGCCACAACCAAGGGGATGATCTGATATAAACTCGGCAAGACCTTCTTGAATAGGTTATGATAAGCGTGTCCATTCGAACGTTTTTGCTTTTCTAGTCTGCGCTAAGCTGGTTGTGTATCTTGTCTACATCTTCGCAGCAATCGCGCTACCACCGTCCACCGTGATTGTCGCACCATTGATGTACGCACCGGCCCGACTGCTGAGGAAAAGGCAAGCACCGGCGACATCCTGGGGCGTGCCAATACGGCCCAGTGGGTTAGCGCCTTCGATAGCATCCCGGAATTTCTCCAAGGTGGCGGCCATCATCTTGCTCTCGAAGGGACCGCAAGCCAGGGTGTTGGATCTGTCAGAAAGCCATGTTAGTTTCCTTCTTCGACGCAAGTAACTAGCATAAGGTGTACGGACGTGATATTCCTCTTGCCAAGGTGATGTGCGAGGACACGGCTCAGATGATGTAAGCCAGCCTTGCTAGCACTGTATGCGAACGTCTCCAGAGCCGGAACTCTCAATCCATCAATGCTACCGATGTTAATGATACGGGCTGGATCATTCGGCGCACCGGCCTTCTCGAGAAGGGGCGTAAGGAGCTTGGTGAGATCAAAGACTCGTTGCAGGTTCAGGGTGAGAACTCTGGTCCATGCAGATGAGGGGTATTCATCGTATGGAGCACCCCAGTTTGACCCGGAGTTGTTCACGAGGACATGAAGCTCTGATAGAGCATGGGATTAGCCTTCCGCCTGAGCAGGGCCCCCCAAAACCAACTTACTGCTTTCGCGCTTGGCAATCTCCTCAGCTAGCCTCTTGCATTCCTCCTCCTTGTAGAAGTCCGCGGGAATAGCATACGCCTTTCCCCGGCCAATAGCATTCAGCTCCTGCACGGCCTTCTCGCAAGCCTTGGCATCCCGAGACGAGATGTAAACTGTTGCGCCGTTGGTGACGTAACCTTCGGAAATCATACGCCCAATGCCTTTGGCTCCGCCGGTGACCAGCACCACTTTGCCCTACATAATTGTTAGCAATATGCAAAATGTTGGTGCGCAGGCGAAGAGCACCGATACTAACCTCCACATTGAAGAGACTCTGGGTATCCATTACAATAGTGTCAAAAATGAGATTCTGGGGCGCAAAAAAGAAAAGAATGAGGGGAATAAATTCTGAAGAATGTTTCAAGGGAGACCTGTCTTCACCATAGTCGAGGCGAGGGAAGCCCTCCTCATATAGTCTAGCTACGATGCTTATCCGACGACCGAGAGACTGTTGCACGGCTTGGGGAAGAAATACCGAGGCTGTTCGGAGCGGGAACAACAGAAGCACCGACACATAGACGCTATGCCTAATTTAGGAAAATCCAGGGCCGTCTGGGCGCTTGTGCGGGGAGGGGCGAGTGTTGTTTTATGATTATTCTCTTGAGTTGCAGTTGCTCTACGGTTGTATGGCGTTGGTCCCATAGATGGCATTATCGGTTTCAGCATCTCTTAATTGATATCATTTACTTCTCGCATATTCACTCGGTTTAGTCTTGCGTCATACCCCAAGATTATAGATTTCTCGCTTTACCTTGCATTTTGCCTGCGTTTATCTAAAAATGGAAGAACTATTAGCGAGACATCGCAAGGAGCAGAAAGATCTTCAAGCGCGCATCACGCAGAAGAAGAAATCAGCTACAAAGAAGACACGTCGAGGAATCAACGAGGAATGCGAGAGGCTACAGCGAGAGCTCTCCGATCGTCACCAAGCCGAAATTGCAGCGCTCAACGGCGAACCTATCCAGCCAGTCGATGGCTTCGGAGACCTCAGTCTTCGCGATCCCGATGCTGAAGATGCAGATTCAGTAGGGAAACCCACATCAGATGATACACAAGGCACAGACAGCCTCCCGGAGCCTTCAACGACCGACTCGACTGCGACCTCCACACCTGCCTCCGCCCCGCGTACGAAGAAACCGAATCGACAAAAGGCTCGTCTAGCACGTCGGGCAGCGGAACAGGCGGCTCAGTCGGCGCTTGCCGCAGAAGAGGCCGCGAAACAGGTTGACCATCGTGGTAACGAAAAGGAGGTGATGGAGGCTGTTTTCAAACGACTGGGCTTGAAAGAGGTGGAAATCAACCCAGATGGGCACTGTTTATATTCAGCTATTGCCAATCAGCTGGAAGAATCAGGGCTTGGGCTTAGGCCTGATCCACAAAGGATAGTCATTCAGCCCCAGACGCAGTCTCGGCTTGATACGGTTGCTTCGCCCAGACATGATGGCTACAGAGCGGTTCGAGCAGTGGCAGCGGATTTCATCGTCGAGCACAAGGATGACTTCGAGCCTTTTATGGAGGAGCCGTTGGATTCGTATACCCGGAAGATCAAGCTTACCGCCGAGTGGGGAGGACAGCTGGAGCTGCAGGCAATCGCTCGGGCGTATGGAGTTAATATTAATGTCATCCAAGGCGATGGCAGGATAGAGAAGATCGAAGCCGGCGATATGGATGGGATTGATGAGGAGGAAAGGAACAAGCGGGTCATTTGGTTGGCATACTACCGGCATACGTACGGGCTGGGAGAGCATTACAATGCACTTACGAAGCAATCATAGAGCAGCCATTCAACAAGGGAGAAACATGCGATTTGATATCTGTTCTCGAATCCGCTAATTGCTCTTAAGCGTCTCAGGATCGTTGTCAAGGGTCCCGGATTACGGCACAAAGAACAAAAGAAGTGATGACCTAGTTCGGGCGGCGCCATATCGACACTCGGTCTTGGACCTCTCCCTCAACAATCCCAACTTCATGCGTCCGAGCTGGTTGCCAATATGCCACTCGCTCAAGCCCCTGGGGGCTTGGCGCTTTTGATGGGTCAATGCTACATTGACGATTTGCATCATATGGGATCTCTTCGCCAGGGTGGTTCAGATGTGCCATATAAGCCTCGGACGTAGAGGCCCACGGAGGGCCCTGTAGTGACGTATCCTTGTGCCTTGGAAATTCAAGGCAAATGAGATGCCCACGCGGCGAATCCGCCAGAAGCTGGGTGTGCCTGAGCGCCCATTGCGGACGCATTGACGGGTCCAAGGCGCAAAAGAACTATCAAACACAGCTGTTTAGCGAGAGAAGCACAGTACTGCGATAGGAGCTAACTGAGGTCTCCTGAGAAAGAAGACAGAAACCAGGCCGAGTGCATTGTACAAAGGACCTTTGAGATCCACATACCGTGTAGTCATAGATCAAATCGAAAGAATTCCGAGGCAATTGTAGTTTCTCCAGCCAAGTATCCTTGAAGAAGTCGCCCTGCACGAAGGTGATTTTGCCTTGACCAATCTCCGCATCCCGTACGGGATACTTATCTCCATTCTTCGCCTGTTCCTCTTTACACACCTGAACGGCAGTGTCGCTATATTCCAGACCATAGGCATCATACCCGAAACTGGCCAGGAGAAGTACATCGACACCTCTGCCGCACCCCGGGACTAATGCCTTCTTCCGGTACGTGTTGCCCTGCGCATCTCGGCCAATGGGGCCCCCGATGATATCGCGCTTCTCAATCAGCGTATCCTCCAATGCTGGATTGGGAAATCCTCTGTCAAAGGGGAGAGGTTTACCCTCACTCTTATTCCAGAGCTCAGCCCATCCTTCAACGTAATTTTCCTTGTATCGCGCTATGAACTCCGGGATACTCGAAAGCAGTCTGGGGTCGTTCGACATTATTGATTCAGTGAGATAAAACGGAGCCTATTGTGGTTTGTCCTTCAACGTTGCTCAAATGCAGCTCGTCCGCGAATCAAGGTGCGAAGCCTTATATAGAACCTTTTGGTAGGTACGCGGCGGGGTAAGTTATAGTTTCTGTGAAAGCCCGAATGAACGGTTCGGTGATCAATCAGTTTACCCACTCCTTCTCCAGAATTTCAATCGGCGATGTCTCAAATTCTCTCGTAATGACTAATGATTTATAAGCTAGGCGATAAATCATATCTTCTGTAGAAGGACATACTCATATATGCACAATTGTATTAAGAACTCGGCTGTATATTTTTGACGCGGCATGTTACCTTACCTTCGGCAGCAAATGAAGACCAGTCAGTGATCGGGAATAATCTTGAGCAATCTTGAGAGTACCCCGTTATATCAACAAATACAAGAAGCCGATTGATGCTGGAAGCAGGTCATCTAACATGCATAGGGAACATCACAGGAATTATGCCCGGAACATGGCGGAAACTAACATTATTTCCCAGCTTGAGGAGACATAATCACTTTGCAAGTCTATTCCTCACAGAGGAGATTTGCGATTACTTCGGGTTCATTCACTCACTCTGTATCAGAAAGGTGAGCCAATCAGTTTATACTGCAGGAATCGCCATTCCATCGCCTCTGGGGTCACTCCCGGCACTGTAGACCAATTGGCCATCGTCGTGATGACAGCGAATGATCTGTCCGCGACCAAACATTCCCCTCTGCCACCCGGTCAGAACCTTGACTTGATGTCCAAGCCGCTTGAGGCCTTCAATGGCATCATCACTGATACCCTCCTCGATATAGACTGTCTGACTGCCAGGCTCAGAGTCAGCCGCGATACAGATCCGTGGAGCATCCAGCGCTGCTTGAGGATGATAGTTGAACGCAAGCATGTTGAGAAGAACCTGGACATGGCCCTGTGGCTGCATGAAACCACCCATGACTCCGTAAACAGAGTGAAGAGAGCCATCGGAGCAGTTGGTAATTAGCGCAGGAATGATGGTGTGGTACGGCCGCTTTCGTGGAGCCAACGCATTAGGATGACCTGGGTCCAGAGAGAAATTGGCGCCGCGGTTCTGGAGCGTAAAGCCACAACCTTTCGGAATGATCCCACTACCGAATCCAGCATAGTTACTGTTGATGAAGGAAATACCGTTGCCCTCTTCATCAGTCACAGCGAAGTAGACCGTATCGCAGTGATTGTGAGCTGGACTACCGTGATCGACGATGTCTGCCGCTTTCTCCGGGTTGAACATCTTCGCCCGTTCGGCCAGATACTCCCTGGAGATCAGCTCTTTCGACGGTACCTTTTCCACATCTGGATCCGTGACCCACCATGAAGCATCGGCGAAAGCAAACCGAAGACTTTCGATAACAGCGTGAAGGTACTCTGTCGAGTTGTGCTGATCCTCAGTAAATACAGGAATCTTTCCCGTCCGTTCGAGTTCCTCAAGAATACCCAGGGCCATGAGAGCAACAATGCCTTGGCCGTTGGGCGGATGCTCCCATATTTCCACGCCTTGGTTTTCTTCACCGTCCGTTCCAGCGGTCTGTTTTTTGACAATATCTTGGCCAGTGAATTTGAGTGAGATAGCTTCAGTATTCTGTGTTCCGGTCTCAGCATGATACTTAAGATCGTCCAGGGTCATGTAGCCACCCAGGTCCTGGACGACCTTGACCAGCTCCTCTGCAACTTCGCCTTCGTAGAACCCCTTCTTACCCTCTGCAGCAAGTCTTCGGAAGGTCTTCGCCAATGTCGGATTCTTCATGATTTCACCAGGAAGTGGGCTTCTAACACCGTCACTGGCTTTCGGATCAAGCTTGAGCATCTCCCGGAAATTTGGAGACGCATTTCGTAGCAGGTCTTCACCTTCACGCCACTTGAAAAGCTGTTAGAACGGCATATTATACTGCAAATGCTGGACAAACGGAAAAGGATACACTTACAAAGTAGGAGGATAATTCTGACACCGCGAACCCTTGCTCTCCCAATTCAATTGCTGGCGTTAGAATCTGCTCCAAGGACAGCTTGCCACTGCCGAATCTCTCCACTGTGTCTACCCATCCAGCAGCTGCGCCGGGGGTAGTCACCGATAGGACGCTGGTCATTGGGATGCTCCCCTTCTCATTGGCACCGAGGTTCAGATCCTTCCTGATCTTCTCGAGCGTCGCGTTGGCGGGATATCGACCAGAACCGTTGAGTGAATGGACTTTCTTTGACTTTGCATCATAGAAGAGACAGAACATGTCACCACCAATCCCGGTTGATGAAGGCTCGGTGACATTCAATGCGGCGGCTATTGTTGAAACGAGTCAAACCTGCTTATCATCGCTTGTTGCAATCAGCACTTACCCACTGCTACAGCAGCGTCCTGGTGAAACGTAATAGTCAGTGAAACTGATGGCCGGAGTAATGTCCCATGCACACATACCGCAGCATTTCCTCCTTCCTTCAGGATTCTATGGCCCGCAGCGGCTGCCAGAGGTTGAGTACATGTTACGATGCCTTTGGTACTGTGGACAGTACTCCTTCTACTGGCGAACGGGACAAAGTCCGGGTTCAGTCTGGAATAAACAGCGTGGGAGTTGAGAGGCATTTTGAAGAGAAATGACAAGGGCAACGAAGAGCAGTAGACAGTGAGATTGAGCAAGAAGGAGACGTGACTAAACGATGAGGGGAGGGTGAATCTTAAGTAGGACAACAGATGAAGACTCATACATACTAGGAACTACTATCGGGATGCTCCGCTCCTTTATGCCGTGCGCTCGAATACAGCCGTAACCTTACCATTTATTGGGGTAGGTTGAATTCTGGAACAGCTTTTCGACCCTGGCAGCAGAAACCCGACATACGCAAAGTTTGTTAAGATATGCCATGCTTGAAGTAACTTCCTGTCATCACCAATACCCTCCATTGCCTGCATCAAATGCCTCGATTTTGCTTGTTCTCGACCGAGCGTTGGACATCTTGCCGAGGAAAACAGAGAAGATGGAGAAAAGTTGGGGTCACCTTCCTCTTCGGGATTGAGGGGCAGCTGTACTGCTTCGGGTTTAGTGCGGGGGAGATACGCGTGACTCTCCGATAAGACGAAGGGACACTGGCGTCATATCATAACCACCTCTCGCTTTGAGCCGCTGATGCTTTGGATAACAAGCTGTATTGTCATAGAGACTGTGTATAGAAACCCTCAAAAGGACCTGTGTCACGCTTAAAGTCTTCCGTTCGCCTTCGGCTTCTCCATTCCCGAAACGAACCACGAATCTGGCGCCCCGTCGCCCCGCGCCGACAACGGAGCGATCGTCGTCATCCGCATCATTGCACTGTATATACTGCACGGATGGCTGCTATACAAGAGTGACAGCCTTTCCCTGTTGACAGTGTGATAGCTGTCTATATTGGATTTGATTTCAATGGTTCTTCTCCAGACTGAATCTACCATCTGTGGGGCTCCCTTGAGCCGAGCGCGTCCTCCTTCTCCTCTCTCTTTGATGGCATAATGGTGGTGTTTGTCGATTATGACCATGATGCCTTCCCCGGAGCCCATGATGGCACGTACCTTCAGCCGGACAAGCCTGCGTTGTCGAAGTTGAAGGCTATTGGCTCTGATCCGCCAACTCATCCTGAAAATGATCATTCGATGCACGATCATGCAAAAAATGACGGCTCTCATGAGATACTGAATCGCAATGGGTTTTCAGCTGCTTTGAGTTGCTATCCGTATGCCTTGCTGATCGACAGTTTCTGGAAAGCATCTCGGCGCTGACTGAAGCTCTAGAATTGTCAAGGAAATCGCCCGACAAGTCGATCTCAATACACTCTATGCCCTCTCCCGAACTTGCCGTCAGTTCCATGCAAATCTAGCACCATATCGCCATCAGCTGGTGAAGCAGACCCTTCGTTGCGAGAACGAGTATGTTGAAACTTTGTCGGATCTCTTGGATGGCAGGGCGGCCATTCCTGACAGCGTGAGATCTGTGCTCCGACTTGTGAGTCAGGGAACCCTGACTGCCGGTAGACTGGTCAGGGGCAAGGTTGGTAGATGTGCTCGGGACATGGTAGCGGAGTGTCGGAGATGCTCCAGGATCATATGCAGGGTATGACCGAGTGAAGCACGTGTCATTGATGGTGGACTAATGTCGTCCACAGAATTGCACCATCAAACCCCCTCCCAGAAATACCCTCAAAGATCGCGTTCGTCGCTTGTGTACCACCTGCCGTACAGCACCCTTGGCCGCCCATCTTACCCGGAACCCTTCTAGTACAACTACTTCTGAAACCCAGGTGCCGCCAGACCTTTCTAGTTTCACGGCATCAGCTTTTATACATTCACCATGCTCGTGCGAAGATATGGTATGGCTTTGTTATCCATGCGGAAAGACCCTACGCAGTAGCGACACTACTTACCGCCGGGTGTGGACTTGGCGCACTCGGTATAGCACATATCTTGGAGGTCTAGGTACCGGGATTGGCGAGGGATGTCAAGGGGTGAAATGTGGGAGGGAAGAGGATTGTTTAGCTGCTCAGGAGATTGAGCTGGAAGTGGAGTGTGAGGCAGACGAGTGGTCACTCTCAGGAAGTTCGCACAACCATCAGGACGATGCGCGCATACACGGTCACCTCAGTCCCCAGGATGAACTTCTCCGGGATCAGTCTTTGGAAAGAACTAACAGTCGTGATGAAGAAAAGCCGGGGTACTTCAGACAGGAAATCATTGGGATAGGCGGACGAGTCAAGCAAAAAGCGAAGAAGCGTGTCACTGTCGGAGCTTGTGTTGTGGAGTACGAGGATGAGCGTGATACCGGTCAATATTTAATCCGAGAAGAGCAGGGATTGAATCGGAGCTGGTGCGGCTGGTGCTGCAGGGTTATCCCGTCCAAGGATGACCTGGCTTATCCATTGTCTATACATTGATGCATAGCTGGTCCTTAACGTATATCAGCCTGAGTATATAGGGAACGGCATTGAAACATAGTTTATACTTTCAAAATGGAAAGTTGAAGGCTTCGTCGCGCGCAGATATGATTACATAGGACTAATGAGGACCAACAATGGCACAACAAAACTCAGTAGACATACCGAGAAAAAGAAAACATGTCAGGATCCCATGATCGGGCCTCAACCACACAAATAATATCAATCTAAATGCACGCACCGTATACCCATTGACCAACAGATTCGCTCATCATACACGCCGAATCCGCGCAGTACTCGATCGCAATCCTGCTATCTCCGAGAAAGCCTATTTGGACCAGTACAGTACAGCCCCGCACACTGTATTGCATCGCACTCTCCCGATTTAGCATCCTTCCGGTATTGAATCTCTGCCCTGGCCGCAGAGATACCAGTTGGAGCCATAGTCTCTTTTCCACGGCAGGAATGCGCTCCGAACGAGGACCTAGATGGAGTAGCAGGTCGAAAGCGAAGAGAGTGGAAAGATAACGATTGGTAATTACGTTGGTACGCATATCTTGCAGTTCTAATGAGGTCTGGAAGAATTCTTGAAGTAGAGGATGACTTAGTCAACTAACAAGTAGGACGTACGAGTCTAATTGGTCATCAACGCCAGTATCGACTGATAAACTGTCAAACGAAGAGAAAACTCTATCTGTCAATGAAGCATGAAACCGAATCCACCGTTGCAAATGGATGAATCCAAACAAGATCTATCATAAGGGCGTTCTGTCCAGAGACAGGTGAAAGCGAAGGGAAGCTGTAATGTAATTGTACAATACTTGGAAACGATCGTATTGTTGCGGTTCTGTAAAGCGAATCGTGGGTATATGCTCGTTAAGCAACATAAAGAAGGACATAAATGGAGTATAGTAAAGGACAGCGCATAAACCAACGGGATGAGCACCTGAAGCGTGAATATATGATTGTGGTGAGCTATACAAGAATGCGCCTGGCCATGAGGTTTTTATCGGAGGATGTAGTTGAGGATAGGATGGAGGCATTTTTGATGACATTGCCATGGAGTGAGGTCGTGGAGGATATAATAGGGACTGGAAGTCCTTGCAACCAGCCTTTTGGTGACATAGATGGTGAGAGATGGCGGGATTGATTGCGAGGGTATACCGGTTATAGCGTCCAGGACTTCCAGGGTACAGTTTGAAAGGGTACAGTTTGGGGATGATGGAGGTCATCATAGGCGACATGGTGTGACGATGGCCATGTAGGAGAAGGATAATGGCAGGAAATAGGCTATAAAACTGTTAGTTCAAAGACTCCGTACTACAGAGAGTCATGGCAACGTACTGGAGAGAGCAGGCTTCCATTCAACGACATGGGAACCATTGAGGAGAGGTTGGCCTCGGCAGGATCCCAACCACGTAACGTGGAGTGCATAGGAACCGGCGAGGACGTCAGATCAGAGTCGATGATGCTACTTGGATACGAATCGACCATTGTAGCTGGGGTAGATGAGAGTGAGGAACGGCTATGAGGCGGGAGAGAGAGCGAAGTGCCATCCGAGGCGGGCGACGGGCATGTTTCCGGGGTTGCGTAGAAACGAGTATCCTCAACGGACTCGAAGATCTGGTGACTGCCATACATGGGTACCTGAGGAGCTGGATGCATGTCCATCGAGTTCCACATGAGACTGCAGTTGCTCGTGAGGCTCGGGTGCATGGACGAGCCCACCAGGGCTCCGACGGACATTGTGCTTGGTGACTGTGTGGCAGCGAGGTATGTGTTTATGGCTGGATCTATCGGCATGCACTTGGACACTCGAGGGGGTTCTGAAATAGTGGGAATTTGTGTGTCTCGCTCCCATTGTGATGAGCTCTCCATCTGTGCCTCAAGCTCACTGTGAGGTCGAGTGTTAGTTGTGCCTCCAGAAGAGCCCCATTCCGGGATGAGACTTACTGTCTTGCCATGTGCCGGGTTAATAAGTCTGAACGATGAAACTCCTTTTTGCAGTTCTGATGAGGGCAGCGGTATAAAGCTTCAGGCTTGTGGTTCAATTCATGCCGTCTATAAGATGGTAAGCAAGTGTTCCGTGACACAATTAAGAGGCTTTGCTACCTTCTATGTTCTGCTCTTGTAAACACCTAAGACCTTGTTAGTAGATGTCCCTGACACAGCCAGATGGTGTGCAGGACCAACCTTGTTGCATCCCGGGAATTCGCAAGCATGTACACGCTTGCCCTTCTTGGCTTTGCTGATACGATGAGTGGTAGGTGTGTAAGTGATAGGAAGAGGAATCTCTGATGCTGCGTTGCTCCGACGCATGGTCACGGTGGTTTGTTTACTGGCTGTGGAGGACAATGATTTTTTAGAGGCAGAACGTCGTGGTTGATAAGCAGTTGCTGCGGAAGATGTGCTTGAGGTGTGGATGAACGAGGATAGATGGACTGGCGACTGAGAGCAAGATATAGCTTCAGAGTTCGAATAGGCACCTCTAAGCATGTCGCAGGTACGCTGGACAATGTGTGGGGGAGGTAGGCTGTGATAATGTTATTGTTGGAGTCCCGACAGCTAACGGCGATAAGATTGGTTGATGACGAGGAGGGTGAGATTAGATGTTGGAGAGAAAAAGCCTCGCATGCAAGTGACCGAGATGCAGTGGAGCGAAGAAAAAGGAACGAGTCAAGATGAAACTCACGAAATGGTGGCAAACGACTAGAGAGACTGGGGGGGATGGAGGTGAGGATGAGGAAGTTGATATAGATAGTTGAACCGTCGGAGTGGATATGCGAGGTACCAAGTCAGCCTGCTCCAGAAGATCTTCCTCACCCCCAGGCCCACAATTGGATGGTTTGATATGAAGATGTTAATTAAGAATTTAGGGGAAAAAACCTGAAACAATGGTATTATTGATGATGATTATTTTTGGTCAAACATAGAAACAAATCATGTAAGTAAGCGAGAGGTGCAGGTTTGATGATCAATCTGCAGGGTGATCATACAAGCATGGCTATGTGCCTACTAGCTAGGTATACCTTGGATGACTCGGTAAAATTGGTGTACATATTGTTAGCGATGCTGTTTCCCGGCTGCAGAATTAGTGTGAAACTAGAGTAAAAATACTACAGAGCCACACTAGGTAAGTCCAACAGTCCTAGTTACGTTGGAAATCAACCTTGACTCGGAACCTCGAAAGTGGAAATCAGTGAAGCATCAAAAGTTCAAAGTTTAATAGATTAGAATAAAGCATGGTGGGCCCCAGTCGAACGAGGGCAGATTGCGGAGGTTACATTATTACACACAGAATACCTTACAGGAAAAGTCAAAATTTCCCCTGAAATTTGGAGGAAAAAGTATTGGATAGAACTGAAAATAATGCGTCCCCCATTTCCAGCCATAAGCCGACCACCAACATCCACACTGGACCAAAAAGGGCTCGGATTAGCTCATGCGGCTGAGGCGCATTTGAAAAACATGGACCTGTAAACATTTGAAATACTATTATAATTTTATTTTTATCCTTGAGCCAACAACGTGTACAGCCAGGATTAACCAAGTCCCAAATATACTTCAACGGTTTTTGGTTAGGCTGATTCTTAAGCACAGGGAAGAAGCTAGACTGGATCTTGGATCCCAAGCCACAACTTTTAGAGGTCAGAATGCCCGAGGGAACAAAAGGATTGTAGCATGTCTGAATACTCAGGTATGTCAACATTAGATAGAGTTGCACTTTCACATTTCACTCCAAGCGTTATCTTTCCATTTGAAATGAGGTCAAGTCCTTCCACTATGGAGAATTCTGGACGGACTACGGAGTAGGTACCTCAAAGTCATAATGACGAGATGATTTTCTGACGGTCAAGGGTGTAGAGACCATCCTGGACCACAGCAGCAGCATGAAAACCAACAGAACACAAACAATCACGAGAGGGTAATATAATAATAGCAGTCCATAGGACGAGGTCGAAAGTGTTGGTTCAACAGTGCCTCTGATTGGCTGGTTCGCAAATACTTCCATCTTAGTTGCATTTTTCCATGGAATGTGTGCTAATTATACCACTTTTTCTCAATCCATTTGGAGTTTACTTCGCTTCTGCGCAGGGATATTCGCTGTTCGCTGAGGCTGGTCTGGCACCGCTGGCACGAGGCATTCAGGCTTCTCTCAGGTCAGCCCTAGACACAGTCTATCACAGCTGAACAAAATTAACTATTATTGACACAATTAATATGCTGATTGAACTCTTAATGGGCTCCTAAACATCCGCCAAGGTCGAATCAGCTCGGGCGGCTCATTTGGCTTCTGACAACCAGCGAAAAACAAAACAAAAAGAAAAAGGGTTCTGCCATTGGTTGTCCCCAAATACCTATCTTGGTCTTTTAAGAAGTTATTCCAAATGGTCGTTTCAAATTGCAACCCTTGTGATTGTCGCTTTTGTTAGAAGTTAGAATGGGCCAACCAGAAGTTCATCTCCCTGGCCCTCGTGGCCATGACACTGCCCCGCAACCAACACCAAACACATGCCCTCTCAGGAAACTCCCGATTTCATCTCGCTGATAGATCAATTCTGTTGTATAGCCATAAGTCCAACATTAGTCGCAAACTTCCTATTCCTCTTTTAGATACTGGAGAAGGTTCGTCCCGTGTCAAGTCTGCCTCCAAGGCTGTGGCATCCGTATTTGTAGTTAAATATAGCTACGTATAGGACCCGTCTCGTATTTACAATCCGTTCGCTATTCGGTTTTATTTAAAGATCTACATATCTTGAGTATCATTCCTGCGTCAGAGGCATGGGTCACGGCTTGACGTAAGGAGTAAGGAGCAGTAAGGTGCCCCCGTAAACGTGGACAAGCACATCCACGTGTGGATAATGCCATAAGCACCTTGCATCCTTCGCTTCCACTATCCTCCGGCCTCCGGATTCCGTGCTCGTGCTCGAGAGACTGATCCTTACCCGTGACTCGTCGATATGAACACTTGACCATCGACTGATACCCATGCAGCCCTCCGGGGGAAGATCCGGCAATCTGCCCAAATGTCCGGTCGATTTTGTACCACCTCACCTCCGTACTTTCCAGGCTTCGCTTCCCTGTCAAGGCCTCGAATAATGCATTCCCAGTATCCCTGGACTGCTGGAGAAATTGACAACGACTAAGGAGGAGTGGGCCATTCCCTATCATGAGAATCCAAGTATAGGCTTAGCTTGTTTCATCTGGGTGATCAGTACGCTATCTTGTATATACATTGATGACTGTCTCTGGTCCATGACATGCAAAATTGAAAAAAGTACCTTGGGTTTTACTGTTGTTTCTGAAGCTTGTTCCTTTGCGTACAGTCCTCTGGCTTCCGGAATTGTCTCCAGGATTTCTGCACCGTTCGGACAATCCGATCTGGTACAATCAGCGAAGGTCGTATTAAGGCATCGGTTTGCTTCGGATCCAACGACCAGACATTTGTCTACTTGTTATCTACAGCCTCGGTCAATCCATTATCAGCGAATCCTGGTGCTTGTATCTGTATGCATCCAACAAAGAGAGTGCATCTCAATCATCATCATCATCATCATCATCCTCACTCTGCAGACAAACAGTCCTATCGGCTCATTCTGCAACCCACACCTGCAAAACCTAGCCAACCACTGCGGAAACCAGTCTCCGTAACTTTCTCTCCAGATGAGCGTACGAGAGTGAGCTGACGATTTGTAGGCAGTCCATCTAATACACAATACTCTGTACTTAACCTCCTTCCTGGGAATGATCGTCACTTCCACATGGACATAGTCACATAATCCGCATTAGAGTGCATTAGCTGGGAATGCTGCAGTGAGCATGGCAACATGGGTTGATGGAGGGTAGGGTAAGACGTGGCCCACCATCCATTACTTTTTTGCCAGTGGCCATGTGGTCTTGAGCGTCGGACATGGACACGGACACGGACATCGTTCGAGTGTGGATTTCTGCATACCTGTTCTTGTTTACTGCACACCGAAGTATGGCCGTCGAATATTGAAGTAGTGAGTGCTACTCCGTTCTCCGTCGCTGTCCAGTGGTACCTTTAGTAGGGCTATGAACTAACCCTAGAGGTGCTACCGAAGCTCATTGGCCGTAAGTCCCTCAGATCCAAGAAACCTTACCTTACCTTATCCCTTGCACTTGTTCACCTTATTCCGTACTCCGTACCGAGCAACATCCGCATTCCACAGGGTTTACTTCTACATTACCTACATTCCACTTGTACTCGCAGGAGCCATGCCGTCATGGGTGTGTGCAAGGTGTGCAAGCGCATGCATGGATGAAACCTTCGACGCTGACACACCGCAGCCCAGGCTGCAGTCTGTCGAATCCACTCGCGATTTCTGGCGTGTGGGTTTTGGCAGAGCCATCACGTGGCGGGGTTGGCCTGCAAGGTTCCTAATCCCTCGAGGCGGGCCGGTGGATCAAGAGACAGGCGAGACGAGTGTGCGTTGGGACTGTTGACTGATAAACGGACTACTTAGACTAGTATTTCCGCAATCACTTTATTTGTTGTCTATTGCGTTGATGGAGGTGGCAACTGGAGAGCGATCGGCTACTATGCTTCTTGCCTGCGTGCGTTTTCCCGGCGAATCAGGCAGTCACCTAAAAGGGTAGACTGTTACGATGGATGCAGGCGGTTCAAGTCCAGATCCAGTGTTACACAAAGTAAGGAAGGATGTGCGACCCTTGAGATTCCAAAACTCAAGTACTATGCTAGTACTCTTGTAGCACGTGTGTCTTAAGATTGTAATGAAAGTGAGACAGCAACGTGGTTGTCTGTGGGGAAAGGCCTCTGTTAGGGTCAAGTATGGTGTCACTGGTGTCACCGTTGTGCAACCATCATAGAAGCTGTATGGAACCCAGAAACCACTAGCCTTTTTATGGTATAGCCAAGTCGGTGGAGTGGGTTTCACTACAAACCGCACCTTGCCTGGTCAAGTAATCGGTAAGGTACAATAGTTCAACTGTAATTTGAAGAACTCAGTACCGACAATGTACCCAGGCAGGTTACCACGGATGCTGTAAAACAGTTGGGGATAAGAAGGTAGAGCTTCATAAACGTCGATCATTGAAGCAGAGGGTAACTGAGGAATGAAGTGAGGATCTTGGCCTGTATAAGCATTGCCCTTCACCTGATTCCGTCGTATAGCCTCCCATTTTGATCAAGCCGCAACCTCGACTTTTGTATCTGATTGGTTAGCTTCGTTCGCTGTCGGAGAATCGGTAGACAAAGAAATCCGTGACAAGGATCCCGCAGCCGGAGCCCAATCTCGACCCGGTAAAAAGGGTCATTCGATTGTGCTCCTAGTGCTCCTAGTTTAAAGGCTAGATAATGGTTGATAGATAATTTGCAATGGTTACCAAATCGCCAATACTCGGACCCGACACGGTCTATTCTCGATGAGGCTTATTAGCGTCGAACTAGATATCGATGGCATCATGGCGGTATTATTCTTATCCAGTCTCGACTCTTAGTGCAATTCACAGCCAAGCCCTGCACGGGTGCACCGTTTGTAGGGATCTTGCACTGCCATGCGACCGACTCCTGTCATTCATCTATCTCAAACATGACATAGGTAAATCTGCTGTCATCATGGAGACCGACTAAAGCATCGGAATCTGAAACGGGAAGGATGAGAAAGGTTGGGGTTGGTGTTGGTACTGCGCCTTGTTCATAGGGTTACCCGTTCTTAGGGAGATTCAGCCTTGCCTGATTGCCTCAGGCTGTGAGTTGGGTAATGCATATCACCAAAAAACGTTGTACTGTATTTGTTACACTTAGGCTAAGGGTGCAGAGAAAATTACAAGCCGGAGTCCACTGTTGATCCTGATCCTGAAGTTGGAAGGTAAAAGCCTCAGTGGAGAAAGCAAGACCTTTCCTTTCGGATGGCGGAAAGAACTCCGGCGTACCTTTTCGGGTTTCCAATTGGTGCAATTATCGACCATCCTGGCTCCGGCTCGACCAAGTTAACGGGCTCATACCAATTGCCTATTTTGACGTTCATTGTCGTCAGGCATCTATAGAATCGTGGACACTGGAGTGACTTGGAAGACTGGACCCTGAGCAGGCGACGACCCCTGAAATGGGCAGAATCTCACCAATCACAAGTGTCATTATCAATATGAATTCTGCCACCAAGTAAGATCAATCATCAAGATAACATCATCTGAGGTTCAATAACCACTAACTCATGTGGCTTACGGCTTGCAGCCAATGCCTCGCCAACAGTTAGATTAGTTGATCCCAAGGCTGAGACAGTCTGCTGAATCTGCGTGGATTCGACTGAACCGGACTCTGGTACTGAACCTACCGGTAGACCAAACGCCATTTAGTGTTGACGATAGTTTCTCATCGATGTCTCCTATCTAGGTATCTATCTCGAGGATTTGGAGTCCACCCGGAGACCAAACGGCAGGAACCGTCTATGCTCCTACCAGTAGTGGAATAGCGGCCCGTCATCGCCAAGTGCCGCGACCGAATTTAGTAATGAATTGGAGTTTTGGAGAAAGCGTTCGAGGTCGACTCCTTTTATCTCAAAACATATACCTGATTGAGTAGGAGTCTGCGAGGAGCCTCGAACTGTCAAAGCTTTCAAGTCAATCTAGCCCATCAAACGCCGTCTGCATGATTCAGTAATACTCCGTCCTATCGCATTTTAACTGTTTACTTAACACTATTAGCTTGCTGTCCCTGGAAAGTGGCTCACTGGCTCGGCAGTCTCCCGTCGTCGTGACTACTTGATCCTGCCTAGCACCGTTCCGTCTCCCTTGACTAGGCGATGCGCAATCGGCGCCATACCAATCAGCTCTATACCCAAGCACATGCAAAGACCGCCCAAAGCCTTGGCAATCTCCATTCTGCATTGCTTTTTGGATAGATCTCTACTGGTCGAGAATCAAACAATGACATTACCTACCTGGAGCTTGTGTGCTCCGAAAACTCCTGGATGCATATGTCCCTTTCAACCAGCCAAAAGCGAGTTACGTTCCTGCCATCAGATGTGGAAGCATTTCCTCACGGGGATGGCCTAGCTCCCGTTCAGAGACGCTTTTCGGGAGCGGCATCTGGTGTCTAGACTACCCTGACATCCCAATCACCGGTGTCACGCTTGTAGATCTTGAAGCTTTGGTAATATCCTGAACTGCGCCAACTGTACTAAAATATACTAGCCGGAACCAGATCCGTCATGTCCCCGCTTCAACGGCCAGTATTGTGATAAAAGATGGTTCTCCTCTAACTAGACAAAGAAAGGAGGTGGTTAACCAAAACAAACTGTAAAAAGACCCATAAGTAACTACTTCTTCGAGTTTGGATAGAATTTGATTCCTCGCTGGATGCAGACAGTGTCTAACACAACATGGCCAATACACCAGGAGCACAAATACAAGCCAACAGAGATTAATCTAACAATTGGCTGCTATATCTATATATTGCCAGCTATAGACCAGGATTCTCTCCTCCGTACTCCGTACCTACGTTCAATTTCCGGGATAGGAAACTAGTAACTAGTAATGGGTAACCACTAATGAACATGCATGAGCCTTAGTGCGATTGAGGGCCAGCCTGAGGTGTCTTTATTATATCTATGTTATTGCCTTGAGAATACCAACTGCCTAATTGATCAATCATGCTCTCATGAAGGCACCCGCACTCGATAGTGCTTACCACCTAACTCCTAAACATTCTTCACACCAGTAGCTTCGTCTCAATCTTCACCTCGCATATTCCCTGTCGGACGCCACATGCCACACGGAGTACAGCTTTTTATAGGATATCCGCAAAGAAGTCGATCACCATCATTGATGGTTGTCCACCACCAATAGTAGCCGGCCAACCCTCGCGAACCAACACCTCCTGCAGAACGGACAACGGTGATTTGCTCGTACCCCGGGTCATCATGCACCGGGAAGACAGACCCGTGTGGCTACATGACACTCGACAAGTGAGCTGAGCTGACATCATCTTCTCTATCATCCTTGCTCTTTAGTCTTTTGTTAATATCCGAGTGGTGAGACGGTGATATCTACTCATTACAATGATGAGTGTTTGTCTTGCTAGCTGTGAGACTACCATGATATCATGCGCTTGGCCATGATGATATGGTCAGATGTCTAGCTACGAATGCGTTACTGGTCAGTTAGCTGACAAGTCCAGCTGCGATCGTCGTCGTCGTCGTCTTCCTCCTTCTGTGACTGACTGCATGGTCAGCCCTTCGGCTAGACTCTGACAGCTGAGATTGGATATCCCCGCCGCCACAGGACGTCGGATTACTCTGCGTGGACGGGCGGATATTGCCCCCCCCCCCCCCGGTTTTCTTCTTCTCCACTGGTCTCCTGTCTTCCCCATACCGCGACGGGCGAAGATGACCATATCTCCTCGCCACGTATTCTGCCTCAGTCACAGCGCTCCGGGGAGTTGTCCGGAGCGAAGCCACCAAGAGGATTGAGATGATGTGAGTGGCATTTTTGCTGATCATGCACGGCCCTAACCGAAAACAGATGTTCCTCACGGTCATGGGGACGAGACAGACCTGGCTTGAACGTGTGTTCGACTGAGAGGTAGTAGTTCGCGTATTGATTCAGCCGAGCTGGATACCTTGAGTAGGATACGGTATTAGCCACCTGGCTCGGATTGGGATTCTCTCCGACACGACGGATATACGCCAGCACGGCAATGAGTAGGCTCCAGTAGATGCGGGCGCGGGCGCGGAGTGTGCAGAAGTTAAATCTTATGTTGGTCTGCGTGGCTCCTCTTAGCAAGTGCATAGGCGAGATAACGAATGGCGAAGAGACGTTGAACACCGGTCTCGTGATATCTAACTGTACTGTATGTTAACTAATGGCAACGGAAGATAAAAGTGACGTGTAGGATGCATCTGTATGCTCTGGCTCAAATCAAAGGAAGAAAAGTAAAGTCTTTGCATTGCAATGCTCATGTTGAATTCCGAAACAGTGTCCCGCTGGAGGAGTCCACGTTTTAGCTACAGAACCAATGTCAAAAAGCTCGCTCGACAAGATTGCTGTACAAAACCCCTCAAGATGCATTCATGAAAACATATATGGAATACAAGTCAGAAAAGACGAAGTAAAAGCAGAAAACACCACATATGCTTATGCTAATATGCCGAGAGTACATTCGATGCGATGCGAGATGGTTGAGAAACATCAGTTGACAATAACCCGAACGGTAATATGGGAGTGAAATTCAAGGTGGGTCGGCCGTGTTAACAAGTGAAATGACACCTGAGTTAATGAGCAACAACTGCTTTGAGGATATTCTTGAGCTTCGACTCTTCCTTTGGAGGCTCATCTCTCCGGCGTCTGTGATGGTGATGGCGGGTTTCTCCACCATGACGGTGGCGATGATGGTCGGTCGCTTCTCTTTCCTTTGCCTGCTCTGCTTCTTCTGCAGCCCTTCGTCGTGCCCTTCGCTCGCGTCGAGCCTGCTCTTCCTCCTCCGCATGATGGGAGCTCGTGGAACGGTCGGACCCTCTTCCTTCGTGCGAGTGACGGTGACTGTGGGAATGGCTTGTGGAAGACCGACGCCCAAACACATTGGCAGCAGCTTTGTCGCCATTGATCTTAAGAAGGGGACCATTCGTTTCTGATTCGGCTGTCATGTATTTCAGGAAGGCTCGCGGCTTCGAGCCCGATGCATGGCCATCCCTTGAGGAGGTACTTCTACGTTCGCCTCCGTGACTACTCGAATGCTCTCTGGTCCGTCGGCTCGGTTCGATAGTCACGGCAGCCTTTTCCCGCGAAGAACGCTCGACTTCATACGTGGCTGAGCGCTCGGATCTTCGTCGACTGGGTTTGACATCCACGGTAGCTTCTTCTTTCGACGAACGCTCGCTTCGTTTAGGGCGCTCTCGCTCCGAGGAATGCCTGTCCCTCTCTGCCTTCTCTGGAGCACGGAATTTGTCTTTACTCCGTATTTCCTCCTGCCTTAGCTTTTCTTCATGCTGTCGCTTGGCTTCCTCGAGGGCTTTGTTCCACCGATCAAGGAGACTACCACTTCGCTCAAGTTTCTGGCGTGGCAATGATCTTCGTACTTCCTCAGAAGAACTCTTCGAATGTCGTCTCTGTCCCTGATCCGGGGACCGCCTCTTTCTCCTGCGTGCATGTTCGGCTGCTATGGCGGCTGGAACAACAGCTGGCAAGGCTGCTTCCAAGGGCTCCAAGCCATCGATATCTCTTGAGGTTTCCTCAACAGGCGTCGGGTCTGGAGCCTCTTCGGAGACTTCTTCGTCCACAGGAGCAGCTTCTTCGACTGGGACAGATTCTTCAATAGGAGCGCCTTCCTCGACAACGGCAGGTTCCTCGGCAGGTATCTCCTCGGCGGCAGCAGGCTCTTCAACGGGCGCAGATTCAACGGGAGCAGATTCCTCAGCAGGAGCATCTTCCACAGGAGCAGGTTCCTCACGAGCTAGCTCTTCAGGAGGGATCTCCTCAGCAGCAGCAGGCTCTTCGACAGGGGCAGATTCCTCAGCAGGGACCTCTTCCACGGGAGCAGGTTCCTCCGCTGGAGCAGACTTTTCAATTGGCGTGGGTTCCTCAGCAGGTTCTTGCACAGGTGCTGGCTCCTCAGCAGGAACCTCCTCAGCTGGGGCAGGTTCCTCAGTAGGAGCATCTTCCACAGGAGAAGGTTCCTCAGCAGGAATCTCCTCGGCAGCAGCAGGGTCTTCAGCGGGAGCCGGTTCTTCAACGGGGGCAGGATCTTCAACTGGAGGAGGTTCCTCAGTAGGAGCCGGCTCTTCAACAGGCGCAGGTGGATCAGCCGGAGCAGATTCTTCAACTATCTCGGGCTCATCAGCAGGGGCAGGATCTCCCGCTGGAATAGGCTCGGTAGCCTCCTCGGCTGGAGCTGGGTCTTCAGCCGCGGGTTCTTCTGTTGGGGCAGGCTCCTCAATAGGAGCCACATCAACAGGAGTGGGTTCTTCAGACGCAGCAGGTTCTTCGGCAGGAGCAGGCTCTTCAGCTGGAGCAGGTTCTTCAGCTGGAGCAGGTTCTTCGGCTGGAGCAGGTTCTTCGGCAGGAGCAGGTTCTTCAGCTGGAGCAGGTTCTTCGGCAGGAGCAGGTTCTTCGGCTGGAGCAGGTTCTTCGGCTGGAGCAGGTTCTTCGGCTGGAGCAGGTTCTTCGGCTGGAGCAGGTTCTTCGGCTGGAGCAGGTTCTTCGGCTGGAGCAGGTTCTTCGGCAGGAGGCGCTTCCTCGACGGCAGCCTCTTCAACTGGAGCGGATTTATCCTCTGGAGTAGGCTCTTCAGCAACGAGTTCCTCTGCCGGTGCCTCTTCAACGGGAGCAGGTTCCTCCGCTTCAGGCGCAGCAGGGGCCGGTTCCTCAGCAGCAGGAGGTTCTTCAGGCGCAGGCTCATCTGCAGGAGGGGGCTGCTCGGCAGGTGCTGGCTCTTCGGCCTCAGGTTCGGGGGAAGCAGATTCTTCGACGACTTCTTTAGTCGGAGGTTGCTCCGGTGGTTCTTCAGGAGCGTCCTCTTTCTTTTCTTCTGCTGGAGCTTCCGCAGGAGTTACCTCCGGTTGAGCCACCTCATCAGTTGGCGGTGCTTCTGGAGCCGATTGGGCGGCAGCATCTTCAGCTACAGCTTCGTCCGCGGCCGGTGTCTCAGTTGCTCCTTCTTCCGCTGCGGGAGCTTCGGTTGCCTCCTCTTGCTTGTCCTCGACTGGGCTTTCTGCAGCAGCAGGCTCTTCCTGTGTCGTTTCGTCTGAAACGTCATCGGCAGTTGCACCCTCGGGAGCTACCGCTTCTTCCGGAGTGTTGTCCTCCGCCGTCTCAGTCGGCGCGGCGGGTTCCTCCTCAGAAGAAGGTTCAGGTGCGGGCTCTTCAGGAGCGGGCTGCTCCTCGGCAGGAGGTTCCTCGGTAGGAGCTTGTTCTTCAGCCACGGGCTGCTCCGCTTCGGGTGGTGGGTCGCTCTGTTCTTCAGCGGGTTCGTCCGGGGCTGGACTATCCTCAGTGTCGGGTTTCGTCGCATCTTCTTCTGCTGACCCGTCCGTTGGTGAGTCGCCCTGTGCGGGAGCAGCTTCTTCGCTGTCAGGATTATCTGCAGGTGAGTTCGCATTTCCAGTATCAATATCGACGTCATCAGGAACCCCTGCAGCAGCAGCCGCTGCTTCTGCCTCCTCTTCTGCTTTTGCATCCTCCTCCGCTTGCCGTGCCGCTTCCTCTTTCTCGGCCTCGACCTTATCGAGCTCCGCGGATGGATCGCATTCTGGGAAATCATCCTCTGGGAATGAGGTCAGCTGGTTTTATGCATTTCGGTATCCGCAAGCATACCGTTGCTGTCTCCTTCTTTGTTTTCCGATGCAGGACTTTCATCTACCGCCGCTGCGGCACCATCACCTTCCTCGGGCGGTGGGTCTTGCGCGGCATCTTCAGTGGCCGCTGGCGTCTCGGACTCGTCGGGGTTGGCGGCGTCTTCGGCTTTCTGCTCGGTACCGTCTGCCTCTGGCGCAGGTTCTGCTTCTTCCTTGGCTTCTGGTGCAGGCTCATCTGACGGTTCAGGCTCAGGCGGAGCAGCTGCCGCTTCAGGTGACTCTAGACAAATGTGAGGAAGGTGAACCCAGATAAAAGAGAGAAGGTGGCGATTGACAAGCATACGTACCTTCAGATTCGGGTGCAGGCGCAGCGTCAACGGGAGAACTACTTGATTCTTCTACGGGAGCACTCTCTGGGGATGGGCCTTCCTCTGAATTGGTCGCGTTATTGGTGGTATCCTGATCCTTATCCGATGTCAGACCATCCGAAGAAGTAGCAGTGACGGGATAAAATGAAAATTGCAAAGTTTGACGGTCGAAGGTCTGATATTGACGCTCGATTGTCTGATATTCAAACTTGGGAAGCTGTGCATACTGTAGGTTGGCCATGGTCCCCAGCCTCGGCGGCCTCTTCAAGGCCGGGCTCGGCTGTAGGGTTGTCTTCAGGGAGGGAAAACTTATTATCGTTCACTGGTAGGCGTTGCTTATTATTGTTATTGTTCTTCTTCTTGTTCTTTGCTCCTCTTTTGGCCATGGCATCGGATCAGTCACAGTACGTCCAGCTATGAGCCTTTCGGTTCGGCCCAGTTGATGTATCGATTTATATAGACAAGGTACGTCTTTCCTGTCACACTCTCTTCAGGGGTAGGAAGGGATCAATCGGATAAAAAAAGACAAGGATGATGCAAGAGAACGGAATGGAAGAGTCAGACATGAACAGGCATGGGAAGGATGAATTGGGGCAGACGCTCATGTGTTAGGGAGGTCAAATCGGGATTGAACAAGCAGCACACGTCTTGTCCCTCCGCCAACAGCATGGTGGTTCCGCCCAAGTCCCAAGGCGAGGCGACGTATCGCCGTCCGCCTGTACCCATTGCGATGGGATACTGTCAAACTACAGTTTGAGCCTTGAGGCCGGATGGACGTCACCGGCGAACTACCCAACGGCATGATTTTTGATTGGGCCACGTCTCACAGATCCAATGGCCTTTGACGAATTTAGGAAAAGAACTTGGGAGACCCCCTCCCGAAAGCATCGTTAGGGCCGGGAAAAAGCAGGACGATCATGCAGTAGCCAGCTACAGGCAGCGGGGCGAGAAAGGGAAGCCGTCCAGTTATGGAGTTGCGTGGGTGGTTGGATAACTGGGTACCGCAGGGTTGGTGGGGGTGGTGCCACCGATAGATAAATCATGATTGTCTGTGTTGCTTTCTCTGTTTTTGGGCATAACCCGCAATAGCCTCGCGCGGTTAAGCCAACGCGCGTGGCCGAAAAGAGTAAATCAGGAGGAGTTGAAACGACCAGCAACGAGAGGGCTTTCGTCGGGTAGCTCCTATGCCAGACAATAAACATCCTCTTAATGGCATCGTAGATGCCAAAGAGATCGAACAGTCATGCAGAATGAAGGACTCGGGTCGTTTCCTATACTTAGAAGAAAGATAGGCAGCAAGCCTTCAGAGGCCAGACAACGAGAATGACAAACATGTCCAACCTCTCAGGGACACTCCTCAATCATCGATTCCTGCCCAACGTAAATTGCGGGCGGCGGCCGGAATAAGGTGCATAATGTGTGGTGCGTCGAAGCACCGGCCAGAATGACTGGGATCAGACTGGAGTGCATGATCGACTTCTGTCCTGTTCTCTGCAGCAGAGTGTCAATCATGATCGCCAGCCTGTTTCATTTCTGCGACTACGACATCAACGATGATGGTTGGGACATGGAATAGACAATTCCTGATGAAACCGAGGTCTTTGAGGGGAGAAAGAGAAGGCGTTCCAAAACTCCACCGAGACACTTCAGCACTTGAAGATCAGTCTAGACTGTTTTAGGCAATGCCCAAATCACTCCCAAGCCCAACTTCCATCTACTATTGTCCTTTGTACTCCGTAGAAACGACATCTAATGCTATTGATATTACCATCCGCATGAATATGATCCTGCCAACAAGGAAATCTGACAAATCTAGAAGCCACAGAATAACCCAGAAGTCCTGGTTGTGAAACGCCACAAGATGTCACAGTAATCAGGCAGTTTGTTTACTATTTCTGCACCTAAAAAATGAGGCGAGGATTGCTGCTTTGGCGGTCAATGAGTGGTCAATTGGCACCTAACTATGGAGCACTAACTAGCCAGAACGGTTTGGACGCATTTGAAACTGAAAGAACTCTTCATCACGCCTCTCCGAAAGCAAAGAAGAGCAGAACAATGATAATGTAGTGAGCTATCCTGGGTATGCCACGCTGAGCAGCAGCCCGAAAAGAGCATCTTCGCCCATTCAATGCTACCAGAAACAATGCTACCAGAAAACTGAGTTTGACTTGAGAGAGATGGATAAACGTTGAGAAGTCTTTGATTGCTGTCCATAGCCATAAGCAGGGCGACGAATCATAGAGCCAGATGCGACTGGATATGTACAAAATAGATAGTAGGTTATCCATAGAGCTGTCTGCGGTGGTTCCATGCATGATTGCCGATGATCCCTGATCCATCACCGACCACTGCTTACCTCAGAATATTCTCTGCTCCTTGGGCAATTGATTCCCAACAGGGCAATGCAAGAAAGAATTATGTGCTGAATTCAGCCTTTGACCATCCAGCAATTGCTACCAAAATCAACCAGGCCATCCAAAATAGCCTCCTCTCATCATGGCGGCACTTTCCCTACGCTCAGAAACACCATCATCCTCCATGGTCAATAGAGCGAAGGATAGAATATAGTAATACGGAGGATCTATCACTCCCTACCTTACGGTCAATAGGCTGCGCTGGACCTATTATTTCTGTATCAAAATGTAATTGCGCGCTTACAGATCACCTACAGCAGGCACCAGGAGAGCAGACAATTCGATCATCGCTTTATGCTATGCTAACATGACTCGTAAAAATAACGTTATCGGGGTATCTTTTTTTGCATTCCGGCCCAGAAAAAGACCAGACTAGTGACTCACGGCATCCATCGACTTCCTCCAACGAGGTCCAAATACTTTCATAGCGAGGATCACCGAGCTGCTGGCGAAAGCGACCAGTCCAAGGATCGTAAAGAGCCATCCGTTACCGATGGCATCAATAATGGGGGCTGTCACGAGCGATCCGATGCATGAGAAGATATTTCTCATAAAGTTGTTCAATGCGACACCAGTTGATGATTTATTAGGCATGAATTCGGTCAACATCGTCGTTGCCATGCTGAATATGAGCATTGATCCGACACCAAAAAAGAAGTTGGCGGCCATCTGGAAGACAAGGTTAGTATTCACCCTCCCAGTAAAACAAAACCCTAGACCAACTTACCGGCGCAAACCAGAAGACCCCCTTGTCAGCAGTCCAGCCGTACCAGATCAATGCCGCAGGATACAGAAATGCACCCAACCAAGCATTCTCACGCATGCGATCCTCTGGGCGATAGATCAACTCGCCGTGCTCGTCATATCTGCCGGCCTTCTTCGCCTCACGCTGCATGATTTGGTCCATCCATCGCCCCCCGAAAATACTCGCAGCTATGTAACCCAGCGAGTTCGGGATATAGAGGCATCCAACAATAATGGTGCTAAAGTTGTAGGGGTTCGTTGAAAACGTATGTTCAACGCTAACGTTCAACACGTACAGGGACCCGAAGGTGATACTCGCGTAGTATACAGTCAAAAGCACTGCGGGATAGCGCAAGTAAAGAACGATCTTAAGAGGGTCAAGGAAAACCATCTTGAGGACCTTCAACCATCTAGCAGTGAAGTGAACGACCTGGCGTGAAGATATCCGACTGAGTTGTTGTTCAACGGGTGCTTGTTCATCGCCATCAGGCTGCTTTCGATTGGCCAATGTTTCAGGAAGTGCAAAAAAAATGAATATCACGATGATTCCGCCATAAACGGCTAAGAGCCACATGGTACTTCTCCATCGCCAACGCTCTGCCAGAGCACCCCCCACGATGGGAGCGAGCAAAGGACCGCACAGCGGGCCCAGGTAGAAAATGCCCATTGCGCGTCCCCTTTCATGCGGGTCCCACAGATCTGCTATCGTCCCTGCACCAACTGCTTGAACTGATGCCGATGCCCCGCCGCTCAACATGCGCATGACGATTAGCATCGATATGGAATGGGATACGGCACTCAGAACGTTGAACAACACAAAGAGACTGAAGGATACGAGGTATATCGTTCGCCGACCAAGTCTCTCACTGAAAGACGACCACCAAAGTGGAAATATAGACATACTCAGCATGTACAGCGAGATATTCAGGTTGACGACAGTGGTTGGTGCGTCCATTTCCTTGGATATTTGAGAAAGAGAGGCTATTGTGAGAACCTGTTAGCACGTGCTAATGAATGGTATATCGACCGTTTTGGTCAGCGAGGAATTCTCGAAGTGTGAGGGTAGCGACGCCACCAACGAGTTGTTCACCGACAAGGGGAGCGCATCAACAAAGTGGGTTGGCCACCACGAGTTCAATTCTAGGAGCAGTTGGACTGGGAGCTACCTACGGAATAGTATTGAGCTACCCATGGGAGCTGTAGATCCTGCCAGCGCGACAATGAATGTGATAAACCACTTCGTTTTTCGGAGATACGTCTTCGGATTCTCAACCTCTGCCAGCAGTGTGAGTTGTCCGAAAAGCCCTCGGCGCTTCAGCCTCGGCACCGCTATCGGCAAGCTTTCATGCTCTGCATACGGAATATCGATCGCTGTGCCCTTCACATCCATGGCCGACAGTGCGGGCGATCCCGCGAGCGAAGAATGGGCATCTTTTTCGACACGTAAGTCTTCATCCCCGGGCCTTTTGACTGTGGGAGCATCGGTATATGCAGTTTCCGCCGACGTGATTTCGTGAACACCTTCCTCCAAGTCCCCGGAAGTCATTTCTTATGTATGGGGAATTCGTTCGTTGTGAAAGAAAAATTCCTATTGTTGTTCCTCTGGAAACTGACGGGAGTATAAGATCGATGACGCACGATGCAACCCCATCTAAGGTAGCATCAGTCTTGAGATCTTGGGATATCCGGGAAATCCAACAAGTAGTTCGTCCGAAGAAAGAGAGAAAAGCGGAGAAGAAAAGATTACGGAATTATAGAGCAGTCAATGAAGATAGTGTGCAAGTCCTGCAACTGTAGCAATGTCGGTTAATAAGACTGGTGGATATATAAGAGAGCAGCGATTCTTCCCCATGTTCTTCAGAAAGTAGGAGGGAAATCCACTTCAAGAGGATAGATATATCGAAGGCGTCCTTTTGAGCGTAATGAAGTGTCGTAGAAGGAAGGAAGTGAAAGGGAAATACCTATTAGGTGAAAACAGAAAGAAGTGAGCGTTCCCTGCTGGCGCCGTTTGAGGCAGGTGTAGATCTACTCGAGGACTGATTCTCCACTTGCTGCCGGACAACAATCTCCTCTTCAATATTGAATTGAGCATTCAATATGGTAGCTGGGATACATCTTGTGTCAGTGATATGTCAAATTTTCTCCTACGCGCTTTCTGTCTGGATACTGCTCTTAGTGGGAGAGCAGTCCCTCTTCTCGGTCTTTCTCCGCATGCGGAACCCATTTTTCTCATGAATCTGCCAGATACCGTTCATAGTGACTTCAACATCTACGGTCCAACGACTCTAAGACTTCTCAGTCTCCACCTCAATGACAAGGGTGAATCAAAGAACCGAGACAGTGTGCCGTTTGATCCGTAGTGACCAGTCGGAGAGCGTGGCGCATTTGGCGATGGCGGGGGTTCCCGCCCTTGGCTTTCCCACCCCCCAGTTACCCGAGGTCAAGCCTTATGTAGTCTAGCCGACAGTCCTTCCTGCACAATAAGATCTCGCTCCACGGAGCTCTTCTGCTAACGAGAAATGCATAATTCAACCCAATATAAGGTCATAACGTCCCAGAAAGGCAGCCTCTTAGGGCTCATCCCAGCGAGACCAGTCAATTCCGTATTAGTGAACAGCGGAAAGTCTTGCAGCTGAGTCGATCCGAAGCTACGCATACTAGTGCTTCGGTAGGTGATGTCTCATCCTTTGTGCGGAAAAGGATCTCTTCAAGATAAGAATAACCCCCAGATAAGGTAATGCGCGGGTCCCGGGGTCGAAATGGGTGTCAGTCTGCATGATATGGAGCCTCTAAAGCCGATCAGTATGCGAGACAATCGGATGCTTTGCCGTCGGCCTCACGACTTGGAAATGACCAAGGAAGTCCTTGCTTTGTGTATGACCAGGGGTCTTTGCTTTCCGCGGTAGTGGCGGCATCAGAGAGTGCTTTTCAAGATCCGATCGAAACATGAGGTATCGGAAGAGGCGTTTGCTTAAGGCCTACTGCCATTCGCTCCTCAATTGAAATGCTTGTCAGACGGCATATCCACCAAGGGCCTCACAAAGTTCTCGAAGGTGAGATAGTCAACCTCTACAAAGTATATATTGTTAGCCACCAATGTAGAGAGAAGGGGCGCTCATATGTGGATGCACTGTTGGAGGACAGCCACAATACAAAAGACAGAGGCCATCAGCTTCACCTCCATTGCTGAAGGAACCGATGCATATATAAAACAAACACCACGGAGCACGACCGAACCAAGGTTCTGCGATAAGAAATGGCCCCTATCTTCCTCGGTTATATGCCGCCTCCTAAATCTGCAAAAGGAATATAGATGACTCTCGATCGCGAGCCAACCGATGATCAGACCCTGCCTTACGGGGATTCCCTATGAATAGAAGTATCGACGTCGTCAGTCAATATCAATGGCGTATTTTCCGGGTATACGGAGGACATCGTGGCCCCCCGAACACAAAGCACATTTATAACCACAACAAATAGCAAACCATACTCGTCGTTCCTGAGGACAGAATGTCAACCGCGCAACGCTTTTGATCCCTGCTCTACCACCGGGATAGACTCCTTGGTTACTGGACAACATATGACGGGGCGGTGTGGACCCGCGCAGCAGCTAGCGATGGCTTCAAATTGACGAAGGGAAGCACGTTCGAGAGAACAAAGGGAATACGGAGATGGTTCTCTAGGTGGAGTCAATACTTCGACCGAAAGCTAAGCTAGGTTGCCTCCAGAGACTTCGAAAGTCGCCGGGCTCGAGGGATGTACTCATTAATGGACGTGTAAATTAGTCTACAATCTCTACAGATCATAGGAGAAATTGCCAAGAAGAAACTATTAGATATCGCGTACACTCAAGTGTGTTTGATAGCAGACACGCAGCTGCGACGAGGATTTGATGAATGAGTTCCTGACAAACAGTCCTTAAAAGTGCAGTCACTGGGTTGAAATGCTACCGTACTATAAGGCAAACTGATCTATTATTAACTGCAGACGAGTGCTTAGAGGCGGTATCCATATTCATTTCAAACATTAACTGCAAGACCTGTCCATGACTCAGCCGGTCTTTCAGTCCACTCTGGGGATGGAATCCGAGACGACGAGGAAGTTGAGTGATGACTCGGAAAAGCAAAATGTGACATCACAGAAAGAAATCAAAATGAAAGAGATAGTCCAGCTCAAGTAGAGGGGAAACCAAAGAAAATTGAACTGATTACAGAAGAAAATATGAATCGACACGCCAACTGTGGAACGCCTTTTGAAAAATACAAGTTCCTTGACACACGTCCGAGTACAATATTGGGCCCATGACCCTACCAATGACCCTGCCGGAAGTAACATCCAAGGTATATATGATTGATTTGGGATGATGTGATACCGTCCGAATATCCTGTCCAAACGGTGTGACCTGCTCGGGGAGCTCCTTGGATTTTCATCTTTCTTAGAAAGAGGGCGTTGTGGTTTGAGGATTTCCGAGTTTTGCCAATAGCGAACACGTTGGAAAGTCGGTGACTCCAAGAATAAGCCTCTTTATAGAGCGCGGACAAGAAGCCCGATAAAGTGCTAAGGATTAATATCTTCCAGTGATCGGCTGGGGAAAACGGTGAGGAATTCGTAACAGTATGTTGATTTCATAGCAAATTCAACGACTCAGATTGCCTTGGTGAACTTGGACGCTGCGCTTGATGTAATGCGGCTAGGGGTTGCTTCGATACATGTCGAATTAACGTCGGTCAGGGTTTGTTACCTAGGATTTCGAGTCAGTGCACCTAGTTAAAATATTCCAAGCGCAGAACTGAAGAGCCTCACCTGTAAGATACGACGGGAAAAGTCTTGATCGTCATCAATGCTACCATTGCTTTGGCGCCTTTTTGCCATGAAGTCGCCATCGAACCTCGAATCGGACATGGAATCTTGCGACATGGGCTTGCCAAAGTGCTCGGTGGCGCCAGCGTTATTCGAGTACTGCGGCCGCACGTTTGTGCGCTTCCTGAAACGCCAGAGGAAGAATCCAGCTCCGACAAGGGAACAGAATCCGACCACACCGACAACAACACCAGCAGCAATGGCAGCAGTGTTCGGGCCATCCTTGTTCTTTTCTTCGTTGAGTCCGTTTGTTGCGCCCACCCCATTGCCTGCTGCTGCTGTGACGACTACTGTCTGCTCCCCTTGGGTGACGACTTGACCCTGACTGCCAGTAGTCACAGTCGACCCGCCGTTGGTCGTTGATGTTGAGCTCGAGTTGGTGCTGGCAGACGAATCATCATCTTGGTAGTACGCAACGTTGGAACTTAGGCCAGTCAGGTAGACGGAGAATGTATTTTGACCACCACCTGTTAAACCATCAAGTCAGCACGGCAACGGAACCAGCAAAAGTTATAGAGAAGACCATACACATGACATCAGGCCAACCAGCGCATTTGACATTACAGTCGGAATCGGCCGTCTTAGCCGACTTCGCGGGCAGCTCAGTTCCACAGAGACAGTTCGATCCCTTCGTCAAGGCAAAGACAAGATTGTTGTTGGTCTTCATGCAGAGTTGTTGACAGTAACCGTTACTCTGATACATATAGGGGCCTTGGTCTACCAAGGGTGTGGAGTCACTGAAACAGCCCTCGCTTACCATTTCGGCGGCGAAGACTGCTGGAAGGTTGGTGGTGAGGAGCAGCGCTGAGGCTGTAAAAGCGGATCGGACTGTGAAAGGCTTCATTCTGTGTTTGGTATATGTGACTGTAATATCAAAAAGCGAGAGTCGAGGCGTTAAGCGGTTGGTGAGGTCTGGTGAGAAACGAGAGACAAGGGACGACCAGCGTAGCCCTTGGATATTATTTTGCGATTGTTGTCTTCAATCTACTCCCCGTTTATCCTTCCTGAGTAGAGAGCGGCAGGAACGGTAACAAGAAACAGTCGTCGTGATTTATCGACGGTCGGACCCAGCTTAGACGATTGATATGACGAGTGGACGGTCGTGAGATGCCAGAGAAGAGCGACGAAAAAGGTTTAGTTGAGGCAAAGTTGAAGCGAAGAGGGTGATACCGATGAAAAGCCGGTGTTGATCCTTCTGGAGAAGACGGTCCCTTGGCGGGGAAGAAGTTGAGGACCGGTTGTTTCACAAACCCCTTTTGTCGGGAAGCTGAAATGAGCAATCTGAACGGGGCTAATTGCTCGCACCGCGGTGTGATCAGTCAGGCAACCACCTCCTTCACGTCAATAAGAGAAAATTGTGCCTGAGGTAGAACAGAGAAAGCGAGGCGTCGAAGAAGAAATCTAGAAACGACAAGGACGTCGACAAAGAATACAAAAAGGGTGGTTACTGAAGTCGAACCCTTCAAACATACAGTAGAAACGAGTGGAAATTTAGTGGAGGGAAAGGATTATTATGGAAAGGGTGACAAGGAGAAAGCAGCAGGAGAAGGATCTGGAGAAAGACGGAAGGCAGACAGACAGAGTGACTGAGCGACTGACTGTGACTGATGATAGTGTGAGAGGGACTGATTATTGAATGGAGACAGTCGAGGGATTATTGGCTTAAGCGATAATCTCCGGGTTCAGATTATTATTATTAGGAGGAGGGACTAGCTTAAGGTACGGAGTACAGAGTACTCCGTACAGGGTAAGTAAACAATGCGACCTCTCCCGCACCTAAAAGGAAATGTACCTGCCTTGGGGATTGGAAAGCATACACGGTACGCCATTTTCTGTGTCGAAGGAGGAACAGTGTCCAAACGGGCCCTGACCCTGGTTCGCCTCTGACGGTAATTTTACATCCCGCGTAACAAGCTCCACTCATAATTCTGCCCAATGAAATGAATTATCATTGTTTATATAAGCGCATTTGCCGTGCTTATGACCAGGGGTACAGTAAGTCGTTTCCATATTTGGCTACCCGGCTGGGAAAAGGGAGCCATTGTGGTACAGACTAAGCCTGAGATGGGAAAGGTGTACATTAGCTTGCAAATTGTGGTGGCTCTGCTTTTCTGTTTCATCAATTGAAAGAGGGGCTGCTGCTGTACGGAGTAAGGTAGATACGTAAGGTACAGAATACTTAGAGTTATGAATTGCCTGAAGTGCTAAGTAAGGTAGATGCAAACTGTAAGGTACACAGGCATGGCAAAGGGACAATGTGGTACTTATACAGGTACCTGTATAGTGCCTAGTCTTCCTTACCAGAAAGGAATCAAGCTCTAGGGCCGAGGGGGAATAGGATGCAGTTGAGCTGAGGATACAAAAGTCTTCACATACGGAGTACGGAGTACTCTGGCAAAGTTCATGCAAGTCCATCTTGTGGGATGATCAGTCATCTACGGAGTACTAGTAGACACAAGTCATGTACTTTCCTCTATTGGTCTCAAAGCTAGGATAGGCTTTCATTGTCGCATGCTTGGACTATCCTTATGAAACAAAGCAAACAGATAACTTGTGATTCACTGCCTGTCCTCGAGAGCATCCTGCTGCCCTTGTAACATTTTTCAACTCGTCCCCTAGTCGAAGTTCGTGGTGAACCCACCATCTATTAGCAAACTATCTATCTGTCTACCATCGCGTCGTCTCCTTGTTATTTATTGCCGTAGATAGATGCTCCGTTTCTCACTCTCTATTCTCGACAAGCCATTGTCAGCCACATTGCAAAGACAAGGACGCGGCGTCGTCGATCCCTGTTTCGGCCAAGCGCCCCGATGGATCACACACACAGACCCGTGATGCGAGCCCTGATTCCGTAGACCACCCTACCCTCCGATAACGCAGATCAACATGTGTCACATTTCTTCAAGGACAATAATGATCACAACAATATGGTGTCAACAAAGTGAAGGTTACTCTCTGACCTTAGAACTCGTGCAAAACTCCCTGCTGGTAGTCACCAAACTCACCACGCTTCCATGAGTTCCAAGGCTCCAAGCGGCCACTCCCGGACTGTGTGGGTCTGAACCCCTTCATGACTTCTGCAGGTTAATGCGGATCGTTGGAACCTGTAAAGAAACTGTAAGGTTCACCCTCTTGGGGTACTGATGTAACGCACAACGAACACACAACGATAATATCTCGATCGCTCATCCTCAGATCGACAAGGCTCGGCCAATGACAGAACTGATTCTCATGTGAGCGATGATGATGAACTCGTTTCATTGTCTAACAGTCCTGATTTACTCCGTAGATCGAAGATAATAGTTCATGGCTTCGCCAATTACATTGCCTGACAGACACGCATGTCGATGGAGATCAATCAAAGTTTTCCATACATTATTGCTGAAAGGGAGAACGACGTAGGCCGAGAGAAGTAGCCTGCGTATATCACCAGTGCGAACTCGATGTTATTATTATTGTGACGAGAGCAGTGCCCCTGACTCCTGACTATTCGTGGGCCAGTACGGAGTAAAGCCCTCAGCTTATGTTCCTGAGATATGGCGCTTGGGAATACGTGTGGTCGTGATTGCGCCGCTCCATTTGCGATTTCTTAAAGCCCATCATCCTTATTGCGGACAGTCGATATTCTTGTGAACCCTAGAAGTCCGCCAAATGACTCAAATGACAATGACAATTTTTGCAATGCAATGACGTGGCATACGGAGTATATGCCGAGGGATACCTTTGTATGGACGTCATGGAAGAACCAGCCATTCCAGAAACCGAGAGGAATTGTTCCCTTGGGACGTTGAGACAAAGTGCCTTGCCCAAAGAGACAGGCTCATACTCCTCCAGTCGCAGAGTTTCCTCATTCAATCAGACTGGCCCCAAGAACTTGACATGATGAGAGCAACTCGATAGTTTCGTCAGCGTTCACGGTCAAAAGACAGCAACGGATTCATCTGTTCTTCTGTCGGAGCCTCAGATCGCCAGATCCTTGGTACGAACGGTTCCCCAGGACTACCAGCTCGCACAGTCGCACTAATACGGAGTATTAATAGATCAATGCTCACTTCCCGAGAACCAAAGCCAGATAGACCCTGCTCGTGTGCTGTTCTTTTTATGCCCAACCGCGATTCTACCTACGACCACTATCATCCTTCCAGAACAAGCTTCAATACCACAAAGGGATACACCAGTATTTCACGTTCACCTCAACACGTGAAAACCACTGTATGGAATACCTCCCTTAGACGGAACAACCGGAAGCTGTACGGATATGTAAATTTGTCCCGACGAAGTTGTAAAGCCCTCGGGCAGGTCTAGAACCTGTCAGTTGACCCACAGCACAACAGTCAGGCTTGCATCCAGTCCAATTTTGTCTTAACTCGATGATCTATCGACTTATCGAGTCCACTGTGACTGTCTAGAACTCTTCGAGTTACGCTGTAGCTAAGATTGGGAAAAAGTAAGCTGCTGTTGCCTCACTGCACTGCTTGACAAGCAGAAACCCGGCTTCGGCATCCCAGACCTCACGTCCATGGCAACCTCGCGCCCATCTGGGCCTCTAGGTTAGGTTTGCGGTTTTCCTGCGTACGAGTCGTCAACCTTGTCTTTAATCTGTAAGTTTGGCGGGAAGTTTGCGGCAATTGACGGAGATTATTGTCAGTGATGCATTTCATCATCTATCAATAGCCTTGAGGCTTGAGGGTTGGCTAGGCTCTCTATCCACGTTGCACATCTGGATTATTAGTCTGATGTACCGAGAAGTAGATTTGAAGGATCTAGCTGCATGCTCTGGAATAAGCTGCAGATATTCATCATTCTGCTGGAAGATCTGAGCCGCAGTGCAGCCGGCTGTATATATATGTATCGCAGTATGTATTAACACTACAGCCTCGTTTGTCATCCATCTCAGTTTCTCAAGAAATGCTTGGATCTGGTATCTGCTGTAACCCCCCATCATGTATAACAGTATTTGACATACGTTCAATATGAATTGTCAATGGATGTATCTGACTAGGATAAGGAAATGCTCGGTAAAGGTTCACTTGATGCACTGAAGTCGGGGTTCTACCAGATGTTTCGGCGAAGCTCAACAACAGCTTAACTGGTACAAAGGAATGCAGCTGAGGCATACAAATCAAATGCAAACTTTTCAAAATTGTATTCAACAATTCTCCACGTCCTCTCCGGTATATATGTTCGTAGAAAGATCTCTCTATCACGGTAATTAAATCTTGAGCAGCCAAGCCTGAACTCGTCTGTACAGATAATCGACGCCTCTATGGCTTGGGAATCTTTATCGACTTGCTGACCATCATGCAGCCGTGCAGGACAAACAGCAGAACAACGGGGTGAAACTCAAGTGGCGTGCCCTGGGCGGCGAGTCCAATAGGAAGATCCTCGAGAATCCAGCCCTGAGATACCCAGTAGGCCATGAGCGAAGCGATGCCCAATGTCGTCGGAATCGGTGTGCCTTCAAAGTACTTGGACTTGCCGGTCTTATCCTTGGGAAGGACGGCGACGGTAACGTTGAATCGGGCCAACCGCGTCAAGCCGCAAAGGACGAAGAACGCTAACAGAAGATGGTCGACGAGGGTGCGGGCTCCAAGAGCGAATGCGCATGCGGCCGGTGCGAGGCCGAAGGAGATCTAGAGCGGAAAGATAGGGGTCAGCTGCGTCCGCTGCCCTCAGGGAGTGCGAAGTTGCCATACCAAGTCCGCCAGAGAGTCCAGCTCCTGTCCCATGAGGGACGACTTCTTCCTCCATCTCGCGATTTTGCCATCCATAAAATCAAAGAATAACCCAAAAGGCATGAAACCAAGAGCGGCCCAAAGAGCACCATGATCATGTGGGTCTCCTAGACAATAACGCATCGATGAGAATACGGACATGACTGTTCGAGATCTAGTCAGCATCGGTGCATGTTTTCGATTAGTGAGATTGCGGTCTTGCCTCCACAGAATCCTATCGAGTGCTGTCAGCATTAAAGGACGGATAATGTTGCTCTAACAGATCTTACCATTGAGCTCGGTCACCAAATCAGCAAGATGCAACGCCCTGCACGAAACTTGAATGAGCAACGTATCTTGATTCCCACCGGGCACTAAAATACTAACCTGACCAAGCTAAAGTGACCCGTCTCCGACGAGAGGAGCATCTTCTGCTTTTCCTGACCTGCAATCAATAGGTGAGCATGTTGCAGTACAGTTGCATCCGCTGGTGATCCAAACTCACCTCCATCGCCCGAAGCCGCGACACCGCTATTTGAAGACTGACTTGACGACATGGCTGCTGTTCGACGAGACATGCTCAATCTGTATGAACAAGAGTAGACGATATATGACAGGAAATTTAACTAAAATGTGGGTTCAGAGAGATCTGATGGCTCTTATAGGTAAGTAACAGGTTGAAACAGGTTGAGGATTCCAGTGTTGACAAACGCACAGATTCTCCGGTTCCAGGGCGGTCCAGACGTCATTGGAAAGGCGGTGCAAAGCTGCGCCACAGAATCAAGCCACATGCTGCTAGGGAAAATTTCCAGCTTTTAACATTCGATGATGATACAAGCTGGTTAAGCTCTACTTTAAAGGATAATGGACGTAGTATTGTTGCAAGCGGACGAACTTGGACTCGCGCTGTGTATTTTACAACATTGCAGAAATTGAAGCAGCAAACTTTCATATGCATAATAAAATATCTCGAAAAAAAAGGTTCCTGCAAGAGCTCCCGTTTTCCCATAACGCCATAATAAGACAGTACTGGTCAAGACACACTGTCTATCGTCGGAAACCTCCACTACCACCACGAGGTCCTCCTCTGCCACCACCTCTGCTCCCACCACGGAAGCCGCCTCCACCAAAACTACCTCCACCAAAACCACCTCCCCTAGGTCCTCCACGTCCTCGGGGGGCGCCGCCTCGGCCACCACGAGGTGCACCACGTCCACCTCTGGCGCCTCCGCGAGCAAAACCACCTCTGCCACCGACGGCCTTCTTCGGTTTCGAGCCTAGACAAAGTTAGTATAAATGTACGATAACTGGACGAAACTAACGGCATACCCGGAGGGGGCTTAGGCTTGGGAAGGAACCTATTGTTGGACAGTTAGTCACGCAAACATGCAAACCAAGGCGTTGCAGAACGTACTTCTCAAGCGGAAGAAGCTTGTCTCCTCCAATGTAGACCTTGTCGCCAGGCTTGAAGGATGTCGCGACAATGCCCTCCTGAGGCTTGATGGTGAAGTAGACCTGGTTGATGGGACCGAGAACTTCGTCGACCTTGCCAATAGGGGTCTGATGAAGAGGGTTAGTCACTAAGTCTGCGACAGGAGGTAGGATGTAAGTCTATGCCGTACTTTGTTCTCGAGGTAGATAGGGGCGTTGAAGTAAGGAATCTTGGGATTCACTGATTCGCAAACCATCTCGCCCTCGCAAGCGTGCATGAAAGTTCCCATCTCTGACAAAAAATCAGCCATCCGTCATCTCCCCCGATGTACCGGCAAATGTATAATTACCCAGAACCTGTGCTGGCGGCCCAGTTTGTGCTTGGAATCCTCCGCGGCCTGCCCGACGAAAATTTCGTTAGCAACCATCAATCTTCCACTTTGGCAACTATTCGAACTCACCACCGCGTCCACCAAAGTTTCCACCACGGTTGGCGCCTGAGGCGAAACCGCCACGGCCACCTCCACGAAACGACATCTTGATTGTGGTGTTGCGATTGATAGCTGTCTGGAGTTCGGAGTCCGGAGAAGTTTTCAAATGGTGGGAGCCTCGAAACGGTAAAGTGTCGCTAGTCGCCAGGGCAGTTTAATGTCACGTGCTTCACCGCCTTCCTTCCCCTCACCGTTTTGAATTATTGACTCTTCGCATAGGCCGAAGAAGAGTCATCGTTCTGAGCCTGCCCCCTACCTATTGTGCGCGTCTCCCGAACCGCTGGTCTGAACTTACGGATACAGCCATGGCTTCTGAAGACCCGAAAGAATTGCCAGTGCGGCCTGCAGAGGCCCAGGACGCCAATGCCACTGCCCCGCCAAAGGCTGCGAAAGCTAATGCAGCCTCGAATAACGACTCTCTCCCCGATTTCATAATTGAACGGAACAAGCTATTTGAAGAATTGTGGCAACAGTATCTTGAAGAGCTCAAGAATAAGCCTCACCCAGAAATCAATGTCCTTCTCGATCTCGGCGACGGGAACCCCTCTCCTGTCCCCGCTAAAGCCTGGGAGACCACCCCCGGATCGTTTTTGAGAGACGTCCCCAAGGATATCAGCGCCAATGTCGTGCTCGCGAAAATCGATGGCAAGGAACTGTGGGATCTGAACCGCCCTCTGGAGCGCGACTGCACCGTCTCTTATGTTCTGTTCGACAGCCCCGAAGGTCGGGAGGTTTTCTGGCATTCGAGCGCGCACTGCCTGGGTGAGGCATGCGAATGCGAGTATGGATGCCTTCTCTCCCACGGGCCTCCCACTCCTCAAGGTTTCTTCTACGATATGGCCATGCCGGACAAGTCAGTTTGCCACTCCTACTTTTCCCTACGTGTGCCTTGTGATGGAATAAGAGTCTGATTCTAGAGAATAGCCGTGTTGTACGAGAGAGTGACTGGCCGGCCCTGGATAGCAGGGCGTCGCGGATCTTCAAGGAAAAGCAAAGCTTCGACCGATTGGAGGTCACAAAGGAAAACCTCAAGAAAATGTTTGCCTACAGCAAATATAAATTGCACTACATTGACAAGCTTGTCACCGGAGAAAAGAGTACGGTTTATAGATGCGGTACCCTGGTCGACCTTTGCAGAGGCCCTCACATCCAGAACACTGGAAAGATCAAGACCTTCAAGATTATGCAGGTATGAACACGATCCTGCGGAAGCCGTTTTGCCCGGGTCCGTTGCTGATTGCTATGTCCAGAACTCTTCCGCATATTTCCTTGGTGATCAGACTAACGACTCTCTGCAACGTATCCGTGGTGTTGCTTTCCCCGATAAGAAGCAGATGCAGGAACATCTGAAGTTCTTGGAGGAGGCGGAGAAGCGCAATCACTTGAGAATCGGCAAGGACCAGGAGCTTTTCTTCTTCGATGAAGTTTCTCCTGGCTGTCCTTTCCTCCTTCCCAACGGAACTAAGATTTTCAATGCGCTCCAGGCTCTTCTGCGGGCTGAGTACCGCAAGCGCGGCTACCAAGAAGTTCAGACTCCCAACATGTACGACGTCGGCATCTGGAAGAGATCTGGTCACTGGGCGCATTACAAGGATGATATGTTCAAGCTTGACGTGGAGAAGCGAGAATGGGCTCTCAAGCCCATGAACTGCCCGGGCCATTTCGTGCTCTTCGGCCACCGCGAGAGGAGTTACAGAGAACTCCCGCTGAGAATTGCGGACTTTGGTGTTCTGCACCGTAATGAAGCATCCGGTGCATTGAGCGGATTGACCCGTGTGCGGAAGTTCCAGCAAGACGATACCCACATCTTCTGCACCCAGGATCAGGTGAGGAGGGATCTTACACCATCTTTTATGTCTTATTGTCAACTAACTCCTCGCAGATCGCCTCCGAGATCGAGGGTCTCTTTGATTTCCTCCAGTCCATCTACGGACTATTCGGCTTTACATTCAAGCTGAAGCTTTCCACTCGCCCAGAGAAGTATCTCGGCGAACTCGAGACCTGGAACTATGCTGAGGAGCAGCTCAAGTCTGCGATGACCAAGTTCAAGGGTAAAGACTGGACGATTGACGAAGGCGATGGTGCATTCTATGGTCCTAAGATCGACATCACCATTGCTGATGCTCTCAAGAGAGAGTTCCAATGTGCTACTATCCAGCTGGACTACCAGGCACCAATCAACTTCAAGCTCGAGTACATGACCAACGAGAAGGGCCAGGCCGTTATGGAAGAGTCTAAGACCGAAGGCGAGACCAAGTCCAACGAGCCTGGTCCAGGTCGGGCGCGCCCCGTCGTCATTCACAGAGCTATCATTGGTAGCTTTGAGCGTTTCTTGGGTATCTTGATTGAGCACTTTGGCGGCAAGTGGCCATTCTGGATCAGTCCCCGTCAGATTCTGATTGTCCCCGTCATGCCTGCTGTGAACGACTATGTTGAAGAGCTGCAGCAAATCCTGCGTGGCGATAAATTGAATGTGGACATTGACATCAGTGGTAACACCATGCAGAAGAAGATCCGTACTGGTCAGCTAGCGCAGTACAACTTCATCTTTGGTAAGTCTTATCGCGAATCCTCATCTTTTTCCTGGATGGTATTGACTTTGGGTAGTCGTCGGCGCTCAAGAAAAGGAGTCTCGCTCTGTCAACATCCGTAACCGTGACGACCCTGCTACACAGAACAAGGGCGTCATGGTTCCTCTTGAAGAGGCTCGCCAGAAGCTCCGGGCTCTGAGAAAGGAGCGCAGACTGGTGAATGCTCTGTAGAGGATTCGACACCGGTATCCAGCGTTTATTGGGTGGCGTACTTCGAGGGCCGCTATTTATACGGCCAGCGATCTCGCGTAGAAGTTTATGACTTATGTAGGCATTGATTTGCCTCTCTCACAGAAAAGTAGATCTGGAGTATTTAGCGATGAAGACATGAAGAGAGTTCTGATCTAGAAATCATGGGGTTCTAAGACTCTGTATTATGGATAATAGATACATCGAAGGAACCTGCATGAATCGCTACATAGCAACTGGCGGTCCCACCATGAGTATTGTGGGCCTATGAAATTTTGACACCCCTTAATCCAAGTGGTGATAGTGACTGGTCAGTTCTGGTCAAGGGTTTTCGCCCGTCAACGACAACAGGTCGGATTTTGCCAAGATCATCTCTGGGGTTGGCATTGGCAAGGGCGTAGGGGAGATGTAGGTCACTGTTTTGCGCTCCTTTTCCAGCGTGTCCTGACTTCACTGCAAGCAGGCGATATCTAACATCAACAGTCATGCTTGAATCATCATGCAGCGCCTTCATTCGTTTAGTCAATTACGACATGCATCCCCACTGAAACTTTTTGCCCTCGCTGCCGCCTTCATCTTGGTGTCCGCCTCCCTCGTGTTTTACTCCAAACCTGCCAGTCCCTCTGATATTGACCTCATCCCCTCACTACCCTCCAGCAACAACGAAATAGAAAACAAAGGCACTTGCTATGTCGACCTCGACCTCTTGAGATCTCACGGGTACAATGATACTGCGAAATACGCACGGCTCGAGATAGCCGTGAGGCGAACAGCGAACTTTTCGGGATTCTCTGACACCTTGCCCACTCGTTTCCCCGCTTATCAGAAGATTCGTTTGGACACAGCCGAGCAAGAAGCACCGTTGTCACCGGAGACATGCTCTCCCTCAGTGACCATTCAAGCTCCGTTACCGGTCGCACCACCCAACGCGTCCCACATTCTGTTCGGCGTCGCGACAACGCTGAGAAGACTGGATGACTCCCTGCCTGCATTTGCACATTGGGCGGCAGGAACGGACGCTCGCATATATGCTTCGGTGGACTCCGACCCAGGCTCGCCAATAAGAAGGGTGGAGCAACGAGCCAAGGAATTGGATGTCCGTTTGACTATAATTCAATCTGATGAGGAGCGACTGGATCAGTACTTCTCTCTACTCCGGGTTCTGCTCAAGCACCGTGATGCATCGACGCAGTGGGCTGTCTTGATCGACGACGACACCTTCTTCCCTTCTATGCGAAATCTGGTGGACAGACTCGCAACCTACGACGCGACGAAGCCACAATATGTCGGGGCTGTGACGGAGGATCTCGCACAAGTGTTCAGTTGGAGTTACATGGCCTTCGGAGGTGCTGGGATCTTCCTCTCAATACCACTCCTTGAGCAACTCAACAAGGTGTATGATGATTGCAACAGCTTCAAGACCACCGGCGACCGAAGAGTCGCCAGGTGCATCTACGCCCACACACACACCAAACTCACCTGGGACCGCGACCTGTATCAGCTGGATCTCCAAGGGGATGCTTCTGGCTTCTACGAGTCCGGTCGCCCGCTGCCGCTGTCGGTCCATCACTGGAAATCATGGTTCCATGCAGATATGGTTGGGCTCGGTCAGGTTGCGGCCGTCTGCGGCGACGCTTGTCAACTGCATCGTTGGCGCTTGAAGGACAACTGGTTCCTCGTGAACGGGTTCTCCATGATCAAGTATACTTCAGCCAGGAATGTTGATCTGATGGAGAAGACCTGGGAGGATAGTAAATACAGAGGTGGGGACGGCTTCGCATTCAGTCTGGGTCCATTTCGCCCAAAGGATGAAGGCAAGGTGTCCTTTCGCTTGCAGAACGCAACTCAACAGGCAGGGTCTGTTCGACAGATCTATATTCATGACTTGGGGCCTGAGAAGCCTCCTGAAGTACTGGAAGTAGTCTGGAAACCTGCATCTGGGTGACGTTGCCTTCTGTCCGAGTTCTTTTTACAAAAATCGTTGAATGTCTTGTCGGTACAGAATACTCTCAGGGACTTCTAGCATCAAAGTCGAAGCATACTCGTTCTTTGTTCTGATGCGACTTAGCAATGGCGGAGTTGTTGATTACTTTATGTCTCTGGCTATGTAGCGAATAATAAACTGTCGAATTGAGTTTGTCCTTTGTTTGTTCTAGACTTCAAGCTGTATGATCAGGCTGCTCAGCGCTGTGATTCCTGGCTGGCTAAGCTTCACGACAAAAGAGCCATCCATGATGGATTATGGAATATGGAGCCTTGGGAATCCCCACCACAGCCCCTCTCCTGTCTCAGACGGGCCTCAGGCATCTGTCTTCCTTTGTTCTCGATGTCACCTCTTCTCTTTGACATCGAGTCCTTTTTGTAGCATGGACTCGCCGTAAATGCAGGTTCTCTCCATTTTCCTTTGTATATATTTTTATCATGATTTAGGATCATCGATGGAGTCTCCTTTTCTTTCTCTAAACTGCGGCGGAGCACTGTGATTACTATTGATGCATGTCCCGGCGCTCCAGCAGCTGCAGGCCCCAATCATTCCTTAATTAACTCCCCCGTCACATCCCCAACTGCGCAGCTTCACATCAAAACACGTTCTATTTCTTCTTTTAACCCCTCCCTGCTCTCTTCCTTTTCGTCTTTCCTACCCCTCATTCTCCTTTTGAACACTTTTCATTTTTTGTTTTGCCCTCTTTCCCGTCGCTCCACCGAGGTTTCGATCTGTTACTGCGGCTGCACATTGTACTGCGGGGCTCGAACTACTGACAGCTCCCTTTCCACCAAGCCTGTCTCAGTTGCACCGGATCTCTTTTCTCCTTAAATTTGTTTGGCAATTTCAGCTGCGGCTTTTGCTCCATTGAGATACCCGCTTCGTCTTCACTCTCGTTGGCACAGAAGCATTGCGATTCGAATTCCACATCCGGCTACATACGACACTCGTCTGTCGATTCCCCGCCCCGACTTTTATCGTCGATCATAAGTCGGTCGCTCCAGTACAAGAAAAAGCTGTCAGATTTGAGTCATGTCTGATCTACAGGGTCGGAAGGTCTTCAAGGTCTTCAACCAAGACTTTATCGTGGATGAACGGTACAATGTGACCAAGGAGCTGGGCCAGGGTGCATACGGTATCGTTTGGTAGGTTATCTGCATTCTCAAGGCTGCGACGAGGTATCTGTTTTTTCTGTATCAGTGGAGAGGGCTGTATGGCAGAACTACATCAGAAGGAGTGGTGAAGCGTCGTGAGTCTACCATTGAACTGAGTACTGATGACGATCATTCGACTGTAGTGCTGCCACGAATGTTCATACTGGCGAGGGCGTCGCCATCAAGAAGGTTACCAATGTCTTCAGCAAGAAAATTCTAGCCAAGCGGGCATTGAGAGAGATTAAGCTTCTTCAGCACTTCCGCGGCCACCGCAATGTACGTCAATTGCTTGTTTGCTATTAAGATCGGTAGGGCTGATCGGAACTGCAGATCACCTGTCTGTACGATATGGACATTCCACGACCAGACAATTTCAACGAAACCTATCTGTACGAAGGTGAGTGCCACGACCGCTATGGTGCATAGCAGCCACTGATTGATTTTATGCAGAGTTGATGGAATGCGATCTGGCCGCTATCATCCGCTCGGGACAGCCCCTGACCGACGCACACTTTCAATCTTTCATCTACCAGATTTTGTGTGGACTCAAATATATCCATTCCGCCAATGTCTTGCACCGAGATCTGAAGCCTGGTAACTTGCTGGTCAACGCGGACTGCGAGCTCAAGATCTGCGATTTCGGTCTGGCCCGTGGTTTTTCGATCGACCCCGAGGAGAACGCTGGCTACATGACTGAATATGTCGCGACCCGGTGGTACCGTGCTCCTGAGATTATGCTGAGCTTCCAGAGCTACACCAAAGCTAGTATGTCATACCTGATTTTCGTTGCGGTTAGACCGCCGAGATGCTGACGATCATAGTCGACGTGTGGTCTGTAGGATGCATCCTGGCCGAGCTGCTCGGCGGCCGTCCTTTCTTCAAAGGCCGGGACTACGTCGACCAGCTCAACCAGATCCTGCACTACCTGGGTACCCCCAATGAGGAGACCCTGAGCCGCATTGGATCTCCTCGTGCGCAGGAATATGTCCGCAACCTGCCGTTCATGCCCAAGATCCCCTTCCAGCGTTTGTTCCCCAACGCCAACCCCGACGCACTCGATCTGCTCGACCGCATGCTGGCCTTTGACCCGGCGTCGCGTATTTCCGTCGAGGAAGCGCTGGAGCACCCGTACCTGCACATCTGGCACGACGCCTCCGACGAGCCCACCTGCCCGACGACATTCGACTTCCACTTTGAGGTCGTCGACGACGTGCAGGAGATGCGCAAGATGATCTACGACGAAGTGGTGCGCTTCCGCAACCTCGTCCGGCAGCAGTCCCAGGCGCAGGCCGCCGCTGCCGCGCAGCAGCAGCAGATTGCTCAACAGACCAACGTTCCCATCCCTGACCACCAGCAGGGAGGCTGGAAGCAGGAGGAACCCAAGCCTCAGGAGGTGCACGCCGCGGGCGGCCACGCGAACGATCTGGAATCGTCATTGCAGCGGGGGATGGATGTTCAATAGACGTTGACTTCCGTAGGAGGATTGGAGGATGTCTCGGTGTCATGTCAATTGTCCACTGTTCATAAACTTAGTATATCATCATCACTTCATCTATACCTCTTGTTTAGGCACTACCGTTTGGCATCATCTAGCAGAACATGTATCTAGCAGAATAGTAGCCATCCCTGATCTGGATGAAACTGAGTTGTGTCGATACCTGTGCCAATGTAATGCAGATACATGACCAGACATTGTCTCAAAATCAAAAAGCTCAAGCTCAGCACACAATAAAGTACATACATGATCCATCAATCCAACTGAAACTCTATAAACAAAACATGCATCAATCATTATCATCCAATCGTATAAAGCCAAGTACCTTCTGGGGATAACCACCCATCCTCATCCTATCCTACCCTATCATATCTTCAATATATGGCGACAGCATATGGACCAACTATATATCCAAACCTACTCCGTGAGCAAAATGTCCAAGTTAATGATAATACCCTCTCCACCAAACAGCCATGCAGGCCGCAACCACCAAATCCAACATCTTGATCCCCTCGTCTTCGACGATCAGTTTGCCTAGTTTGGCGCTTTTACCGCGCAGGCCTCCGCCTGCTGGTTCGCGCGCGAGCGAGAAGTCGAGGCGGTCGGGGTCATCTGCAGCGCCGCTGCTGGTGCTGCTTGAGGAGGGGTTGCGGGTGTGGGTTTGCTTTTGTCTGTGTGTGTGTCCGGGTATGCATGAGACGGAGGAGGTGCTCACGCTGGTGCCGGAGTGAGAGCGGGGTCTGGTGTAGGTGGTTGGGTTGAGGAGGTGGGCGAAAGAGTTGCGTTTTGAGGCGGGGTGACCCTGGCCGTGTCCGTTTGGATGGGATGTTTGGCTCGGGGAGGAAGAGTGGCCTGGGGTGTCGGAGGAGGTCTGGCTGAGGGTGAAGGGGGAGATGTGGGCGGAGTTGGACGGATGATGGTGGTGGCCCGCTTGGAAAGGGGTGTTGAAGCGAATTTCTGCGACGGTCACGGCTGGAGCTGCGGGGGTGGAAGGGTTCGTTCCATTGCCTGGGTATGAGGGCGTGGGGATCATGTGCTTGCATTTGAGACTGCGGCCGTTGACGCTGGTGGAGAAGGTGCAGATGCCGTTCCAGGGGGAGGTGAAGGTGTAGTAGCCGCTTTTGAGCTTGGAGTGGGCTTGCGGGTGTGGCCGGGTCGGACTGCCAGTAAAGGTGTCCAGTGAGGATCTGTTGGTAGGCATATCCAGGGAGCCTCGCGAGTCGTCCCAGTGATGATGTGGCCGCGATACGCAGAGTTGGCGGCGGAATTTGCGTGGCAGGGACGGGTCCAGGGACCGTGTTTCAGGGTGCGACTGTGTAGGGAATTTGAGTGTGGATGAGGGCAGAGCCTGTGCATCTGACGGGAGGTTTATGCCCAGGCTCTGCAGGGAAAACGGCTCGTCCTGGGCTAGGAACCGGTTATACCCCGGTGTCGACACCTCGATGTCGACGGCGGTGCTGTCCGCCTTGGATGTGGAGATGGTCGCAACATTCCATTGACTGCCATGAGTGGGATCGCGGCGAATGAGAGTGATATGGAATCCCTGTCGATCTGAGGCCTGGCCGTGGTCGCGCGGCCTTCTGTGAGGAGACTGCCCTGGGCTCCTTGACGGCGATGCTCGGCGAGCGTTCGACCCTGCCCCGTCAGACGTATGCGGCCGTAGTTCGGGCCCCCTGTTATCCAGGCTAAGACGTCCTGCGGAGAAGGCTTCGTACTTTTCCTTCCCGCTATCGAGTCCTTTACTGTTGAGATACCCCGACAGCGCGCTCCATCGATTACTCTTCTTCGCCGGACTGTTGTTGATCGGATCTAAAGGAGCTTCCTCTGTTGGCACAAACGGCAGAGTCCTGCGCGGTAACGGCGGTGCTCTAGTCTCTCCTGTATCTCCACGCGAGTCGCCCAAGTGGTCGGAGATATCCGAAACAGCGGTAGCTGACTCCGAACTGGGAAAGCCTTGACGAAGCGTCGGACGAGGCGGGGTCGGCGGAGGCGGAGAGTCGACAGCAGTAGAGTACGGCGAGTAATTCTCCTGCTGCAACGGTGCCTGTGGAAGAGGACCGCCAGGGACAGGCTTCCGCCGGACATTGTTCAATCGCGCAAACTCTGGCGGTGCTCCATCGCCCCATTGTTCCTTTCGTAGTTTCGCCTGTTGTTCACGCTCCTCCTCAACCTCCTGCAACAGAAGTTCGTCCTCCGGCGTCGCAACATGAAGGTAGTAAAGGGAGGCGTTGATGGCTTCTGCGGAGATGCTCGATTTGGTCGGAGGCTTCAATGGCGAGAGGAATACATCTGTACGAGTCAGAACTGTCCGTCTTCCTCAAATGCAGTAGGGCTTGAATGACTGGCGCGGGGGCAGTTCCTAGGAAATACCTTTGCTTCCAGGTACGCGCACAATATAGAGAACGAGAGGATCTAGCTTCTTTTGTGCCGGATTCCGAGGGTAGGCAGGAGGGTTTGAGGCAATGGTAGTGATGGACGAGAGCGAACGAGCCTCGACTGGAGGCTGGGGGATATTGGGATGGACCGAGGCGGGGGAGGGTGCAGAAGTTGCGTCCGCCGCGCCGTCGACCATGGCCATTTGATTGACTATCAACAGTCGCAGTGGTAGGTGACGGGGCGCACGGAATGAGCTGTATTGGACGCCTGAAAGGGTCTTGGGAGGGCTGTTCCTGGGCAAAACAAACAATCGCGGAGAAGCCGGGAGGATTGGGCCGTTGCGGAGGAACCGCCAAGAGATTATATATCAGCGACGATCTGCATGAATTGCAGTAAACCGAGAGAGATGATGGCCTGCCAAGTAGAATGCGTCTAGAAATAAAAAGGGTCGTAAGGACAGGTTTTTCTAGAGTACGAGACACGTAAGTGCGGCGAATCTACGAAAATCGCTGCCTGGAGTACGACTGCTGCAGATCTATGGGCCCAATGCACAAGCCAAATTCCATCGAATTGGTATCTCGAAACGAAAATAGCTACAAAGAAACTATGCCCGTTGCTGAATCCATAATTACTGAATGAGACGTGAATAAAAATGAAGGAGAGAAAGCCCGAGTCCCATTGTCCGACCAGATAAAACCAAGGATATCAGATATGAACTCCAATCCGTCCGCTGAATGATCCGCTGTTCTGTACCTATTCGAGATGGAATGACCTGTCTCGATTGGATGCTGTCCTATACAACCGTTTCGGTCCGTTCGCCTTCCGCGATGACCGGAACGCTGAGACCACGCTCGGGGCTTTGTAGTACTAGTTGCTCATGCCGCCGGGCCCGTAAGAAGTCGCTGATGGCGCGTATGAGAATGAACCAACCGACAATCATCAAGACATACGAAATCCACTCGCTCGTTGTGATGTCGGATATCGCGCCGCTTCCGCCGTTGCCACCGGAACCATCAGAAACTGAAGTTGGATCAAAGTTGTGGCTGTTGGGATCCGGGGGAGGAACGTAGTCCGCACCACCGTCAGAACCTCCATCACTCCCCCCTTTCATGTAGAAACCATACTGCACTAACGTAAGGCCGAGACCAGCTCTGCTGCCATTTTTCGCGGCGTGCGTGGTGTGAAGAAGGTAGGTCAGGAGGAAGCCGACTAGCTGGAAGGACATCGAGATCATGGCGTTCCAAACGAAGGAGAAGATCGAGCCGACCGGCAATCCATCCACATAAACCTCATCGGACGAGATGCCGGGAGCCAAGATAGTGGTCTCCCAGTACGGGGGTGTGGCGTCTGCAGCTGCTTCTTCGTAGGACTATAGACGTCAGCTTTTGCGTTGGTTGATGCCAGACAGTATGCTTACCGGAGGTAGATCCTCATTCTTCTCTCCCCGTTCTGGCTTGGCCGCCAGGTTGGCAAAGACTCCGTCATTTGACGAACTGATCACGCGACCTGCGCCTGACGAGGGTGTGCTGAAACTGGGCAGTATTGTTGGTCGTCTCTGCAATGTTGAGCTCGACTGGTTTCTCTGTGATGGTTGTTCGTTGCTGCCAGCCGATGAAGGGGCCCCTTCTCCGCCACTGCCCGCTGACTGCTCCGGATGGGCCCGCATCAGTCGCTGTCGGTCATCAGGTTCGTCATCACCCTCGGAATCGCTGGCGTCACCAAAGGCGTCGGCAAGAGTCTGGTCTGCATCGCTTCGAAGGGGGTCATTCTGGAGAAGTCTTCTTGATGAGGAAGAGGAACGAGAGTGGAACGAGGGCGGCGGAGACGAGGGCGTAGGAGCGGCTTGCAAAGGAATCGACGAATGGGAGTCAACCTCGTCGTCCTCGTCATGGGCATTAACCTAAAAGTAGTCAGTATCCTTAGGGGATCGATATAAATACGTCTATATAGATGAGTGCTGCCCACCCTTTGATAACGCTGCGAGCTCATGACGAGCTGAGCAGGTGGCACGTTAGAGACACTCGGGGACTGCAACAAAAGAAACGACAACTGTGAGACGAGAGAAAGAAGACCAAAAGAAGCAGGTGAAAGAATGTGCAGGAGATGCAGGAAACAATCGATATGATACTTGTGAGGCGTTGACTTAGGATGTGGATGGAAGGGGATCGACCTGCCCGTCTCCGTAATCTCCTCACTAATCAGGCAGCCAGCGGTGGCGGTGACTGGACATCACTGTGGCTGGTGTGGTTAATGTGGCTGAAATTTTGGCCTGGAATCTGGGGCATCTCCGATTTTCCGATATCATCAATTCATCATCTGCTTTATCAGAGCTCGACAGAACCACAGCTTTATCGCGTTACACTTGATCCTTAATTCGTCTTTCAGAAACTTCCGGGCGAGATTTACAGCTGTTCTTGCATTACTAAAGACACAACATCAGTTTCTCACCATGAGCAAACCGGTGAGTCCATTGTCCACACCACACCACGATGTACAGACCATACTAACAGCTACAGACTCTGAACCCCCAGACAATACAAAACCGCATCTCTCATCTCCTTAAACACTGGCCTACGGACCCCGTCCGTCCGGCCTCTGTCTCCGTACAAACCTACCTCCAATCCCGCCTCCAGCCCACACAACCGCAACAAGCGCAGCCATCCAAGGTTGAAATCTCAGAGGCCTCGCTCAATGCGCTCTCATCGTTACTGGAAGATCGCTACGCGAGACGATACCCGTTACCGCCGAAGCTGCGGCGGCCGGCGTCGAACCCGGACCACTATGACAATGTCGTGAAGGAGTTTGAAGAGGCGCCGGGGCGGGATTTCTGGGGAAGGATGGGGAAAAGGCTTCGGGGGTTGTTTAGATTTACGTGATCGAAGCTGGGTGGTGTATGATATGTGTATGTATATAGCCGTTGACATTGTACTATTATTAGCCGAATGGAGCTATCGGATTGTGCTGCAGAAGGTATTGATATCACTTGGAAGTATATAGTTGATGACCACGAGACTTGTCGGATGTAACAGGCTTCCTGCTGTCTTGAAAGAATACTGAGCTTGGAATGAGTTAGCATCTTGCATCTTGCATCTTGCATCTTGCACCTTGCACCTTGCATCCTACGGTCTATGTTCTATGTCTATTTTAAACATGTCGACTTGCATCTCAAGCAGTTAACAAACGCTGTGCTACAACCAGGCCTCCAATCGCGTCTATTAAACAAATACATACTACTAATGATTGTGTCAATATCTGCAAAGCAAAGCATCAGCTAAGACTATTGCCCCGGAAATATTCGCGTCATGACATGGAAGAAACCTTTCTATACGAGGTGGACAACCTCCAATTCGACAGGTCTCAAACACCCTGAAACGCAACCAACAGCATTGATTCTGACAGTCAGTGGCCGAGATATCGGTCAGCTGTTCATGTCAACATCGTGATGTCAGACATAGACATAGACATACTGACATACATGTGTATATATATTCACATCTATCCGCACATTACCACCATCACATCTACAAGTACAACCAAGTAAACACAGCACAATGCATCTCACCAACCTGGCACCCATCCTCTTCCTCACCCTCGCAGCAGGTATCTCTCAATACCATCAACCTAACAAAGTACTCTGTACTAACGAAATAGCATCCCCCGGCTGCCCCAACAACCTTTGCGGCGACAAACCCTGTCCCTCCCCGAGCACCTGCACAACCTACACCCGCACCTCACCCTCCTCAACCCTAACAACTTGCATCCCCGCCCCAACCTGTCTAGGGGTATACCGTAAGTCCTTTTTAATCTTCTTTAGCATACGCGAAGACTGATGGACGTAGAATCCTGCTCCTTCGGTACCGGCCTCACCTGCTGCTCGGGGTACTGCGCCGCGACGAAATGCCGGCCCACGAATCCCAAGTGGCCGGGCTGCGCCGAGGATTTCCAGTTGTGTGGAAGTGATGCGGACTGTTGCTATAGTGGGAGTAAATGTCTCGAAGGGATTTGCCGGAGGGTTAACAACGGCGCCTAGCCACAGCTTACGGGTATGCTTATGCTTATGGTTATGATTATGGTTGAAATGATGGCTATAGTATGCAATGAAGTATAATGAATTGGCTGTGTTATGTGAAACTAAACTTGTTACTATCTCGTCTCTCGTTTCTCGTACTGTCTAGCAGTTGAGGTTCACGGCTATACCATGTTAGTTTGAGCACTTGAAAGTGGATGAGGAGAGGGGAAGGAGGGAGGGGTACCGTTAGCAAACAGGGCATAGTTATCCGCGTTGAGCAGCGCCTGGCTGGCACTCAAGGCGGTGGAAGCCCGATATCCATAGGCGAAGTCGTCCGTGCCGGGCGAGTAGACACCCGGGGCGTGGGTGAACTCGTGCAGGCTGGTGGTGGCCTGGTCCTGGGCGTGGCAGGAGCGGGTCAATGCAGGGAGGTCGGAGTAGTAGAGGTCGCAGTTGGCGATGACGTTGCTGGAGGGGAGACAAAAGGCGAGGGTGTTGGAATCACAGTAGCCGTAGGGGTCGGTGCAGTAGTAGGTAGTCTTGCCGGAAGACTGGGAGGAGGCCTCGTTGGCGATGGCGCGGAAGCGTGCGGCGACGGCGTTGCGGGTGCTGCTGGAGGTGGTTCTGAAGTACTCCTGGAAGCGAGCAGAGGAGCCGGAGGAGGCGGCGCTGGCAGCGGCATTGGCGAGGGAGACAGTGTTGCGCAGGGCCGTGGAGAGGGCCGAGGCACGGCTGCCGGAGCAGGAGGCGACCTTTGTGCGGCGGTCGAGAAGCTTGATGGCCTGGGGCACGGTGGCGGCCTTTGCGGCGTCGACCTCGATCTCGAGCTCGTTTGACTGGTAGGGGATGTAGCCGGAGACCTTGCGGTCTGTGGCCATGGGGACAACACCATCGGTGCGAATGGTCACAGTGCCACCCTCGGTGAGGTCAGCCGTGCTGGCGATGTCGAACTCGTCCTCAAAGGTGGCGCCGGCCGCGAGAGTGGTCAAGGCATCGTCAGAGAGACCTTCAGTGAGGTAGCGACGCTTGATTCCGGTGAACTCGACCTCGGTGGCTGACTCGTTAGTATGTCTTGTCTGGGGGGGGGGGGGAGTCGGAGGAGGAGATACCATTGCGGAAGAGCGAGACCTTCTTGACAGGAGCAGCATCCTGGAAGAAGTTGAGATGCACAAAGGTGACCTCCTCGTTGCCAATGTTCTTGACGGTGGCCTTGATGCGAGTGTTGTCGACCTGGGTCAGGGTGACATCCAGGGTCGGGGCATTGGCAGGAAGAGCTAGAGCACCATTGATGAGGGCCAGAATGGCAGAAGCGAGAACGGTAACCTTCATGATGAATTGAATTGAATTGAGATGATTGCTGATGCTGTGCTGTTGCTCTTGCTCTTGCTCTTGCTGACGCTTCTGTCAGACCTGGGATCAACCTCATATTTATAGAACCCCAGATACTGGTGATCGAAGTATAGATATCACGAACAAATCTTGGAACGAACGGAGATATGCCCAAAACAGGAGGTTACATCTATCCCGTCTGACAGTCTCGAGTCTTGACTGGACAGGATGACAAGACCCCGATTGTCTGAAGACTGCCATGGCGTTTTACATCCGACATAGCCACTGCGCGAGGCGTCTTGAAGCATCACCATCGCGGCCAAGAGAAAAGGCCAAGAAGTAAGCTTGGCCCGCCGGAGGACCGTTTGTTCAGACGGTGTTTGCTTGAGGTTTATCATCATCGGGACACTGGATTGGAGCGCCAAGAGGGTTGGTCCGGCATGTAAATGATGAAGAAGTCTAACCGGCGGTCCGTATGCCTGAAGAGGAATGTCCGTGTCGAGATAGTCTATCTGCAGAGTGTGTCTTCATGTATTAGGTCGTCGGCAAGCTTCCTGTGTGATATATCAGTATATTTCTCATATTGCTCTTTTGGTATGTTGGTATTCACATACTGATGGCAGTGTATTGATTGACAACTGACTGACAGGGACGATGTGTCTAGACATGATCTGCTGTATCTAGACTCAGACCCTGAGTTGCCCCTGAGATTAGTGAAACGAGTGGATTCGTCGACTCCAGATTGTCAGAGAAATCTGGGACTGACTCGTATCATTGACTGAAAGAGACAAAGGCATAGATTAAAGTGCCGATCCTGACCACTTTATCAATCCTTAATATCCGGCTGATACTGACGGAATGCAACCTAAGACTTCTTGTTTCACCTCCCCTCTTTCATTCCCAGTTATCTTGCTGCTTAAAGCTTGGCAGTTTCCGCTGTGTATATAATTGGTGGATTGCTATCTTCATATAAAGCTTGGAGTTTCATCTTTCGTCCCACCTGCCCATACCCCTCCACAGCGTCCTCCGGCACTTCAACATCAGACAGATATTATTCATTTCACATCTCAACTGACAAAGAGACAACTAACAAACTGCGAGAACGACGACACGACATGACAAACCTCCAAGTAATCCTCTCGCCCGTCCCTCCCTCCGCCACTCCACCCATCAGCCTCCCCATCAACATCGCCATCCACAACCCAGCAACCACACCAGTAACCTTCCTCAACTGGGGCACCCCGTTCGACCCAAAAGCCAACCTCCTGGGCGTCTTCCAAATTAACGACACCACCGCCGATCATCCAATCACCCTCGGCACCATCAAGTTCAACCGTCAACTGCCTCCTTCGCGGGACGATCTAGTCGAGATCCCCGCCGAGAGCTCCATGGAGCGGACCATTACTATCCCGCATGTGCCTCTGGAAGAAGGCCACGAGTACGCCGTGCAGGCAAAGGGCATCTGGCATGGGATCTGGGAGTGTCCCAGCGACCAGGTGACGGATTCGCAGCTGCAGCAGCTCGACCAGAGGGGGGAGTTTGAGTCTGAGCGTGCGCTGTTCAAGGTTACGCAGTAGCCTAGCATCTGTACTTTGTACGGAGTACATAAGTCAATGGATGTGTTGATGTGATGTTGTACATGTACGACTGCTCCCAGTATATAACCTCTCCACTGCGCTGTAGTAAACTTACACCTTCCATCCCCAAGTCAGTCATAGTGCGGTAACGAAACAATGCGTACGACAATTGATATCCCGACCGACGCAGCGCGCGTGTTCTCCATCCTCGCACAAGGCGGGATAGGCATCATCCCCTCGAGCGTCGGCTACGGAATCATAGCGACTGAGCCTCCCGCGCTACAGCGCATCTACACCGTCAAGCGTCGCCAACCGCATAAGCGCCACGCCATCATAGGCAGCTACGTGCTCCACCGCGAGATCCATGTCCTCCCGCCTGACAAAATGGATCTCGTGCGCTTGCTTACGGTCGATCTCAACCTCCCGCTTGGGGTGATCGCCCCGTACAGACGGGATCACCCGCTCCTCGCGAGACTAGACAAAGAGACCCTAGCGGCGAGTTCAATGGACGGCACGATGGCCATGCTTGTCAACGGGGGTCCGTTCCAGGAGGAGTTGGTACGGGTGACTGCTGCTGCTGGGAGGGCAGTGCTGGGTTCGAGTGCGAATCTGACAGGGCAAGGGACGAAGACCGTGGTGGAGGAGATTGAGGAGGAGATTCGCGAGGCGGCGGATATTGTGGTTGATTATGGACGGGTGAGGGATGGTTGGCCGCGGGCGAGTTCGACCATGGTGGATTTTGAGGCGATGCGGGTGGTGAGGGTTGGGGCTTGCTATGAGGTTATTCGTGATGTGCTGAAGAGGTTTGCTGGGTTGAATTGGCCGGATCCGAGTGTCTGATGAGGTTATTGTTGTTGCTGGTGTAAGTTAGGTTGCATCAACAGCTGGAACGAGTAACATCTTATATCTACTGCACCGTCAGTACTCATTCATCCGAGTAGCATTGCTAGACGAGCATCGTATAGCATCGTATCATCGTATATCAACCAATTAGTACCCCCAATGACCAGACTAAACCATCTAAACCGCCGATCATGCAACCTCGGGTACACTAATCTAACCCCGAATGGCTTCATTTAGCGAATCTCACATTATATATCATCTTCCATCTTCCAGCTCTCCTCACTAACCACGCACACATCAAAATGAAACTCTCACTCCTCCTCCTCAGCGCAGTTTACACTGCAACAGCGAGTGCAACTCCAACTACAGCTGCAAAAGCAGCAACCCACGTAATCTACTCCTACCCCGGCGCCTCCCCCCCAGCAAGCCTCCTCTCCCTCGTCTCCTCGGGCAAAGTAGGGGGCATCATCCTCTTCGGCGAAAACATCGATGCCAACCTGCCCTCCACCATCGCCAACATCCAAAAAACCTACGCCTCGTCCCCAGACTACAATGGCACCCCGCTGCTCATCATGACCGACCAAGAAGGCGGCAAAGTACGGCGTCTTCCCGGTGGTCCGACCCTCTCCGCGAAGCAGGTCGGTCTGTCCTCTAATCCGGCGTCTACTGCGGGAGAAACAGGCACAGAAGCAGCGACCACACTGGCCAAGTACGGCGTGAATGCGAATCTGGCGCCTGTGCTGGGCGTTTATCGCTCGGCGGGGGACTTTCTAGATGAGTACGGCCGGTCGTATGGGAATACTTCCGAGCTGGTAGCTTCCTGCGCGGAAGCCTTCATTCGCAGCCAGCAAGGACAGAAAGTGATTGCTACGGCGAAGCATTTCCCCGGTCTGGGGGCTGCGGGGGCAGATGCGAATACGGATCTGGTCCCCGTGAGGATTGACCTCGGGCTGGACGAGTTGCGGCGGGTGGATGAAGCGCCGTACTCCGCTGCGATTGCAGCGCGGGTGGATATGGTCATGGCGTCGTGGGCGGTGTATCCTGCGTTGGACGAGAAGCCGGCTGGGTTGAGCGAGAAATGGATTCAAGGAGAACTGAGACAAAGGCATCGGTTCAAGGGCGTGACCATCACGGATGCGATTGAGGCCGGGGCGTTGAGCGCGTATGGCGATGATGCGGCGAGGGGCGTGCTTGCTGCGCAGGCGGGGATGGATCTGATTCTTGCATCGGCGAGGAATGTCACGCAGGGTGAGGCGATAGTGGATGCACTGACCAAGGCGTTGGAGAACGGAGAGGTGGATACGGAGGGGTTTGAGGCCGGCACGGCGCGAATCATGGCATTGAGACGGACGTTACACGTATAGACGGATCAGACTAAATCACGAGTAGATGTAGCAATACTCTCCCCCCAATGGATCCATCAAATCTGCAATTTTTCTCGGCCCACCGAGCACTCCAAACTCCACGACCGTATCGACAGTCACGTCCGTCGCCCACGGCGGATCAAACATCCACGCCGTCCCATTCAGCGCATACCGTCGCTCCGGACCCGCATCCTGCCACATCCCCCACAGCCGATCCACCATCGCATGATGCAGAAAGAACGCCGGATCCTGCACGGACGAAAACACATCCCCCATCGTCGGGCCAAGCGCAACATGAACCGCGGCATGCGCGCCCAACCGGCCCGCAGTGCTCGGATCCAGCACCGCTAGAAACTCCTGGATGGTTTGCGCAGCGAGGATCTGCTGCACGGCGTCGGCGCCGGCGAACCGGTGCAGCGGACGAGCGTTAAAGCTGCGCATGAGACAGCGCGGGTTGTATCTGAAGGCCGACGGATCGAGCGGGCGGTACAGCTCGTCGAGGTCGTGGAAGTTCAGCGGGCCCATGTTTGCGGGCCAGGCGGGGAAGGTAAAGGGCCCGGCTGTTACGCAGCCGCCGCCGCTTCCCCGGCCGACACAGCCCACCTGCTCGTCGCAGAGGATGAGCTCGTCTGGGTTGTAAATGCCGTCGCCCGAGAGGGAGGAGGGGGAGTTGTCGAAGAGGGGGGAGACGGTGAGGTTAGGGTGTAGGGGCCAGTTCCAGTAGGGGATGGAGCCATTGAAGGCGCATTCGGTGCGGAGGGCGGTCTCGAAGAGGTGCAGGTAGTGACGGTGCCAGGAGAGGAAGACGCCGTTGTTGTGGATGTGCGAGGTGTAGTTGATGTGTGTTCTGCCGTCCGTCAAATGAATCAATTCATGGGAGGCAAGAGGATGGGACGTACGCGACAAAGTCGTCGAAGCGATCCTGGACTCCGGGGTATTCCTCATTCGGGAGGACCGAAGGGAGGGACCGTAGACAGAACAGCGCGTCGATGTAGTCCCGTCGTTCGAGTTGTGTCAAAGAGCTCCTATTCAATCAATACTGCTCCTCTGTTGACAGCATCACATACCATTCTCGCCGAACTCGCGCATCGAGAAGCTTACAGGGCAGGACAGGAGACGCAATCACGCCCACCGCAAAAAGAAAAACAAGAAGCATGATTGCTGAAGACCAAAGATAGAGGCATATCCAGTATTTAAATCTGCCTGACAGCTAGACCGACCTGCTGTGTAACGGTGCTCTGTTTGCACGGGGATAATTGGCCAATACCTGACCGGTCTAAGAGAATATCCACAAATCATACGATGAATGCATGCTATTATTGGTTTTCTTCCTGTACGTACATGCTGGCAGTCACAGCTACAGCTCCAGTTTATGCTCCGGTTCGTCCTCGCAAAACACACTCCAGATGGGTACCGGTTCGTCGCTCTCGTGCACGCCGGGTTTCAGCAGTGTCTGTCGTCCGATACACATGGGGCCTCTGTTTTGGTCAGCATGCTGAATCAGTTGAAGGACTCAATTGGCAGACGTACGTGAAGAATCGACATGGCTTCTTGACCGATACTGTCGTCACCTCACTGTAGCGGTCAGTCAGCACTATACTGCATGCGCTATTTGCATGTCAAACGTACTAGGAATCGATGTTATGACAATCGCCCATGGGCACGCTGACTGTTTTGCTGCCTTCTTCGATAGTTTCCAGCCCGATCTGCAATATCCCTGTCAGTGGTGCATTGGAGTGAGAGTGGATTACTGACAGTGGTGTTTTTGGCTGCGGCCGAGACGACCAAGAGCATGACCCAGGAGAGACGCATTTTGTAGCTATTGTGTATCGTATGATTAGTATGATGGAGAACAGAATAAAGAATCGGGAAGGAGTATTTATTTCGTCCAAACTAGGGATGGCAAGGGATGAGACGCTCCCTTGCGGATCTATACATGTAAACATTCCCACCATCGCGATGAAATGACGACACCTAATTGTTAGGACCATTCAGGATCCACGACAGATTGAATCTCCTCCAGATGATCGCCCGATACGAATTCTTGCCCGTGCCATCATTGAAGAAATCGCTCTCCACCAACGCCCCAATCTTATAATCCCCCGTCTTGGTCATACTCGAATAACCCCCCTCATTACCCGCCCCGGTAACCTTCGCATCCTCCAGCTTCCGCCCGTAGTCGAACTTCTTCGCATCCTCATCATAGCTGATCCGCACGCGCATCGCCCGCCGACTCGTCCCCGACGCGGAATTCAAAAAGATCGTCCGCGCCGGCGCATCGCTGTTATACCGCAGCACCGACCCCTGGCACGCCGGGTCCGGCAACCCGGTGTCCGTGGCAAACGCCCCGAAGCCCTCCAGCGTACCCCGCGCCACAATCCGGTACCCCTTCTCGCTGGGCCGGTCATTGCGGTACAGCTTCCCGTCGGGCGTCTGCACGATCGTCCCCTCCGCCCCGGCGCCGGTCAGCCGCTGCACGCTCCACGTGCGGTTCCCCGGCGCGCCACGCCCGATAATGTTGCGGCCCATGGAGGGGATGACCAGCTCGCCGGTCGTCAGGCGGATGCCGTTGCCGGGGCCGACAGCGTCCCAGGCCCAGCCGTTGGGGGTGAGTTCCTTGGTGAGGTCCACGGGCTTGGACCAGGTGTTGCCGTCGTCTTTGGACTCGGTGAGGTACAGGTGTCGGCGGCCTTCCCAGGTGGAGTCGATTTTCTTGGTTACAGTGCCGTCGGGGAGGACGTCCTTGCCTTTCTGGCTGTAGGTGGCGCCGTTCCACGAGAGGAACAGGTAGATGGTGTTGTCGTCGTCGACGACGGGGGTGGGATTGCCCCAGGTGCCGGCGCCGGAGCCGACGACTTCCCGTAGAGACTCCCAGTCGGATGGACTGGCGCCGTTGTTGGTGGCTGTCTTGGTGCGCTTGTAGACAAGGTTGATGTCGCCAAAGTCTCGGTTTGTGTGTCGGCGGCCCTCGGCGAAGGCGAGGATGCGGCCGGTGGTGGTGCGGACTACGGCGGGGATGCGGAACGAGTGGAAGCCGATTCCCGTGGACAGTTTGTCTGGTGAGGCCATGTTGGCGCTGCGGAAGAGAGGGAATTCATCGTGGTAGGGGGCGGCGGACTTGGCCGGGTCGTTGATTGCCCATGCTGGGAGGAACTGCACAAGCAGTGCCAGGATAATGAAGCGCATCGATTGCATCTTGCTAGTTGCTGGACAACATTACGGCAGGAGACGGTCGAGGAGATTTTATAGCCATTGCGAGAAAAAGCATCCTGATTGAGTTATCCAGACATTCTTGAATATCAACGCACGTGGGCGTGTCTTGTAGCTACCTAATATAACCTCGTGTTGATCAGACAGACCTCGTATACGATCGACATTCACGCCGTATTCATTCTGTCACTTATTATGGCAAGCAGAGACTAGCGAATACGAACTCGGAAATTAGACCGACGCCTTGTCAAGCTAATAAGCCTGGCCCTCTTCATTGTTGTGTAGTCGTAAGGTATGGTTCATCCTGCAGGATGACTCTCCGTCAATACGATGACTATGCATCGCAGACTACCCATCCCGCTCGTGTTCATAATCCCTGTACTCGAACTGCACGAACGGGCATATGGTAACTCCTTGCAGTCAGGGGCAGTAAGGATGTTCGACATGTCTACCGGAGGCGACAATACTGAAGGAAGGTCGTTCATAGGCGGAGCCCTGACGAGTGCTGCGAGTGTGGCAAAGATATGCTTCGAATCAGTCAAGGTCACGAACACTGCAATTGTCGTCTGCTATACAGACCCGACTTGATTCTTGCTGGTCTTGAAGCTCTCCCGTTGTCGGTGGATTCAAGGACATCTGCTCTACATCTGCTCTTGGTCAGGGGTAGCTACCAGTGCCTCGGCCTTACAGCGTTTCTGGTGATGACTGATGAAAGAAATCCATTATTTCGTTCACTTGAACCTTTCCGAAAATCCCCTGCCAAGCACATAAGTCTTCCAAGATTGGCCACAAAATGCGAGGGGAGCACAGGTACATCGTCACGACATAGCACATGGCCAGGTTCACCTTGGCTTATGTGCCAATCATCCAAAGTGTTCCCCGTAGCATCCAATTCCCAGTCGTACCAGCCAATCGAGGACTCAAACTTCTTTAGTGTACGTATAGAGTTAGACAGACTAGAAGTAGAGGGGGAAGGGTAGTTCTGCAGGACTTCTCGAGCTAAGCATGACATGAAGCACAGAGATTCCTCGCCAGGGAAGGCAGTCTCGGTGCCTGCATGCCTTCTCACTTTGGTTGTCATATCCTTGGGAGTGTCTTTATGAACTAATCTGTCCGTGTACGGTTAGAAAGCAGAGTCTCTCCAGTCAATAGTAGACAAAGTCTACTCCGTACTGGGAAAGCAGAGACACTGTTATTACTTGTAAGCTTCTTGTACAGACAACCATTGAAATCTAAAATGGTCATAATAAGATCAACTGCATTGAGCCACTCCCTAGCTTTGCAATTCCAGTTTAACGACAAAACATAAAGAAGATTCAAAGTACGAAACCGGACTTTGCGGAACGTAGACAGCAGAAGAAAAAAAAAAAAAAAAAGCATACGGCATCATTCAAAGCCCAAATGACCACCTCTCTTGCTTATTGTCCGTGGACTCATGAGGGATGTAATTAGGGTCGAGGTTGTCGTCAGGTCGTCGCTGGAACTTCCATCCTCGATGTCTGGTGCTGCCAACCTATCCATTTCCTGTTCAAGCTCGTTCTCAATGTTCATCCCTTCCCCCATCTCATACTCTACAGGCTCATTGCCCTCACTCTGTCTACCTTCATCTCGAGCTCGTTGTTCACGCGTAGGACACACGTCGCGGTAAAACATTGGCGTGATATCAAGGCCATATCTGGGACATCGTGTACTTTCACCTGTTGCCATTTTGAATAGGTACCCTGTTGACTGTCCTGGGAAACGTCCTCAAACGAGGCAGCAGGCTGAATCCATAAGAGACATCGACATGATGCGTGCATTTGTATACGATGTAATTACCTCTGCACATTTCTATCGGGTGGTATGTCGGAATATGTCGCTTGATTCCGGAAACTAGTAAAGTAAGTGAAAAGTAGTTGTTTCAGATCCGAGTGCTCGGTAACATACAGTTAACCCAAGCAGACTCAACCAGCAGACCTGCAAAGACGTTCTCCAAATTGTGCGTGCTGCTCCCTTCACCTGCATGGCCCTCTGGACTCTGCGTTGGAGCAGTCTGAGGAGCAGCGCTGCTTTCGGGCCCGATATCACGAAGTTCTCTTCTGCAACCACACTCCGGGCAACAGACTGCGTGGACCACCTCAAAGTTCCTAAATCCCAGACGTTTTGATCACTTGCAACACCACGTGTAGTGAGTTTCCCAACCTTGGAGACACTGGCAAGACGCACATCGGTAACGAAATTGGTAGACACTCTATGAATGGTGATGCCGTAAGTCAGAGGAAGATAGTTGTTCTTCGTAAAGCTAGTACTAAAGTACAACAATAAGTACGATAGGTGGTGCCACTTGATAACGGGCATACAACAATAGCTTGCCCCGAATCGAAACAGGCGCCGTTGGGCTATAGAGGCGCTCTTTGATGGATTTGCTTCTAGCCCAAGCTTGAAGTTCCTTCTTGATGAATTCGCCGCCGCCATCCGTATGGACGGTTTGGACCATTATGCCAGCGTGTTCTTCCTCCTCGATGAAGAGCTTGACGTGTTGATAATCCGGACCGATACGGAATTTGAAGCACGTGTGTTTCGTTGCGTTTCTGGGGAGGTTGTTTCTGATAGTGGTTGTCGAAGGTGGAGCTGAACTCAGTCGAGGCAAAGCTTGTAACCCTTTAGGAAGGCTATCTGCTGGAAAGCGTCTCTCGGAGGCGGACGTCCACGATGCTGCGGGAGTACTGATTTGTTTGACGGAGGGAGACTTTTGACGCGTGGTCGCAGTGTTCGACAATGAGGAGGTGAACTCTGCAGGAAGACTCATGCAGAGTGAGGCGGTAGAGTGTGCCATAATGTTGACTCCTTGGAATTTCAATATCTCTCTCTAGATATTTTCGGTTTTTATTGCTTGAAAGCCAGTAGCTTATATGGATATACAGATACAAGGATGCAAAGGTAGTAGAAGAGAGAAGGAGAGCATGATAGAAAAGGTTTTATACCCATGATGGAGAGCACAGTGGTGAAGTTTATAGAAATTCAGATCTCTGCTCATTTGGATATCTCCTTTCATATCAGATATCTCCAGTGTCATTCACTGTCCATCGGCTGTGGAGTGGATATGTATGCGTAAGGGTCTACATGTTTCCTTGATTCAGCGGAACCTGCCTTTATCTACAGTGAATGATTCATTATTATATTTGGCGTACAGGTAGTTATGAAGACTCCAGTGAGAAGAAAACAAATTTCACATGGATAGGGCTGAGTCTCAGGCTTGGAATTCACTGTGCCAATCATGGCCTTAGTCATGCTTCGGACTGAAGACAGAGGAGCAAATAGCAAACAGTCAACCCGTATACGGATGTTAGAAATAGTCTGACTCTGTTATAGTCAACCTGAGCATTTGGCCACAGATCCAGCATCATGTACGCCGGTATATACTTTGAAGCCGTTGTAATATATCTATTTTACATTGGAGTTGTATATATACCGGTTACGAGGATGCTTCACTTCCACTATGTACTTGTCCCTCAGACGTAAATCAAGCCAAGGATTAGAGCAAGTTGCCACAGCTACAATATCGACTTCTTGCAAGTCAAAAGTAGTATCTAGATGTATGTAAGCGTAAGGATCATACCATCTATCTCCTCCCACCCTGCACTGTTCTTTGACAGTCATCCGCAACACTTACTCTGGCCACATTTCGAGGGTGATGTGAAACGCTTCCCAGTCTTCAAGCTCAAGCTCAATTGTGTCAACCGCAATGGTAGACCGGAGGTACTTATTTGCATTTTTCAAAGCCACTGCCGAGGCAGGGTCAAGGTACTCGCAGATCAGTAGGTGAATCTCTGCTGGGAGATTGAGAAAGGTAGTTGTGGATGCCATTATGAAGCGGCTGTTGTGCTCAAATTGAATTAATTAGAAAAGGAAGAAGTGATATGATAGTAACCCGTACCTTAATGTCTGGATAGACGAACACCTGGCAAGGTGAGAGATGAGAAGACAGAGAGATTGGTCTTGGAGAGTACTGGCCTTCTCGGGTACCATGCCTCACATTGACGGTCACCTATGGATCAAGAACCTACCCTCTGCACATGAACGGTGAATGAGTAGACAGTCATCTCTGTTTTGACACTGTAACCCTGTCCTTACTTCCTTGATCAACATCTCCGAAGGTGTGCGATGAGCTACATGATGCGACACTCAGCGAACCAGGGCCAGTCATAGTTCCTGCTCTCTGTGAAACAACTAACACTATTTTCACCTGTCACCATCGTAACATAAAACCGTACGAAGCAATGAGTATTCGAAAGAGTACTGCTTCATGCGCTAATGTAAAAGTGCATGAAGTGTGCATTGCCAGACTATTGCCAGCTGAATAACGGAGCCCTGAGTCCTCTGTACGAGGGAGCCTGAGTGAGAGCATTAACTTGTCTTCAATAAAAAGTAGGCTTCTGGCATCAGAAAGAGTGTCAGCGAAATTGGCCAGGAGCTTAGGTTCGGTCTTCGTGCTTTAGGGCTGTTGCGCTGCCTCGATGACAGCATTGGTAGTCATGGCAGTTGCTTCGATGACCGCTTGATGATTATCTGAAGATATAGTTGTGTTTGACCATAACTACTTGGAGCAATTCGAATGACTTTGACAAGCGATTCTAGCTACTGTTGCACGCAGTAAGACTTGTAGTCTGCCATAGCCATCTGCAGACAAATGATCCTGAGTTTCGTGCGGCGTCAAGAAATTCCGGCGATACCAGAACAGCTCAAAGCTCAAAATCGATTATATTGAGAATCTTTCGTTTAGAAAGCAACTCCCATCCTACGACAAGATATGAGCAGAAATCGACGATTGAATGTGTTGAAGAAAGCCATTGCAGGACTTTGGTGGATCTCGTATATAGACCCACTCCTCACAACTTCCTAAAACGGAAGCCCAGACTCAACGCCAAGAGGCCAAGCTTCTATGTACCATGACACTATCCTATATGGTAAAGATGCGTGGACGAACGTGGATTCAATTCTCCGAGTAGAAACTTGTTCTGGAAGGTTGGCCTCACCAGGTGTCTTGGCTGACAGGCGAGCAGATTCCTCCATGCTTAGAAATCAGAATGTCCTGTAGATATAAATTGACATCGTCGACAGTTGATCCACTAAGATGAGAATGACTATGGAGGATAACTCAGTTGGAAAGATCCCAGCCGAGATGGCAACCCATGATATAGAAGAAGACAGCGAAGCACGCATCGAAAGACTAGGCCGCGAGCGACCACCCTGCTTCTCCAGCTTGTGGTCCGAACTAACCTTTTGCTTCTCAATCGTCATGTCACAAATCCTCGCTGTATGACCTCCCTACTTGCTGTCGGCCCTACCTCGTGAATTGACTGACAAGCCTAGGAATACTACATCTCCGGCTCCAACATCCTCCTCCCAACCCTCATTTCGGCCCTGGACATCCCCCTCGCCTCCTCCATCTGGCCCTCCACAGCGCTGTCCTTAGCAGTAACCTCCACCCTCCTTATCTTCGGCCGCCTGGCAGACATGTATGGCGGCTTCGCATGCTACCTCTTCGGCGCCGCCTGGCTCACCATCTCCTCCATTCTCGCGGGCTTCTCGCAAACCTGGCTAATGCTCGTCATCTGCCGCGCACTGCAAGGCCTCGCGCTCGCTGCATTCTTGCCGTCTGGCATGATGATCCTAGGCAGCGTGTACCGCCCCGGACCGCGGAAGAACCTCGTCTTCAGCGTGTACGGCGCCTGTGCGGCGCTGGGGTTCTTCGTGGGGATTTTCTTCTCGGGGTTGTGCGGGAGGTTTCTCAGCTGGAGGTGGTATTTCTTCATCGGGGGGATTCTGGCTGCGGTTACGGCTGCTACCTCGTTTTTCTCGATCCCGAGTGATTTTGCGGAGCGCAGGAAAACGAGAAAAGTTGGGATGGATTGGTTGGGAGCTGGGCTGCTGGTGCCTGGGCTGGTGTTGCTGGTGTTTGCTATTGCGGGGAGTGCGCATGCGCCCAGGCAGTGGGCGACGGCGTATATCGATGTGTGTCTTGCGCTGGGGGTGGTGCTTCTCGCGGTGTTTGTGTATGTGGAGGGTTGGGTGGTGGGGGATCCGCTGGTGACGGCGGATGTGTTTGCAGTTAAGTACATGAAGCCGTTGCTTTTCTCGCTTGTTTGTTTGTATGGCAGTTTGGGGATTTTTTTGCTCTATGGAGCATTATAGTACGTATCCTTTCCTGAGCTTTGTGGCCACGCTAACGCATCGCAGCATGCAAAGCATCATGCACGCCAGTCCGCTGCAAATCGTCGCATGGACAGTCCCCATGGCGTTTGGAGGCTTGCTTATCTCGACAGTAGGCGGCTTCATCATGCACCGCATCCCCGGCACGATCCTCATGCTCATCTCCTGCCTGGGATACATCGGTTCAGGCCTCTTCTTTGCCCTCATCCCGGAGAACGGAGGGTACTGGGCGTTTGTCTTCCCGGCCATGATCTGCGGGACAATCGGGATCGACATCAGTTTCAACGTTACTAACATCTTCATCACGAGTAACATGCCGCTGGAGAAGCAGGGGCTGGCGGGGGCGCTGATCAACTGCACGTTGCACCTGGGGATTGCGCTGCATCTGGGGTTTGCAGATATAGTGCAGGTCAACACCGACGAACAAGGGCTGAGGAAGAGTTACCAAGCCGTATTCTGGTTCCAGGTTGCGCTGTCAGGGCTGGGGCTAGTGGTGAACGCGTTATTTGTGAGGATTAGTCGGGCGAAGAGCGACCTGACCGTTGATGAGAGGAGGGCTTTAGAGAGTAATCTATAGCATGTACACTTATTACAAAATGCAATCTACTCCCTCTGACGCAGACGAAGCCTCTCTCCCCGCCAATGCAGCAGCGCCGTCGGCACAAAACTAACCCCCATAATCAACGCCGTCACCACACCCGCACTCCGCGCAACACCCACCCTCTCAAACATCGCCGTGAACCAAAACGGCCCGATAAATCCCCACTCGGACCTCACAAAGTTGATAAACACCCCGATACTCCCCGCATCAGCCGGGTACGCATCAACCGCATACGTCGTTAGCACCGTGGTAACAACCTGGTTCCCAAACGCCGCGACTCCCGTCCCCACTACCGGCGACACGGTCCACACCCCTTGCTTCGCGTGCTCCGTGCACACCAGGAAGACGACCATCCCGGCAATGGTCAGCAGAAAACCGATATAGCTAAGCCAGAGGCGGAATTCAGGCGGCGGGCGGCGGGAGATGCGGCGGGCGCGCAAGGCCATCCATGTGTCCGAGGCGTGGCCGCCTAGCTGCTCGCCGAGGAGGGAGCCGATAATGAGCCCGAGGAACTGCAGGCCGAGTTGCTGGGCGTTGAGGGAGAACTTGGATTGTAGCAGCTGCGGGACTTCGACGGAGTTGAGGACGCTGCCGAAGAGGAAGACCATTGCGTAGGCGCACGCGGCTGTCAGGACGGGGATGTTGGTGAAGAGGGTGAGCGGGTGGTAGAATTCGTGGAGCGTAAAGGGGGTGGGGTCGATGCGTCGGAGGGAGAGGTATTCACGTTGGAAGGTTGAGGTTTTGGAGGTCATGTCTGTGCCGATGTAGCGGGTCTCAGGGCCGAAGAAGAGGTAGAGGATGAACTGGACGGCGTTGGTCTGTCATAGTCAGTGATAGCTCATACGCAGGATAGTAGAGAACGTGCAATTGCCAAAATCCAGTATATCCACTTATATCCCACGCGCTGCGCAACAAACCCAAAAATGAACGGCCCAATCGGCACCCCCAGCGTGACCATCACCGTCCAGACACCCATATACCTCGCTCTCTCGCGCTTGAAAAACGTCTCCGCAACGACCGCACTCCCAATCGCCATTGCAGGGCAGATGAAGAACGCAACGAGCGCCCTACACGCCGCCATAGACGCATAATCCGGGCTCTTCGCGCAACTGATATTACACACGCAGCTTAGCACAAGCGAGACAAGGAAGATAGGCCTCCGTCCGAAGCGCTGGGAGAGCGGTTTCCAGACCAGCGGGCCGCCGCCTAGTATAGCGATCTGCAACGAGGTGAGGTAGCTGACTTTTTGGATGGATACATCCAGATCGACCGCGATGTCTTCGTACGCGGCGATGATGCCTGCTGCGATGAAGGTGCCCATGAATGCGTGGAAGGCCACCAGGAGGAGGTTGGTTATTCTCTGTTTTCTTTAGTTGCTATCACAGCTACTCCGTACAGTAGGGGCAAAATACCTTCCATAAAGGCCAGTTGTATGGATCCGCCGGGTCCATGCTGGGGAGAGGGTCGAGGTCCAGGGTGCCATGTCGCTTGAGCAGATATGCACGATGAGGCTCGGATAGTTCGCTAGCTGGGTCTGGTACGATGTCGATGTCTGCTTCTGCTTCTGCTTTTTCGAGAAAGTCAGACTGCGATTTTGTCTTTCTGGATGTGTCGTCCATGGTAATGGTCTGTTCCGGCAGGTCGATAGATGGCATGATGATGCTCAAAATGGTAGAACAACCGTTAAATAAAGGTCCTGGGACTGAATCAGGGAGACGCCCCTTATCGCTAAATGAGAAGCGGGGATTACCGTGATGTACAATAGTCGAGATGACTATTGGTTCCTAGTGAAGCTATTCAGTCTAGTGCCCGGTAGTTGTTGCTACTTGCTTGCCGTGGGGGAGTCCGGGGAGGACTCTCCACCCGCTGATACGCTGATCCTCCACGAAGCCGGGGATTTTGTGATCTCGGAAGACAGCTGTCATTCCTTGCCGAGGCTGGGTCAACTGCCGATTTGGATTCCGATGGATACATAGTACAGGTGGATATCCTGTCAGCATGATGGCATCTATTCATGTCAGTCCAAAGAGTATCGAGTCTTTATCCCTCCATACGTCACAATCTGTTCACTATTCTAACTTTTATATCACAAAGTTACAGCCAAGGACCCGGAAGCTTAACAGGGCCTAAAATGAGGTACATAGAGTTCGCCAAGTATACCAAGTCGGTTCCTGCAGCCACAGAGCTTATCAAATTGGATTCGGCGCATACCACTAACTATAGATCTTCTGCTCATACACTCGACTGTCTGTAGTCCTAAATTAAGCACTTATATTCTTCTTCTGCACCTTTGGCTCCAGAGGAAACACCTGCTCCTCCGGCGTCACATTTCCATACACAATATCCCACCGCTCCCGCAGAGGTTCAGGCGTCTCCCAAGCATTTTCCGGGTCCCGCAGCCAGAGCCGTAGCAAATGTCGCCTGCGACCGTTAGTATACCGTAGTTATATCGTATAGAAATTGACAGGGGAAAAGCTCACTCTTTCCCCGGCGCATCGCGGAACCCCTTGCGAGCATGGAAAATACTCAGGTTATTGATATACTGCACGTCTCCCTTCTGGAAATCCAGCGCGGCGCTGTGCTCCTCCGCCAGGAAGTGCAGCACGTCGAGCGCTTCGGCCTGCGCCTCGGTGATGGGCGGGATATTCGCTGAGCGGGGCTGGGCGAGGAAGCCGGTGAAGTAGCGGCGGGCGTATTGGATGAGGACGCGCTCGGGTGTTGATGCCGTTGCGTTCTGGTGGTAGAGCAAGGGACGCAATGTATACGGGCGCTCGGGGTTATTGAAGCTACGCTGTAAGCAAGAGATTAACTGGGCGAGAGGGCGCACTCACCCATCCACAGGCCAATCCGTTGCCAACGTCCGGATCAAATCCGGTCGTTCCTTGGCGAGGATGTTGTACACGAGCCAGCTGCTGGAGATCTGGCTTTCGCCGCCCTCTGCGGCTGTCTGTAGACAGAGCAGCGAGACGATATCGCCTGCGTCGGTGTGGAAGACTTGTTTGTCGGCTGTGCTGCCGGGTCCGCCGATGTTGCCTGCTTGATCGGTGCGAGTCAGGTCCTTGATGTGCGCGAGGATGATGGATGTCCCGTCCGCTTGTCGTTGGTCCTGCTGCCGGCCGCGGAGGCTGCCAATATGCGAGGATACGCCGGCGTAGATGAGGATGTTGTCTTCGCGGGAGTACCGATCGATGTCTAGGCCGCGGAGGACGAAGAAGCCTCGGCCGTTGTGGATTTCGTGCGATAGTTCTCGCAGTATAGGATGAAGAGTGGGAAGGGGGAATGTCTCCTGATTGATGTGGCCGGGACCAAGGCCCAGTGCTGTGGAAGTTAGACATGCCCTGTGACCGGTTCGGCAACTTACCCTTGAAGCTATTCAACGCAGCGTGGATCTCCTCTCGCTGCGCGTCATTGAGCTTATAGATCCAATCATCCCGCTTTTCTATCTCTTTGCCCTCCCAAACAAGAGGAGAAGAAAGTTTCTCGGGGAAGCCAGGAGGAAGAGACTTGGGCAGGTCCTCGGTTGCCTTGCGACGCTGCACGCGCGCGAGATACTTTTCGTAGTCTGGATGATACTGGATATCAGGTTGACTAAGTGTCTGAATTTCGACCATTTTGTTACCTTGATTCTAGGAATATCTTTGGTTGCCTACTGCAAGGTGGGGGGTAACTGGTATATAAGTCCCCGCAGGCATCACATCATCGGATGCCTGTATAGCGAAGTATTGCACCATCATATGTACTACACTAGACTGCCATCCATTAGTATGTCCCCTCTGTAATCAAGGCTTCTCGTCAAATTTCCCGCCATTCCGTCAAAATATAACTGAACTCATATATCACCTCTGAAGGGCAGAAACCACTCTTGGGGGTCGGTCTAGCCTCGGTCCGACCATTGAGGATTTAGGGCCGACAGATCTACGACAAATCGACAAGACCTAATGTTTTTCTATCTACTTCTTAGGAGTTATGATAGTAACTAGTAAATGGGCGTCTTCCACTACTTTTCGCAGCTGCCTCTAGACTTCGCCGTCTCATCTGGAAGCACTGCCTAGCCCATCGTATAACGAATGCTCTTAAGCCTGCTGAGCCAACCACATAACGCACCAAAACACCCAGCCACCGACCATCCCATTTATCAACCGCGAGTCTCGGCAGTCGTGCTGGAACAGGGATTGGACCTGGAAGAGACGACTAGCCTGGACTCGATATGGCTGCAGCCGCGGTGGGATGTGCTGCACCTCAACTGGACGCGACGGCGCTAATGTTGTCAGGGGGAATACAGACGACCCTTCAAGTCCGACCGCCATGTTCCTGTGGCGGGCGGAGGAGCTGGTGATGCAGCCTCTGTCATGGCGGAGATTATCAACCTTTTTGCTTGAAGACGCTGTTAGATGGTGCTGATGCGTCTGACAGCCCGTGGCTTCTTTATCGCGGCGTGCAAAATAAGGATGTGGCTGACATCGCGTATTATGTGGAAAGTCAAAATAGGCTCAACATAGCAATGGCGGCTGTTTCTCTGCATATCACCGGGGAAGCAGCTCTAAGGTCTGGCCTGGTCTGGTTGCTGGGCAATGCGCCTGTTCAGATGGTTGATGTTGGTGATGAGGATCAGTTGAGGGGTTTTCAAGCATTATCCGGGGATTATACATTGGAAAAGGAATCAGCTGTGTAAACGCTCTTTGAAGTATTTACCAGTTCTTGGTTCCAAATAGCTGTAGAGGCATGAAGTGACAAGCTGTATGGACTATCCTTGTGTACATGTGGCAGCCTGCACAAGAGGAAAATCTCGACACTCTTGGACGAACTGGGGCTCCGCTTGGGTTCCTCTGCTGTTGGAGCAAGAGGAGTTCATCCAATTGATGACAAGTGTCTGTAAGTCTTGCATGCCATAAACCGACACTATGGGCGTCACATCCATTGGGGCCTATAAGCGAGATGATCAGAGCAAATCTCATGCCTTATTCAAGAATCTCACCATGGATTGCAAATAAATAAGTACTAAGTGCTTATTTGTATAATCCCTTCTAGGCTTTTCATTACTGGATACGAGACTTTATGATGCTGTTCGCATCGACATATTGACAACCAATTAAAGGTCTCGTGGACATATATACTTCAGCGAGTAAGAATCATGGTTCAAATAGATAGATCCTCTGCTTCAAGGATATTTCGGACAGACTGACACTCAGACGTCCAGTACACAATACCTTTCTAACAGTGAAATCTACTTTCCTCCAGTCCTATCCGGATTGCTCATCTTGCTCGTTGCAACTATACAAAGTTTCGCCTAGTTAACTAACTTAAGGAACCCGGCGATGAGTCAGCATCGCCACCAGGCAGCCATTGACCTTTAATGCTTCAGACCCCCTCTCTCATTGACAATAATATCTCGCATAAATCCATGATCCATTAAAATGAAGATTGCTATCATTGGAGCAGGCATCTCCGGATGCACCGCCTATCTGCAGCTCAAGAAACACCTCCCCGGATCGCACACAATCACCATCTACGAATCTCACGATACCAGCAAGGATCGCAAATTCGACGCGTCCAAGGGTAGCCAAGAAGAGGATGCCACGCATTCATCTACTCTGATCGTCGGCGGAGGTCTAGGTATTGGGCCTAATGGCTTGCATGTCCTCAAGCGTCTGGACGAGGACCTCCTCCGCGACATTGTCCGAGGCGGATACGTAGCCCCGCATGGAAATCTGAAAAGCAAACACGGACGTCTTCTCATCCGCATGGACAATTCTGCTCCAGGTGCGGGAGATGAGCCGCCGGTGCACATGGTCGGTTGTAGTCGGGAATGGCTATGGCGCTGTCTGCGCGAGAGGATCCCAGACGGAGATATAGTGACGAAGCGTGTGGAACGGGTCGTCGCCAGTCCTGATGATCGCAATACCATCTACTTTAAAGATGGCAGTCCAGCTGTCGAAGCGGATCTGGTGATTGGAGCCGATGGAATTAAAAGCGTAGCTAAACGGGCTCTTTTCCCAGAGGCGGAGGAGGACCCGTTTCCTCCTCATTATGAGTGAGCAATCCTTTCTCTTCCAATTATCAGAGCTGACGAGAGTAGAGGTGTCTGTGGTATTGGCGGCTTCCTGCCGTCCAGCGAGGTCAAAGACCTTGTGGAGAAAGGATCAATGAACTTCATCTTCGGCGGAAACGGCTTCTTTGGCTACTTCTTCAGCACCAGTTCTTCGACCGCTCCGCACCGGGACTCACCGCACCATGTTTCTGAGCCGGGTGATCTACTTGCCTGGTGGTCGACTTATTCTGTGGACGAGTGCCCCGATACCAAAACACTGGACATGGATGATGTCCTTCAGCAGCTGCACAAGCGACACGAACACTGGGGAGATCCCGTCGTGCGGAAAGTTCTCAAGTCCGCGCGCGTGAAGAGCATGTATCCAACATGGACGTCGCCGCAGCTGCCGACGTGGGAGCGAGACGGCGTAGTCTTGGTCGGGGATGCGGCGCATGCGCTTCCGTCGACTTCAGGCCAGGGATCGTCCCAGGCACTGGAAGATGTAGAGTCGTTCGCGAAATTTCTGAGTTACTTCCTTGGCAAGGTGGATGGCAATGGGGTCAACGAGTGCAAGGAGGCCGTTAAATTAGCAGCAAAGCAGTATATGGATCTACGCCGGCCACGGATCCAGGCCATCCTGGCCGATGCGAGGAAGAAGCAAAACAAAAAACGAGATATGGGGGTAATCGAGGAGTATCTGATGTATTCGATCATGTGGATTATGGGTATGTATGCCATCGGATTTGGGGATCTGGCTAACATCGAGTCAAAGGCTTCTTTCCGAGTGTGATGAACAATTTCGCGCAGCAGGTCTTTTCATATAATGTTGCAGAGCACGTGGACCAAGTGCTCGCAGAGATGGATGCATCTAGGCATTGATTGGAGTTAAGACTCATGTGGGTTGAGGACGAATGTCGTTTCCTTGAACTAACAAGGGAGTTCTGTTCTCTGTTCTCTGTCGCTGCAAGTACGTTTGCGTACTGCTAATACTCACCTGACACATCTCTCAACTCATTTGTATTCATTATTTTACTAACACCATTCGATTAAGTTCATCTGCATTCGCTTCGGCATATTGCAATTCCAGGAGATTCCCCTCGTGGGCAGGACTCCAGCCTGGTCGAAAATATCAAGAGAACAAATAGTATTCCATTCACTAAGAACAAAATGAGGGGCAGAAACAGAATACCCCGCGCGACCATCCATTAACGCCAAGTGATTCGTCGCTTACTGGAAGCTAATGGATGCACACTGAGCTCAGCCTCATCCACTGCACTAACTAGGCCTTATTGCCTCCCACTCGACTTCGGTAGAGTAGCTTCAGGCAGACAACGACCGGCCATGGCAGACCCGATCTCCATTCTCGGCCTGATACTACAGGTAGTCCACACCACAAAAAGAGTCTATGAGTTCGCAAAACAAGTCAATAATGCCGACAGCGAGATCCGCGAATTATTCGGGGAGCTCTTCGCGCTGAAGGCGATTCTCGAGCAGATGCAGACGGACCACAGCGAGAAAAATGGGACATCGACGTTCCGGGATGCATTGCTCAAGGCGAATACCGTCCTGGAGGAGATCCTGGATGATCTGCAGAGAAGAAGGATGCGGCAGTCGCGGTTGGCGAAGTTAGGGTGGCCGAGTAGGAAGGGAGGTCTGGAGGGGAATATTGCGCAGCTGGAGAGGTTGAAGACGTATTTTATTTTGGTGATTTTGAAGGATCGATCGTGCGTGTTCTTTCCCAGCCGAGGGACATAGGCGGAATTGACGGTTTCTAGGGTCGTTGAGAAGGAGACGGCGCATTCTATTGATGCTGTGGTTGACTGGAGCAGGGAAATGAGGCAATTACGGGAAGGTAGGTCCTAACCTATCTGATATATTGTCCATGTCTCATGATTGAAGAGAAAACGAACGAGAAGATCAAGACGTGGATATGTGCCGTTGACTTTGAATCGATGCATCGCAAGGCTCGATCGCTCTGTCAGCCTGGGACTGGAGCTTGGTTTATTCACGGACCTTTCCGGTCGTGGATTGCAACGACGAGCAAGTGCCGGTTGCTTTCCCTAGAGGGAAAATGTGAGTAATCTGATGTCCATTGTAGGAGATATGCTGACCAAGATTAGCGGGGTCAGGAAAGACTGTCCTATGGTAGGTATATCGTGGGAACTCCTCACCATCCCAGTTACTAATCTTCATCAGCTCGACGGCAATTGAGGCTGTCAAAGATGCTATCGCCACGCGCACCTCCAGCCAAGTGATTTACTACTACTGCTCATTCCACTTGACTACATCGCAGGAGCTGGTCTACCTGCTAGGAGCATTGCTGGTGCAACTATCAGAAAGCTACCCAGACATCCTCGACGAATTGCAAGAGAGTTTCAAGAGACGCGCTCTCCCTCAGCCAGATGTACTGGTTAGCCTGCTTCTGAAATTCACGAAATCACTGTCGGAGCTGTTCATCGTCGTGGATGCGATCAACGAGAGCAGTGAAAGTGCACAGATTCTGGACGCACTGCTCACCCTCCTGGAATCATCACACAACATTCGGATTATGGTTACGAGCACGACCTCACCACCAGTGTCGAATCCCACCATTAGTATCCTCAGGGCGCAAATGAGACCTTCAACTAATAGAATTGACATTGAGGCATTTCTCGATACCCAGCTAACGTCAGTCCCAGCTCTTCAACGGCTACCGGAACACATCAAATCCCGCATTAAGACGGTCTTGCTTGAGAAAGCAGGTGGAATGTACGTATGCTTCATCGCAAGCTTAAAAGATCAAACTAACACATTGCTGCAGGTTTCGATACGTGCCATGTCAAATAGAGCTTTTAACTGCCCAGAAAACAGGCCGGGACGTCATTCTCGCTTTGGACAGTATGCCGGAAAGCCTGCACGGCACATACGAAACTATCCTATGTCGAATCCCTTCATACGACCGCGAAATTGCAAGAGAAACACTACTCTGGCTTAGTTCAGGCTACCAGGAGATTACATTGTCCGAGCTCAGCGAGGCAGTTGTCCTGACGAAAGGTGATAAGAGCATTGATGACGACTGTAGACTTTTTGATCCGCAGGTCATTCTCTCCATCTGCCAAGGGCTGATTGTCTACGACGAGCGTACTACATTCGTTGCTCTAGCGCATTCGTCAGTCAAAGCTTTCCTCACATCGGACGCAATCAAAAACGGGCCAGCAGCGTACTACAGCTTGGGCGAGATCGAGGGATCACGGCGCATCTGGCAAAAATGCCTGACGTACCTGATGTTTGACGAGTTCAAACAGCCTTGCTCAAACTTTCGCTCTCTCGCAGAGCGTCGGAAAACGTACCCGCTGCTCAAGTACGCCTCCGAGAACTGGGCGAGCCACTGCAGTCCGTCCTGGCCACCAGGCTATCCTCTCATTGATGCCGAAATCGACGAGATTTTATCCTTCTTCGATACCCGTCATCTCCCTGGCGGGGGAAACTATACATCCTGGATCCAGATACTTCTGTACGAAGCGCCCGCTGAACAAGCCCGTCGCACGGAGCCACTATACTACGCTGCCTCGTACGGCATCGTACCCCTTGTTGGCCGGCTCATCCAGTCCGGAGCGAACGTCAACGCAGCCGGCGGGCGTAACGACGCAACGCCCCTCATCGTCGCCTGTTACAGAGGACAGGAAGCTACCGTGCAGAGATTGTTAGAAGCAGGGGCAGACCCTACCATCCAGGATGCAGCGGAGATGTGCAGCCTGGAATGGGCAGTTCGGAGGCAACATCGTGGTATTGTTGAGAGCCTCCTATCGCACAAGCGTAAATCCATGGGAATTGGTTCATCGGATCTCTATTGGCAGTGTCGGGCTTGCAAGTACCAGAACACGATTGCGGCTGCTGTGCTGCCGTGTGCTTCTTGTGGGATCGAATTATTTGATCAGTACGGTATTAGGCTCGTGGGATTTGCGCCACGGAAGAGTGCGCCACAGGGGAGTAGGGCTTGGTTGCGCGTTGGTCGTACGATTGAGGCAAATCGCAAATTACTAGGTAACCAAGTGTCGTCTGAGTCCTGAAGCTGGGACGTGCAGCCGAGCGGCCACTTCAGCTGGCCTGAGTCATTGATATTGGGCGATATAATGCTGTATTTTGGCTGACCACCGCGGTGGAGGAAGAGAATTTAACTCTTGCAGTGAAGCGTCGTTTCGATAGAAAGCTGAGTTTGATTGACTCATTGAGTCTAGGTTTGTAGTGATAAGCAGTTCAGCCTGAGGGTTTTACCGGTCTGAAATATCCATCTTTCGAGAGCCAGTTTACTGTTTGAGCATTTCATACCATCGTCAGCCCAGAGAAGTCAACCCATCCATATCTACGATGGTATCAAACCCTCTTTCCAAGGCTTCTCCCTCCAACGAGGAATTGCAGCAATTCTACGTCGGAAAAGACATCGGCGACCCCAAACCAGCAGTCGTGCTCGATGTCGCAATCATTAAACGCCACTGCCAAACCATGCTCTAGACAACAAAGAAGCTAGGCGTAGGTTTCCGAGCCCATGTCAAGACTCACAAGGTATGTTCTCCGAACGCAATTCCCTACAGTCAATTGACGATACCTAGACACCGCAAATCGCCCGTCTCCAAGTCGGCACGGAATCCAGCGAAGCAAACTTTGTCGTCTCAACGGTCCCCGAGCTGGAGACTCTCCTCCCGCTACTCCTGGAGCTCCAAGCGCAAAACCGCCGTGTCAACGTCCTCTACGGCATCCCGCTCCTCGTCTAGCGGCATTAGCCCGTCAACTACGAACGACTGATCATGATCATGATCTTCCCATCTCCGTCATGATCGACCATCCAGATCAACTAGCTTATCTTCACCAATTCCACGAGGTCGCCGGCCTCCCCGCTGGTGTCTTCCTCAAAGTCGACACGGGATACCACCGAGCCGGTGTCCCGCCAGACATGCTTAACAAAAACGGACTACTTGAGAAAGTCCTACTGGAAGAGAGACTAGGCCACGCGCGCCTGATCGGGGTCTACTCGCACAGCAGCTTGAGCTACGCAGCCACTAGCCCCGAAGCAGCCGTATCTTACCTGAAAACGGAGATTGAGGGGTGCGGACGGGCGCTGCACCAGCATGCTTCCATCCTGCCGGATAGGGAGTTGGTTATCAGCGTGGGCGCAACGCCGCAGGTTGTCTCGGCGCGGAGTCTACTGCAGGAAGAGTCCTTGTCCCCTGATGCAAGGGCGTTGAACAGCCTTTTGCGGGATCCTAGTGCGCACATGGGGGGTAGGGTTAGGGTAGAGTTGCATGCGGGAGTGTATACTCTCCTCGATATGCAACAGCTCGCAACGAATGCGCAGAGCTGGGGTAGCTTTGAGGAGGAAATCGCCATCTCGGTGATTGCGGAAGTGTGCAGCGTGTATAACGAGGGGGAGCGGGATAAGCCCGAGGCGCTGGTGGCGGCGGGGACTCTGGCTCTAGGCAGGGAACCGTGCAAGTCATATCCCGGCTGGGCAGTCGTCGGGAACTGGAGGCGCGAAAGTCAACGTGGTGGCTCGCATTCGCGTCTGATTGTCGAGCGGATCAGTCAGGAGCATGGGATTGTCGCATGGGAAGGTGGTGGTGGGCCCGCAATCCCGGTGCGGGTTGGCCAGGCTGTGAGACTGTATCCAAACCATGCGTGTGTGACTGGGGCGTTGTATGGGTGGTATTTGGTTGTTGATTCCAATGAGGATGGGGAGGGATCAACGATTGTGGATGTCTGGACGAGAACAACTGGATGGTAGACAAATCGAATATTCCCTCAATCTTTCTGTCGGAATCATTTCCCGTATTTGAATCTTCTATCTGTGTTTTATCTGCTTGGATGAAAAATCGCATTGATCATATCTAAGGTTTGCGCCACCGAATGTCTTGATTGGTCGATGCTTATCTAAACCAAGATATGGGGGACATTTTCCCGATATCGGTACATCTCCGGATCATCTTGAGACATGAGAGATAAGGATGATGGCCACTATATAGACATGGACGAGACGCAGCCCATACCAACATGGCAGCATCCGTAAACACAAAATGGCTTCCCTTGACACCAAATACCCCATGGAAGCCACGGAGACTGCCCTCTCCAAAGATGACTCTCCTCCAGACGCAGACATCGATCCTCGCGCAGAGCGTGCCCTAGTTTGGAAGTTCGATCTGCGTGTTCTTCCCGCGCTGGCCGTCATGTACCTCTTCAACAGTCTCGACAAGTCCAATGTGGGGAATGCAAAGACTGCCGGACTGGAGAAGACGCTCAATCTCAAGGGAAACGAGTACAACTTGATCCTCAGCATCTTCTTTATTCCGTATGTCCTGACGGCGCCGTTTCTCGGTATCCTGGGAAAGAAGTACGGCCCTAACCGCGTGCTGCCGTGCATGATGTTTGCCTTTGGGTTGTGCACTATCCTCGTCGTCGCGGTGTTCAATTTCAGTGGCCTGTTGGCCATTCGCTGGTTCCTTGGAATGGCGGAGAGTGCTTTCTTTCCGCTGGTTATCTACTACCTCACCACGTATGTCCCTTCTGCCAGTCTAAAGGAAAGTAACTGACAACAGCAGATTCTACCGCCGTGGCGAACTAGCCCGCCGGCTCGCCATCTTCTACGCAGCGCAAAGCATCGCCTCCGCCTTCTCCGGCCTGCTCGCGTTCGGCGTCTTCCGGATCCAATCCGGGCCCCTAGCATCCTGGCGCTACCTCTTCCTCATCGAGGGCGGAGGCACAATCCTCGTAGCACTCTTCACACTATGGTATCTCCCTCGCTCCGCAGCGCACGCATCCTTCCTCACCCCCGAGGAAAAACAACTCGCATACCTCCGCCTCCAACGCGACAGCTCCGCCATCGTCAACGAGAAACTCAACCTCCGCGACGCATTCAAGATCTTCCGCCACGGCACCTCATGGCTCATCCTCGCCATCCAGATCTGTCTCGGTGTGCCCCTGCAATCAGTCCAGCTCTTCCTCCCCTCCATCATCAAACGCCTCGGCTACGACACCGTCAAGACGAACCTGTACACCGTCGCCCCCAACGTCTCCGGCGCAGCTATGCTCCTCATCCTTGCCTTCTGCAGCGACTGGACCCGCTGGCGGTTCCCGTTCGTGGCGCTGGGGTTTTTGTTTACTTTTATCGGGTTCGTCATCTACGCGGCGATTGATGTCGAGGCGGATATCCACGTCGCGTATTTTGCTTCCTTCATGATGACTTGGTATGTCCCTCCCTCTCTCCTCACTTTAAATGACGAGCTAATTGGAGATGAAGGGGAACCTCCGCGCCTTCGGTCCTCCTAGACGTCTGGTACAACAACAACATCGCAAACGAGGGCCGCCGCGTCGTGCTTACCAGCATCGCCGTCCCCGTCGCGAACCTCATGGGCGTCGTTAGCTCGAATATCTTCCGCAACCAGGACGCGCCGCGGTACATGCCTGCGCTGATCACCACTGCGTCGTTTGGGGGGACTGGGATTCTGTTGACCTTGTTGCTGGGTGGGTGGATGATGATGGATAATAAGCGGAGGGATAGAGCTCAGGGGAGGAAAATTCGGGCGCAAGACGTCTCGACGGAGAGGTTACATGAGGGGCCGGATTGTCCTGATTTTAGGTGGTCGTATTAGGTTTTCTTTTTAGGTATAGCTGGCTATATGTGTTTCTTACTTATGTTACGATTCAGATCCAGAAAGCGTCTATCCTTACAGAGTGTTCAGGTTTTTACCAGTGGATTCGGCAGATACGGTTAGTCAGAAGTACGACCAGGTACGCAGCTACGGAGAAACCACTTGTATTAGGGTCCAACGAATGATCATAGACGTGACCATAGCACTATGGAATAATAGTTGTGAACTTGATATGTCGAAAGTAGACCAAGATGAAGATGACTCAAGATAGGAAAGTTAGTGCTGATCAGCGGGAAGAGTGAGCGTGTTAAGATATAGAAAAACTGATGTTCCAGGTTGTGAGCCCCTGAGAACCGATCTAGGAAGTAGAGATATTCGCGTCCCTATTATGTCTTCTGCATGCGGCTATCCAACTCTCTCTGGAAAATCGTTGCCTTCAACCCATTTGGTACTGGGAACATGTCAGTAAGTTAATTGACAAGGTGGGAATGACCTACTCAGGATTTAAATCAACTTTGGCATGATGCAAATCCCCCCAGCGCGCAGTCTTGAATTTGCAGGTCGCGCCGCGAGTGCAGCCGTCTCCAAATGTACAGTGGTGACTCAAATAGCAGCGATAGTTTTCGCAGTAAGGACCGTTAGTACATAGACTGCCGCGGGCTTTCCATCGGTGGACCGCGCGCTCTCCCGGCGTCAATTTAAGTTCGTGTTCCTGCGGACAGTTCGGTCCCTTGGAGCAGCCATCCGCCAGGTACAGCTCGTTACAAAAGGCTCTTGGTTTGATTCTCAGGCACTTTTCATTGTAGGTTCGATGATCGTTCGGGTTCGCGGGCCGGTTGTTGGGAGGATCGATGCGCTGCCCGTTGCTGTTGTAGTATATGACTCGCGGCTCCTTAGGTTTGGCACTGGTTGCGATGATGACGTTATGGTGACCGTTTGCACCGCCGGCGCTGGCGTATGTTGGATATTTAATCGAGACACCACCGTTGCCGGAGCTAACCACAGTTCCAACTGCGGGGGATGCTCGGCGCTCGGGCGGAGCTACCGCGGGAGAGTTGGTGCGGACAGGGACAGTATTTGTCGTTGCTGGTCGCGCGATAGGACTTTCCTTTGTAACAGTAGACGGAGGAGCGATCGGTGGCTGTGTAGTAATGCCACTGTCGGCAGCGGCCGTAGTCATTGATTGTATTTTGGGAGCACTCAAAGACGCAGGGGGGACGGGCGGTGATCCGAGAAAATCACTGCGGAAAACAGTATCAAATCGGGTCATCTCAAAGCCCATCTGAGTGAAGGCTGACTGCGCAGGAGTAGTCTCCAAAAGAACGATGCGCTGTCTGCCCGACTCGCCTGCGTATTCGCGAAGATCATGAAGATAGCCGTTATCATGGCAACCAGCGAAGAAGATTTTCTTGCACTGGAAGTTTTTATAAAAATGCCCGAACATCTCTGCGAGAATATCAAGTCAGCGAGATACCTGTCAATCAGTCTGAAACTTACTTCTCATTTTAGAGTCAGCGTTCTCCTTGCCGTGGCCGACATTGACAAAATCGAATTCGGCACGACTATTAGTAAACTGCTCGGCAAATACCCGCATCTTATCCTCATAGTCGATGGCATTGTGGTGGAAAAGCGACTTGGCCAGCCCGTTCAGGTTCGCAAAGACCCGCACCACAATAGGAACGTCCTCGGAGCCAAGAGGTGTATCCTTAAGGTAGTTCCTCACTGCCTCGGTGAGTCGCAGAGCAGCTTCAGGGGCCCCATGACGAGGGTCCAGCAACAACTCCTTATTGAAGATGGCACCGTCACCATCAACCAGGACTGCCACATATGGGTCTTTGTTCTAGTCGGTGTTAGACGGTAAGGCGATTCATACTGTCTACGAGTCAACTTACATAGAGCTGTTCCCATCTTTGCCGCTGTTCTCGCAGATCGCGCAGCTCTAGCTGGTACCTATGGCGGGACTCTCGCTCATGCTCCAGCTCGATAGTAAGCGTATCCAGTCGTCCTTTATCTTCATTGATTTTTCTTAACACGACCTGATCAGAATCAGCATTTTCGACGAGTGAAATAGGGGCGGTGAAGGCGTCTCACCTCGATAAGCTGGGCCCTTTCCGCGTCCTGCTTAAGAAAATGATTAAAACGATTGCTTAGATCGTCCATCGACGCCGGGTCAACAACACTACCCATGGCGACGTTATTGTATCTAAAACCAGTATAAGGACCGGAAGAACAGAATCTTTATACTTTTTTGATGACTGAGGGCGAATACCTGCTCAGTCTGATAAACAAAGGAGTGAATTGATTCCTTTGTCTGAGCTGTGAATAACCGGTGGAGCTGCCATCTAAATTTTGTTATGGGAATTCCCAGTCCAGTAATGAATCAGGTGACTAGAGCTGCATAAGTGGTGTCTAACAGTATCCAATAAGGTGGTCCATAGGGGGTATGGAGTGCCTAAGGCTCCTAACAACATTAAACCCCTTTAAGACTTGAAAGCAGAGGACTGTTTCTTTGGCAATCCTGCTGACTTTGATATCCTATAAGGAACGATATGACTATCAGTTTCTTTGTCGTCTTTTATCCATGTTTCTATTAATAGCTGCAAGTCATCCTTTCAGTCAATACCAAGAAAGCTACTTGATATATCCCCGTGTGTTGGAGAAAGGTTGCTGGGTTCGGCCAAACGTGGCTCAACATCAACTCCTGCTCAGCCTTAACGGGTGTAGGTCATATTCGGTTATAGACTGGTCTATTTCATGGTTGGACACCTGCTGACCTATCTCCCATCGAATCCTGACGACCTTCTCCAACTCACGCCAAGCTGCAAGCCCTGAAACTAATCCGCAACACAGATCGATAACTATCGATTAGATTTTTCCAGTCTCAGATTATTGACCAATAGCTCGCCATATTCAACATTGGGGAATCCGGTATTTCTGCCTAGATTCTTACTCTCTCATAGTCACTTAGACTGTTCTGTGTAAACGATACACAGGTCCTTTGATATGGTCCTCAAGGAAAAGAAGCGAGTTTCGATAATTGCACCATTGTGAATCAGCGACCAGGCAATTTGCATGTCGCCTGCCGCACGCCTGAAGAACTTCCATTTATCGCCGCCGTGGCATAGATGGAGGATATAGA